GGGGGAAGTACCATCAGCTTGTAACGCGGCGATGTCTTCTACTACTTCTATGGCCTGTGCGTCTGGGTTCGTTCTGGGGTTCTTATCATAGAGACAATCGACATCCGTCATTAAAAAGAGGTAATCGGCGTGTACCATGGCGGCTGTGATGGCAGACAGGGTGTCGTTGTCGCCGAATTTGATTTCGGTGACGGCAAGGGTATCATTTTCATTTACTATTGGGATTACACCCATTTCAAGGAGTTCGGCGAATGTATTTTGGGCGTTGAGGTATTGGGTTCTCTGGAATAATCATGTGAGATTGAGTTTTGGGAGATGTGAGATGAAAACTTGCGTCCGCTATGTCATTGCGAGTGAGAAGTATCTGAGCAATGGGCTGCCGAAGGTGCCCAAATAAACTATCCCAGAGACTGATGAGTCTACATTGCCCGATTGCTGCCAATGCCTATCTCATACATCAGTCCAAAGTTCAACATTGAGGCGATTGAAAAAGGACATACTTGAACCCTCGGAAGGTGTTTAGGTCTCTTATCAACGTCCATTCTTCTAAGACCAACTCCAATGGCCCCAGAGGACACAATGATCACTTTATGACCATCATTGTGAAGCCTCACAGCCGTCTCAACAATAAGACTCAGAATTGACAAGAGCGGTTCATGGGTTTTCTCATGTACAATAGAGCTCGTTCCTGAATTTCACAGTTAGTGAGGAAGTTTTTACTAGGGTAGTTTACTCGCCAAGTTTTATGACAATTGTCAAAGGTTTGGGTCCCTTCATTTTGAATCACTTGAAGGTTGAATAAAAGAAGAACATGAAGACGAGAACCTTTGAATCTTTTGCTGTACAAAAATCCTTGACGTTGTGAATCATTCTCGATGCTGCTGGTGTACATACCATCCGATGGCCCAAGCCCGAGCCGAGATCGCTTGGGCAGAATTCGTCAAAAACTCCCTCACCGCCCTCACGAGTGCCCCAAAACGTTCAAGACCACGCCCTCCTTGACTGAAGCAGTGCAACGAAATCACCAGCTCGATTTACGTTAAAACCTCTCAACACCCTCGAGAATGGCCTCCGAACTTCCTCCTCCTCCTCCAACCCCTAGTACAAACCCCGCAGACTATGACGCGGCGAAATGGGGCAACTGGTTCAAGCTCTTCCTAGGCACAATGCCGCCGGGCGACCAACCAGAGTTCCGCGAAAGTTATTACATACAGCAGGAAGCTAGAGACGTCAAGAACAGCGAAAACTGGCGGGACTGGTGTTTCAATTACTCGCCAACTGTGATCTTCCTACGGCAACAGATCCAAGCTTTGAATGGGGATTTGAATAGCGAGAATGTGCTCTGTAGGAGGTGTCCTGCGCGGCGGAACGAGAAGGGTCAGATTATTGGGGAGATGTGGGGGGGGGTTTCATCCGGACGCGGGGATTCTGATTTGTGCGAATCAGATGACGGATAAGAAGCAATTGGAGGATACGCTGGCGCATGAGATGGTGCATGCGTGGGATCATTTGAGGTGGAAGGTTGATTGGGATGATCTGAAGCATGCGGCTTGCAGCGAGGTATGTTTGCCTCTCTACGCCCAATTGTCGTATACGATGGGGACTAATGAGAGTGTAGATTCGAGCGTCGAGTTTGAGTGGGGAGTGTAGATTCACGAGGGAGTTCTTTACAAGGTCCCAGTGGAAACTTACGCAGCAACATCAGAATTGTGTAAGGAGAAGAGCAGTACAATCTTTGATGAGTAGGCCGAATTGTAAGGATGATGTGCAGGCGGCCAAGGTGGTGAATGAGGTGTGGGACTCTTGTTATGGGGATACCAGACCATTTGATGAAATTTATAGATGAGGGACACATAAATCTTGGGCAAAACGGTTGTATGGATAGATAGTAAATGGACTCGGCTGGGTGTATTGTTACGCGTCTATTGAAGCATAGGCGTTACAGGAAAAATGATAAGCCTCTACTCCGAACATCATGTTTATTTCATCTTGTTTCTTCCCATGCCATAACACCCAAAACGCCTTTGCTAGCATCATAAATTCATCATTCATTCGTCTCCAGAGCCCGAGTACTTGCTGCCCGTAGACTTGGATTCTCGCATGGTCGCCCTTTCTCCCTTTACGCAATGCTTGATGATCCATGGGTGCTCTTGGACCTGGTCTAGAGTTATTCGTTTCTCTGGATCGAGGACGAGTAGCTGCAAGCATTAGGATCATATGTTATCAACCACGGAAGGCAAACTTACTCTCTTAATCAGATCTTTAGCTTCTGGGCTCACAAAACCTGGTACCGTCATCTCACCCCTTGAGATTTTTCTTTGCGTCATAACAGGCGTGTCTTCAAATGGTGCCTCTCCCACGAGGAACTCGTACATCAAGACTCCAAGGGACCATATATCAACCTTGTTCGAGTACACGTTCTTGTCCCGCCCAGGCTTCAACATCTCCGGAGGAAGATAGTCCAAAGTTCCACAAAGTGTCTCTCGTCGATTGCTGGGAGCGTGCACACTCCAACCAAAATCAGAAAGCTTAATTTCCCCATGACTACCGAGGAGGATATTCTCCGGCTTGATATCACGATGCATTATGTGCTTCTTGTGGCAGTATTTCAACGCAGCTGCCATTTGGGCAACGTATTGAGCGGCTTTCCATTCTGGGAATTTATTTTCGCGTCGAAGATGTTTGTAAAGTTCTCCTTTGGCTGCAAATTCAATGATGAGGAAGATTCGTTTGCTATCGTGAAAGTGTCCGAATAACTGTAAGATGTTTATGTGTCGTAAGTTGCTTTGAATTTCGATCTCTCTCCGAACTTGGGTTTCGGCACCGCCATGCTTCAGCTCATTCTTGTGGAGTACTTTCAGAGCGCAGACAAAGCCAGAGCTTCGTTCTCTTACTAGATAAACTCGACCAAATTTTCCCTTTCCCAGCGGACGACCAATCTCGAACATGCCGAGATGGAATTGTTTTGGGACAGCTGGTTGTTCATACAGTGGATTTGACTTTCGTTCAGCTCTAGTGAGTTCTTGGGAGCCGGAGTTTCGTGGTGGTGAGCCGGATCCATTTTGAATTCTCGATCCTCGCCATTGCGCAGTTTGGGACGGAACCGTGACAATGGTGTTGGTTGTATTTTGATTTTGTATCGCAAGCTTCAAAAGATTGTTTCGATTGGCGTTTTGGGATGTTTGGGTGGTAGAAGATGTTGTGGAAGTTATTATCTTGGATATGTTAGTATGAACTGCTAAAGGCGTGGATTTGCAGCATACCTTTGACTTGTATTTGCTTCCATTGCCAGGATCGTTTTCATCGTTCACTGACAGGTGCTCGAAGCGGGATTCCAGAGCCCGGGTTGCCATTCTGATTGTGAGAACGACAGCAGCAATTAGTATGTGATCTGATTGAGTCTCACGAACAGTGAGGGTCCTGGTATTCCTGCTGGTTAGTATTGCGTTGGAGTGGAAGTTGTCGAGTTTGCTTATTTTGATGTTCTGATGTTTGGAAACATTCGGTGAAATGTAATTCCGACGTTGGTATGACAACAACGCCCTTTCCTTCCCCGCCAAATTCAGACAACCTTGCCCCACCCCGCCCGCTCAGCAGATTTACCTTTCCTGTCTGGCGTTGCGATCACTTGCAGCACACCATTAAGACTCTTCCAAGCCTATTGCTATCTCCGATTACTTGAGCATATCTCAAAGAGGATGTCCACCACTATGGCATTCAACGGCCCCACCGATGATGCCTTCCCCTTGCCCTCGCAAGAGGACAAGTTCACCGTGTCGCATCTGCAGAAGGGCTTCAAGATCAGTGCACGAAAGCTCCCTATCTCGAAGTCGGGACCAATTGACGACATGTCCAAAAAGCTGGGCATCCCAGTGCCGGAGATGATCTTCGGGAATAACATGGTATCAATTGAGCATGTGGCTACGAGATGGCGATTAGAGTTCAATGCCTTCGATGCTCTAGACCAAGTCGACAAGACAGACAAAAACATGCTGAAGGTTGCATATTCCAAGGAATGGTCAAGTAGCAGGTAAATAACCCCAATATTTTCAACCAGAGCTCTGCTAATCCCACGCAGAGAAAAAACGCATGAAGGCATCAAGGAAGTGGTTAAGCCTTTCGACTGGTCCTACTCAACGAATTACAAAGGCACAATAACGAACGGCAAGCCTTTTGAAGACAGCGAGGAGCTAATCCCACTCGAACTTTTAAAACGACCTGACCCGATACTATTCTTCGAAGAGGTGTTGCTCTATGAAAGCGAACTGGACGATAATGGCATATCCCTATTCTCTTGCAAATTACGAGTGATGCCTGACAGAATGCTGCTTCTGTGTCGGCTTTTTATGAGACTGGACAAGGTTCTCGTCAGGATTCGAGATACAAGGATCTACGTAGACTTCAATACCGGCAAGGTCATAAGAGATTATACCGAGAAGGAGGAGGAGTTTGATACTGTTAGGAAGGTAGGCTCAACCCAATTTCATCTTGGGAAAATATGGAACTCTGTTTTCCCCGCAGCTTTGCTAACAACCACTCTAGAGCCTTCTTTCCTCGGGTACGCTGCCTAATGATATTACCATCGCATTGCGGGATCCCAACCAGCTTGCACATCTATTACCAGAAGTTGCCCATACTACAGAGGCTTTGAATCTGCCTTGAACCACCTTCCTGGCCCCAATTCCTTTTTATAGCGACGGAGTTGGGTTGCATTGAATGGGGAAGGGAGGATCCCAAACCAAATATGGGTAAATCCCAGGCGAATATAGTCTCTGATAAGACTCTCTATATTTTAGAAATGCCGGATCTTCATACCCGTTCCATACTCCCGAATCCCTATATGGTTCGGTGATATGACTGGAGTTCAATGATACAACAAGGTCTTTGGAGTGTCAAGTATAAGACCACCCACCCTCCAGTCAGCACTAATCAAATGTTGACTTGCAAGGTCAAGAAACACAGCATTTCAAAACGACAAAGAGTTCCTTGGAAGCGTACCCCACTTTTGGGAAAGTAAATGAATTCCGGGCTGCCTTACTCGGACGGTTTAAATCCGAATCGTAGGTCAAGGGCCGTAGTGAATGCCGAATACAGAAGGTTTAAACACATGATAAGAACACTTATAACCTCCAGCGACTGGGTGACATGAATTAAATGGAATTTGGGCGGCCATATCCGTTGTTAAAGATCTTGAAATAAGCAGGCGATATATCATAATGGGATTCGTGCCATAAGATCTGAGATTCACGTATAGCACATCGGACCGAGCGTACTCCGTACCCATGTACTGTACAGTGAACACTTTATCAAGTGCCTTTGCTAAATGTAGGATAAAGAGGCTGAAGGACTAATAGGGTTACAACCATTCCCGGGAAGATATGTGCCCTAATCGGGGGATTCGAGTTTTGAAACAGTCTCGGTAGCTGGAATCTCAGAAGTACAGTATACTCAAAGCTAAACTATACTTGCCGGATGTGCGCCTACGCATCCAGGTCCACTTTGTGCGTTCCTGCATTTGGGATATATGCTCCAGGTCCCAATGCACCATAATAATATTGATATGATAGAAGGGAATCATGGTTACGTACAAGAAATGGTAATAGGTACTGGTATTTCATTGCCATGACTCGAAATGACATGACATGTAACTACCGTGGTGCGCACCGGCACTCAATACGTGAGTATGTAGGTATATCACCAATACCTATGTGCCTATTCTAGGATCCTGTATCCAGAAACGCTGGGCCTGGATCCCGAGAAACCGAGGAACAGTACCGTATCAGTTTGTGCAGCAACAGCAACAGCCTCACCCTCAACTTCTTCATGAATCGTACAGCGCATGGCGGCGATATCCTACTTATCTGATTAACCTTGAGACCCAATGTTACCTACCTATGCATCCATTTTGGCGACAAACCCAAGCGCGGAGACTTTCAGTCGAGAGGTTTCAGTGGCTTGCACTTTCATGCATTCGTACGACTTGTATACAGGGCTAACAAATCCGCGGTCCCGGTTGAAGGGAGGGGCGCGAAGTGAGTCTGTTTCGGAAGCTGCTCCTCGCCTATGTAGGGTGTTTTCGGGGCTTTTTGCAGCTATATCTAGATCTTACTCTATTCATATATAGTAATTCCGACAGGGGTTTTCTGCTATTGACAGGGCATAGCTCTACACCAGGGATCTGGATATGCAGCAAGGGCCCATGCATGTACAGTATACGGAGAAGCTCAAGACCTCCTGTTCTGGATATTTGACCGCCATCTCAGCGCGTCTTCTGCTGCTTCCTCGACGAATTGCTACTCGCCCAATTCCCCGTTCAGCGCCGTCACTGCTTTGGCTTTAGTGTTCTCCGCATCTCGCCGTTGCTGAATGGTGAGTTGCTCAATGCATCCTTCGATCTGCGAAGTATTGAATTCGCTTGCACCGTACTCGTACCAATAGTTTAGTGTCATCGGTGAAGGTATGCTTCATGTGAACCGTTCCCGCTATTCGCAACCATCAACACTCAGCTTCCCAGAAACTAGGTACCTACCTACCTACCTACCTATCCAGAGAAATTCCCGCGCCACGGTACGAGGGCCTCCGTACGCGGTTACATATACTGTAGTGCATACACCGGAGTCGAGTACAAGGAAGCAGCAAGAGAAGAACAGCTATTTATTGATCATTGGGAACTCAAAAGGGCTTATGACCTCGAACTTCCCCCCGTACTTCTCCAACTTCGCCAGCCAGCCAGCCTCGGCCCTTCCTTCCTTGGGTTCCTCTGACCGCAGCTGATGAACATCCCTAGAGCGTTGCTACCCGGGCTACTTCACCAGCAATTGCACCAATTCACATCCACCAACACTGCCTCTAGTGCAAACACCAGATTGCCCCGCCAGGATCAGCACATCGTCTACAGCATCCAGCTTCTGTCCACCGCCTTCTTGCACATACGCATCCGCCCTGTTCTCTTCTCAGAAAGCATAAGGCGCACGACGCTCCCCTCTTCGTGGCGCCTTCACACATACACATACGCATACACATATCGACACACTTCCCCATCCCAGTCTGCATCCATCTGCAGCTTGTTCACCGCACAGACCCGACCCTTGATCCAAGCTTCTAAGCTAGGCGGGGTTCCTTGCACTTCGAGAAGCTCAAGATCCCTCACAAGCCTTCTCCATTATTCGCCTCCCACTCCATATTCGGTTTCAAATAAAAGTCGTCCTCGACTTTTCAATCCTTCCTCCCCCTGTATACGCAGCTTCTCCTCCAGCTCTATACATACCACCATGTCATCTCTATCTCAACCCCAGACGCCGGCGACCCTGAATAGCCCTTTGAGAGAACACAGGCATAGACCAGTCGAGAGGTTGACAGAGAAATTGGAGGCTCCAAGCTTGGATGATAGAAGCTATAGAGTGATATTATTGCCGAATCAGCTTGAGGTGCTTCTGGTGCATGATGCTGAAACCGACAAGGCCAGCGCGGCCATGGATGTCAACGTGGGAAATTTCAGTGACGAGGCTGATATGCCGGGAATGGCTCATGCGGTATGTAAATCCTCCGAACCTTGCGTTTCTTCTGGTCGTATCTGGGATGCTCAGTAGACTCTCTTTAATGTCTTCGATTTGAGGCACTGATCAGTCCAGGGCCTTAGAATACATCCTGATCAAGCAATGCTGACTCCGAGAACTTGCAGGTCGAGCACCTTTTATTCATGGGAACAAAGAAGGTATGATGCTTTCCCAAACCCGTTTTTTGCAAGACTAATTCCCCGGTCAGTATCCCATAGAAAACGCGTATTCACAATACCTTTCCGCACATTCTGGAAGCTCCAATGCATACACTGGCGCGACATCTACCAACTATTACTTTGAGGTTGGAGCAAAAGCATCAGAAGATGCAGGCCCAAACGAAGCATCACCTCTTTTTGGAGCTCTGGACCGGTTCGCTCAATTCTTCATTGAACCTCTTTTCCTTTCCTCTACCCTGGACCGAGAGCTACGCGCTGTCGATTCCGAGAATAAGAAGAACCTGCAGAGCGATCAATGGCGACTACACCAACTGGAGAAGTCATTATCAAACCCCAAACATCCATACTGTCATTTTTCTACTGGAAATTTTGAGGTCCTGAAGACACACCCTGAAGAACGAGGAGTTGACGTGCGACAAAAATTCATGGATTTCCATGCAAAGCACTATTCCGCGAACAGGATGAAACTAGTGGTTTTGGGTAGGGAGCCATTAGACACATTGGAAGAATGGGCAGCGGATCTTTTTGCTGGAGTGCGGAACAAGAGCCTACCACAAAATCGTTGGGAGACGGAGGTACCATTTGGAGCAAATGACCTCTCGACTCAATGCTTTGCGAAGCCGGTCATGGATTCTAGAGAACTGGACCTTTCATTTCCTTTTATAGACGAGGAGCTGCTCTTCGAATCGCAACCAAGCCGCTATATCAGCCATTTAATTGGCCACGAAGGACCAGGGAGCATCATGTCTTATATCAAGGCAAAGGGGTGGGCTAATGGGTTGAGTGCAGGTATGTCTACTGTGTTTCCTCCTTTTCTGGTGCGAAATTTGCAGCTCCTACGCCGAAATTTCATCTTGTGTCAGACCACGTTTGCTTTATATTATCTCATGTGTTATATACCCTGCATCGACATCCCACCCACTCTCTGGTTATATGGCAGCCACCGAGGTTCCATATAATCTTTGACAGCTTATCTCCCAAGATAGGGATGCAGAAGCTAGTGCTCACACTATTGAACTCTGTTTCAGGAGTTACCTTTAAAGTTTAGCAGTGTCTAGTAAGAATGGTGGGGAATACCAGCTAATGTCCCTTTGACAGGTGCATATCCCGTGTGCCCCGGTACCCCTGGCATTTTCAACTGTCAGATTCGTCTAACTGAGGATGGCCTAAAGAATTACCAGGAAATCGTCAAGGTTTTCTTCCAATACATTTCTCTGCTCAAGGAGACTCCACCTCAAGAATGGATCTTCCAAGAGCAAAAAGGATTAGCGGATGTAGATTTCAAGTTTAAGCAGAAGACTCCAGCAAGTCGATTCACGAGCAAGATCAGCGCAGTCATGCAAACACCTCTACCACGTCAGTGGCTTTTGAGTGGACATAGCAGGTCAGTGGTGTGGATGTTTGACCCCATTATAAATATCTGAGTCACGCTAACGTAGCTGAACCCTGTGACCAGACTCCGAACATTCGATCCCGTAAAGATCAAAGAGGGGCTTGGATGCTTAAGGCCAGACAACCTTCGCATGACAGTCGTGTCTCAAAAGTTCCCCGGTGCATGGGAGTCGAAAGAGAAGTGGTATGGCACGGAGTACACATATGAGAAACTCCCAGCGGACTTCATTGCGGAGATCAAGCGCGCCGCGACTAGCTCCACCAAGAATCGACTGACGGAATTACATTTACCGCATGTAAATCAGTTCATCCCTACGAAACTCGAGGTTGAGAAGAAGGAAGGTTTAGAGCCAGCAATTTCGCCGAAGCTGATCAGAAATGACGAATTGGTCAGGACCTGGTATAAGAAAGGTTAGTTTGCTCGCCTCTGTCTGCTAATAAAATCACTGACGGTTTTCTGCAATTAGATGACACCTTTTGGGTTCCTAAAGCCAACCTTTTCGTCAATTGCCGAAACACTCTACCCAATGCTACGGCAGAAAATTCCCTCAAGGCGCGGTTATTTACAGACGTTGTCCGCGACGCTTTAGAAGAGTACTCTTACGATGCTGAGCTTGCTGGATTAGACTATTCTATTTCGAGCCACTCAATGGGCATCGAAATTGCAGTCTCAGGCTACAATGACAAGCTGCCTGTGCTTTTGGAGAAAGTACTAGTTACCATGAGAGATCTGGAAATTAAACCCGAACGTTTCGAGATCATCAAGGAGCGCTTATTGAGGGGACTAAAGAATTGGGATTTTCAACAACCATTCAACCAAGTCGGAGATTTTACTAGATGGCTCAATAGTGAAAAGGGATATATCAACGAGCAAATACTTGCCGAGTTGTCACATCTCACGGCCGCTGACATCCAACAATTCTTCCCACACTTACTCCGCCAAATGCACATTGAGACATTTGTCCACGGCAATTTATACAAGGAAGACGCACTCAAGTTGACAGACCATATTGAAAGTATTTTGAAGCCAAGAATTCTACCCCAGACTCAATGGCCTATTACTCGGTCTTTAGTATTCCCTCCAGGTGGCAACTTCGTCTACCACAAGACTCTCAAAGATCCGGCGAATGTCAACCATTGCATTGAATATCTGCTGTTTGTGGGAGACAAGTCGCAACGTCCATTGCGAGCTAAGACCCTCCTTCTCGATCAAATGACCCACGAGCCAGCCTTTGATCAGCTACGGACAAAAGAGCAGCTTGGATACGTTGTTTTCAGCGGAGCACGGACTACGGCGACCACGATTGGTTATAGGTTCATTATCCAGAGCGAGAAGACCCCCGACTATCTTGAGTCAAGGATCGATTCGTTCCTTTCCGGATTTGCAAACACTCTTGCTGAGATGTCAGACTCGGATTTCGAAGGTCATAAGCGAAGTTTGATCATGAAGCGATTAGAAAAGCTAAAGAACTTGGATCAAGAATCGAGTCGTCTTTGGGGATATATTGACAGCGAATATCTTGATTTTGAGCTCGGTAAGTAATTTCCCTCGCTGGGCTGGCTTTTACTAATACAACCGTGATAGTTCGTGAAGATGCTGCCAACATCAAGTTACTCACCAAGGCCAACATGATTGAATACTACAATCAATATATCCATCCCACGTCGCCAGCTCGCTCAAAGTTGGCTATTCACCTCAATGCCCAGGGAACCGCGAATGGCGACACTTCAGTCGTCACTGCCGCCGTAGAGAAAGGCATTAAGGCCCTAGGACTAAACAAAGACAAGAAGGACTCCGAGGATGGTGAGGTTATACCCGTCAAAGCGGAGGGCAATGGTACAACACCATACATCATCACCGACGTACGGGAGTTCAAGTCAAAGCTGCAAGTCAGCACGGGGCCGCAGCCAGTAAAACATATCAGCGAGTTCGAGGAGCTGGACTCGAAGCTGTAGTTTGCATTCTAGCATTTTACGTCTGCATCGCACCGGCGTGCAAGGGTTGTGGTGATGCGGCTGTATAGATATCCCAGAAGAGGAACTTAGTCCATCCACATGCCTTCATACAGCATACATCACTTACTTTCCTCGCATTCTTTCCCTTTTTGGGGCTTTCATGTGACACAAACTCTTTTTCATGGATCGTCGAACGAGCGGGGTCGTGTAAGCTTTTTTCCCTCCATGCACCAGTCAAATTGCTTCTATGAGATATCCCTCCTGTGAAGTTCCCGGGCGCTAAAACTACCTGCAAGCGCAGGCATCGTGACAGCGGTTCTCATGCGTGCAGCCGAATTGCGTTTGGTGGTGGTTACACTACATTCTACGTCTTTTACGGTGGTGGTGCAGTTAAAAATTGGATGTAGACGCATGTAGGTCAGCTGTGTGAAGATGGCTGGGGTTGGAGCGAGGGGGTAGTGCTGTTTTGGGATGTGGTTATTCTTCTTTCGGACGGGATTCCGAGGTGGTTTTTACGCATTTGTGGTGAAGCGGTTAGGGAGGGCTCGAATGGGGAGGTCAAGGCGAGGTGGCGGTTTACCGTATGGAAGGGGGCTTCTTTTCTTAGTTGGGGGCGGAAGGGAAGATGCGGTGATGATTTCAGTTCAGTATTGACTTTTCGGGGAAGTATTCCTCTACTCGTCAATGCTACTCTTGCCTTAGCTTTAAAGTCTACTATCTGCTTTTCTATGCCCCGAATGTTGGAACCCACCGTCTGGAGCGATGCGTCTAAAGCTCTTAGTCAAATCGGATGGGAGAAGGGCTAAAGGACAATCTGCATTCGTTCATAAGGCTGAAACGAAATGTCTCTTAAAGGGCACATTCAGAATCGTAGGTGCCGCTTGGGTCAGCGTGGAACGGCCAGAGACGCGCAGTTGAAGGCCTATCAAATTTCGACAGAAGGCGTCTCAGCGGTTATCTCGAGTCACGTTTTGTAGGGAAAGCCCAGCACCATTTCGTAGTATGAAACTGGCTCAGCCATTGTGGGCTTCTCTAATTTTTATAATATCTAGCGTTTCGATATTATGTTGACAGTCTCAGCCTTCAATTTGTTGGTGTTGGTGCTAGTTGTCCCTGCTATGAAAGTGAGTTGCCTTGCAGTTGTCGATCTACAGAATGTTACACTACTTGCTCTTACTTAGAGATTTCATAGCATCGATCCTGTATCCAACGGCTCTCTCTCCAATTTCGAACCTAAAAATCATCTGCCATGGGTTGCGGAGACTCCAAGTCAGAACAAGCAGTACAACCTGCTTGCCGTGTCGAAATCAGCGGCCCTGTTGATCCACCTGGGATGGTCCCGAGACCAAGAAGAGACGCTCGAGGAGTTCCAATTGTTGCGGAAGCACACGACCTTGGTCGAAAGAACATCACTGAAACTCTTGGTTATGTGGCACATTACCTTCATTCATGTGGGAAGAATCTGGTACTCATTGCTGTTGGTGGGGCTGTCAACACGATTCTCCTTCGCACTCGCCAATCTACACATAATGTAGATCTTTTCAATCCCGCATTTTCCGGCTCCGAGCTGTCTATATTCCGCTCTGCAATCAAGTACGCAGAGCAAAGAAGCCCGGCATCTCTTGGCGAAAATTGGCTCAAAAACGAGACTGGTACTATTAGCAGCACCGCCCAGAATGTTCCCAATTTGATCGAGCTGGCAAAACAACAAAACGATGTGGTCTTCCAAGCTGCCTTACCGTCCTAGCAGTTCCGTGGCGGTAATATGGTCATGAAAGATATGTCGTAACTATACATCTTGATGAGAAAGTAGTTTCAAAGGGCGATGACTTTAGCTACAAAACATATCAGCACCTGGTATATGGTTTTACAATACCTCCGTACTTGAGTATTTGACTTTGGAATGCAAGTATTTAGTGGACAAAGCCTGGAATTTGAGTTTCTAGGCTTTAAGGGGTTTATCTCTAGTGCACAAGAAGCCTGTATTGTAGGTACTAGGTACCTATGAAAAAAGCTGCGGGGTATGCACAGGCCTGGTACAACATCTAACTCCATCTCAGCTGTTCAACTCAGCCCAACCCCAACATCATACACGCCTCTCTCTGCCGGTCTCTATGGCTATTACATCCAAGGCACCAGCCAGTCCTAGAGCCATTAGTAGACAATTCATATGATCTCCGACTCATCAAAAACAGAGCCTACTACAATCGATCGCAAGGAAGTTACGCTCATGGGCTACCCTTCCCAGTCCAACATCGCCCATTAGTGACACGATCTCTGTTATTTGCTTCTCAGATACGCACATTACGAAACCTACGGTACCAGATGGAGACATCCTTCTACATGCTGGCGATCTCTCGCAATATGGGTTCTTTGATGAGATCCAAGCCCAACTTGATTGGCTGAACGCCCAATCCCACAGATACAACATCATCATTGCCGAAACCCACGATCTCATCCCAGACGAGAAATTCGTAAAAGCGTATCGAGATCGCGAAACAGCCAAGCCGAGGAAGTCTCGTACTGATCTGTAGTGGGGTAGTATCACATACCTCCACAACAGCTCTGTGGAGGTCAAATGCAATGGTCGAAAACTAAAGATATATGGTGGCTCTCCCATGACACCAAAATGTGGAACTTTTGGGTTTCAATATAATCTAGATGGAGACATTTGGGCTGGAACTATACCCAAAGACACAGATAATTTATGCTCCGGACTGCGCGACAATAGTGTTTGGAGGCGTCCAACCAAAACCCGATCAAAAAGTATATCCACTCCGGAGGGTTTTTTCCCCGGAGGATCCTCCGATGATATGCGTATTTGGTTTTCTCGATGTCAGTGTTTGGCTTTGCCCCAGGAATGTGAGGATTCATTCGCTTGCCTCAAAACAGGAAAATAAAGGTTGCATTTCTAAGTGCCGAGGGAGAACAGCTCTTTATTCAGCCTTCGCAAGTTACGAGGCAAAAATATTTATAGGCAACCTTGACATCTCATAAAACATGTATAATTACTACCAGGTCCACTAAGCATAGGACTGGGTGACTCCCTAGGGTCTGCTTTCAATTTGGGGTATCAAACTTCCACTTTTACGACTCCAAACTTGTCAATGGTGTCTTCTCCGCTCCTCAGACTTTCGAATGGCTCCGAAGGAATTGCACTGTTGCATAGACCAGGCCATGAGCGTATCGATCCTTCAAACTGTTGTCAAGAGTTCCGTATCTTTATCACCGCGCCCTCATAGTTTTCCGAGGTGGTCCTTCGTCTCCTCCTTGAAAACCTCTCTTGCCTTTAAAACGTGATCCGTCTCCACTAGATAGTTCGGGACATTCTCGTTTGAAGTGTGGTCCTCCGCACTGGTGGCAAGGTCCCTTTTGTGGGGTGGCCTTTCCAGATAGAGAAGTCAATCCATTCAAATTGACCTCTTTCTTCTTCCTATCCTTCCCTTGCTTCAGCAAAGCGGCTTTCTCTTTGTGTTTCTGCGCTTTCCGTTGCTTTTTAAGTCGGTCTATAGCCTCAGTCTCCCGGGAGTCATTATAATAGCCCTTCGAAGGATCGTCATCATCGGATTCGCCGCCACTGTTGGACTCGTCCTCCTCCTCACCAGAATCAGACTCCGAAGAATCCTCTGCTTCTGGATCCTGCTGCTTCTACAGAACTCAGTATTGTCCGAAGTTAGATTTCCGTTACATGAAGGGATCTCACCTCCAAAACCTTATTAAATTTCCCATAGCTCCGTCGTCCTACAACAATAGGTTTATCCTCGTGCTCCTCCTCCATAGATCGAACTTGCAGTGATGGTAAGCTGTCTAGATTTGCGTAACCCGTTGGCACCACCCATAAGGCCAACGCTGGAGACGCAGCCCTCTGCTTTTGATCCTCAAAGCTCAATACCCATCGTGTATCCCCAGCTTCCACAGCCTGCCGGTCGAGTGCTGCTTGCCGTTTTACTTCCTCGTCTGCTAATGCTTTTTGTATGGCTCGTTGATCCGCCAGAGCGTCTACGTCGAACTTCGAAGGTGATGAGTCGGTTCCTTTTTTCCGGCGCTTCGTGGGAGGTTCGTCTGGAGTGGAAGGTGAGGAGGGTGGAGAAGCTGCTGCTCTTTGCATAAATTTCATGGTGAGAAGCCTTGACGACATGGATTTGGGCGCGGACGCACTGCCAGGAGTGCTTGTGGCCGACATATTGATATCCTTTGAGTCTGAAATACTGTAGAAATATACTCGGTATCTGACGGGTTAGTTGGCCGTTCCAAGAGCAAAGAGCTCTGGCTGTTTTATGGTGGGTGCGCAAAGTTGATGGCGGGATAAAATGTTTAGCCGTAAAACCATATTTATAAAACTGCGGAAACCGCAAATTGCTTAGTCATCAGTATTTAGTGGAAAGCGCAACAACGACAGCCCCTGCTTGACCTCAAGCAAGCAATTGAAAATAACCCCAACACAATGTTGCCAACCATACGATCAAGAGCCGTATGGCAACTCTCCAGGAGGGTTCAGGTTTCTGCACGACGAAGCTACGCCTTTTCCGCGAAAGATAAGCAGGAGGTCCACGACACGAACAAGCCGAAAGAGGTTCCCAATGTTTCCAAGACCAATGAGCTTCCAATCGAGTCGCCGCACAAGAGTGAAGCTTTGCAAGAGAGTGTGGAGGATGCAGAGCACCGAAGAATCACGCAGGCGCCGAACAGGGCGACAGTTTGGTCGAAGAATCAAAACCCAAGAGGAAAGGCTATGACGGGACCAAGATTCGAGCAGACTATCATGGAGGCTCAGGTATAACACCCTTGTTTTCGAATAGCTAGAATTACGAGACATGCTGACCTTTTGATTAGCCAGCTCCTTACGCTGCCATTGACTTGATCCACCAGCAACCGGTTAGGTGGACACACGAGAGAGTTGCGGTATGCGATGGAGGTGGTGGACCATTGGGCCACCCAAGGATTTTCATCAATACCGACAAGCCCCAAATTTGCCCGTGTACTTATTGCGGATTGCCCTTTGTAAGTGATTTTTACGTTGATGGGCTGGGGCGGGGTCTTTTACATTCCCCCCCCCCCTCTTTTCTTCGTTTACCCATGAAGAGAAATGCTGATTTAGCTATAGGCCAACGAGCATCATAGAGCGCATCTTGAGTCTCTCCCTGATACCACATACCCATTAGAGGCTCAAGGCAATCCAGCTGAGGTGCCTGAATCCCAACGAATCACCGATGAAGCGCTTGGGCAACGATAAGGATGTATTCATCAAGTCGGAGGCACGGTACTGTATATATGAAATTGAAGAAGTTACCAGCAAAATTCAATGCCTAAAAGTGCAACGTGATCATATCCCGTAGTTTCGAGATATTCGAAGCTCTGGTGGCTCTTGTACCAACTACTTCGATTTGATTTCCTATTTTGCAATCACCCAAACTTTGTGAAGAGGCAATAATCGAGCTGACTTCTTTCGTTTGTCAAGCTATACTTACGTTTTCCTTAATATGGCCCATTTGTAATAGATTTAAAGATGAATGTCTATCGGAAGATGTAATAGCCGGGAGTCGGTAGCTTCATCTGCATTTCTGCATTTTAGCAAGTACAATTTAAAGACTGATACATAGTAATTGTCAGGCGAAGGCCTGCAATTATTCAATTGAAACTTCATAGTTTTTTAACTATTGTCCTGAAATTTAAAAAAAAAAATACCCCTGAATCGCGTGACATCGCTGGCCATCGCGCCTAATACTTTCACCGCCAGTAAATCGAAGCTCTTCGCGACATCTTCAGCCTCATCCCCTCCATACCTCCACAAAACCCCCCCTCCAATTGCCCGCCATGTCGACCATAACGACGACCGCGCTGCAAACCTCCTACCCTCCCTTCCTCCCCAACTCCTTCAACGGCAACCAACCCAAGACAATCCGCCTCTACCCCCTCTCCAACTACACCTTTGGCACCAAGGAAATGCAACCAGAAGAAGACCCCTCAGTCCTCGCGCGCCTCAAGCGCCTCGAAGAACACTACAGCCAACATGGCATGCGCCGCACCTGCGAAGGCATCCTCGTCTGCCACGAACACAACCACCCGCACATCCTGATGCTGCAGATCGCCAACGCCTTCTTCAAGCTCCCCGGGGACTACCTCAAGCCCGAAGACGAGGAGGTCTCGGGGTTCAAGGAACGCTTGAATGAGCGCTTGGCGCCGGTGGGCACGCAGTTTAGTGGTGAGGGCGTTAATGAGGAGTGGGAGATTGGCGATACGCTGGCGCAGTGGTGGAGGCCGAATTTCGAGACCTTCATGTACCCGTTTATCCCGGCGCATGTTACGAGGCCCAAAGAGTGCAAGAAGTTGTACTTTATCCAGCTTCCTAGGCAGAGTAAGTCCCCTTGCATCCCATCAAAATACACTTGAATCTAGGAACAATGCTCATTTTGGTGGTATAGAGGTCCTGAGTGTTCCCAAGAACATGAAGTTACTCGCTGTCCCTCTCTTCGAGCTCTACGACAACACGGCAAGATACGGTCCCCAACTCTCAGCGATCCCGCATTTGCTCTCGCGGTATAATTTTGAGTTTATCGATGAGAAGGGAGAGGTTGTGGCTGTTACGCCTGGCGGGGGTCCAAATGAGGATGGGTATGTGCCTAAGACGAGGGTTCTGGCTGGTTCCGATGAGGAGATGAAGGATGATGGCAGTAAAGGCGAGAATGGGATCTCATGAGCTAGGGTATATATAGGCGTATGGTCTGGCGTTCCGGGCTTGGGGTTGCTTTACATGGAAAGAAAAACTTCGGGTGCACGGGAGCAATATTATCAATGTGAGAAAGGCTTTCTATTGCACATTCGAAAGGAATAGGTATTAAAGTCCCTCAACATAAAATGCAATATTATCAAAGCATTTGTTGCTACCAGAACGTGATCTTTTTGTCATAATGATATGTCCAACGCCTTTGGCTAATACCCTCAAGCATCCTCCTCTCCCTAGGAAAATTATTTCCGGGCGTGTCTGCTAACCCTGAACTCCAACACCAGAAGAAACAATTACAATCCACTTGTCAATTTCTCACCCATGCAATATCAATAGGGTTTCGTTGACGATACAAATAAGGAGAGGCCGCATGTTGCGACCAGTCACCTTTAGACTTCATATACCCTAGGTAACACACGCTAAATAATGCAGGTTTATTGTTGATAAGTCTACGGTAAGCAGAGCTGAGCAAGAGACTTCTCTCCTAAGAGAGAAACCTCAAATCCAGACAGAGCTACCCCCTAAAAGCTAAAATTCAATGCTCTCTTACCGCCATCTCCCCATCGTCTCCAAATATGATATAGCAATTTTCGTGTGAAGCGCTGCAAGATGTGCCAGAAACCGAACAGCAAGACCACGTTCCCTCCATAGCCTATAAAGGAATGCCATGCAACCCGCCAAGATCAACGCGAGAGAGCTGGAGTAGTATCCCGGGGATCTGATTTCTGCCAAAGCTTTACCAACCATCTTTAGGGGCTTTGGTCTCAACTCCGCCAAAGTTCCCACCACCGGCATTCGTGTTTCCAGGGCTATTATTTCCATTTCCTCCACCCCCCGAACCACCACTTCCATTGTTCTGAGTGCTTTGAGCCACTGACTGGTTTGCCCAGGACGCATTATTTGTAGGCTGTCCCCAAACGTTGTTAGGACTGGACGACGGCGCGGCGTTTCCTGAATTTCCTGTATCCCAGGAGTTGGTATTCTGGTCATTACCATTTGCATTGATTCCACTCCCCGAATTGGAGTTCTGTCCATTGCCAGTTCCATTTCCCGAGCCCCATGGGTCGGAGTTTTGACCACCACTATTTGCATTGCTCGCAACCCCCGAGTTGCTGCCTTGAGCACCTCCATTTGTATCGCCCCATCCTCCTGAGTTTTCTCCTCCACCGGTAGACTGCTGTCCCCAATCACCCCCTCCAGTTGCTGCTTGAGCATCTCCATTTGTGTCGCCCCATCCTCCTGGGTTTTCTCCTCCGCCAGTAGATTGTTGTCCCCAATCGCCCCCTCCATTTGTCGCTTGAGTAGACTGGTTGCACCAATCCCCTCCATTCGCTCCATTTGCTCCACCACCACTTGACTGACCACCCACCGTATCCCACGTTTGATCAGCTTGAACAGCCGGCGAGGCTTTATTGCTGCCTCCACCTGAGTCCCAAGCTGGCGGGGCAATTTGGGGTGACGCGTTGTTGTTTCCCCCGCCTTGCGAGCCAGAAGACTGCGCTTGACCCCAGCTGTTTCCGGAATTTCCACCTGGGTTTGAGTCTTGGTTCTGCGAAGGATTCACTTCACCCCATCCATTACCGTCGTAGACAGTTGAGATTTGGGGTTGTGCAGATTGGTTTGCATCCCATCCATTGCCGGAGGCCTGATTATTCGGCGATGAAATTTGATTCCAGCCCGGGTTAGGCGATGGCTGAATTCCTCCTCCATTATTACCAGAATTGCCGTTTGAGTTTTGGTTTTGTGGATTTTTATCGTTAACCCAGCTTCCTGGCATAGTGGGAGTATTTGGCTTCGGATTAGTGACACGAGGAGAGTTCCTCTGCTGAATATTTCCGCTGTTAGGGTTGGATTGCTGAAAGTTCACTCCCGTTGCACTGCAAACTTGAGCGAATGGTTGGCCATGCACAGAAGGTGGCCCGGCGGTTGAGCGTGCGTGAACTGCGCCAAAGCCACTCATAGGAGGAATAGGAGGAGGAGCAAATGTGCCAATCGGCATCTTAGGAGGAGGGATCAGGCTTGAGTATGGATTGCCAAAGACATCGCCATGGTACACACGAAGTATGCCACTCCTCGCGCAGTAAAAGGCGTTTGGGCGAGGGTCGCTGGGTATTTCAATGACATCTTCCCGTTGGACAACCTCTGCCCTACGGTGCTGGACGATTCGAGAGTTTGGTATAAGCGCCGCACGAGGGCTCTGATTCTGCCTCTGAGCGCTCATTTTGCTATGAGGAGGTTTCGATGGGTTTTGCTGATTGTTGATATTGTCGTGTTTGATTTGATGAGTTTGACAGCGATGTGGTGAATTTGTATTTCTCTGGTTGTTTTGATTCGGTTGCTGGTTCTTCTGGTGAATGTTTTGCGGATTCTGCTGCCGTGCGCCGGTTGTCTGATATTGTGACTGACCACCATCCCAGTTCTGCTGAAAATGATTTGGCACTGCGTTTCCATTTTGCTGATACGGCTGTGAGGCCTTTTGAACATGTTCAATGTTGGGATGTGGAGGGTAATTGTGTCCTGCTTGGTTCTGGCCCCGATTGATCTGTGGATTATGCACATTCTGTGAGTGATTGTGAACCATACCATTACCTCCTTTTGCTTGACAAGACTTGCATGGCGGCTTCCCACCCTGGTTGCCACCGTTCTCATGAGCTTTCTGGTCATTCTTGCTATTTTTCTTAGAACCGGAGTTCTCCATGGTTCCTTCTGCAAACCGGACCTTCTTGGTTGCCTTTTTTGGTGTTGATTCCTCTGTTGTAGAAGAATCACCCGCATCTGAAATCGACGAACAGTCAGAGGATTCGTAATCACTGCATGTCTCAACAGAAACAGATAGCTTATGAGGAGATCTTGACCTCGACCTATACTCGCTATGCTGGGGAGCTTTCGACACTGGATGCGTTTTTGTCTCTGGAGGTGATTTCGTCTTCGGAGGTGGTTTTGTCTCAGCCTTTGGCTTGATTTTGGGAATTGGAACCCCTACGATCCATTCCATCAACGAGTCAGGGTATCTGACCCCGATGGCCCCCATTTGCTGACCCGCTGTGGAAATATATTGATATGGGATAAAATATTGCTCGAATTGATAGAAATCGTAAGTTTGGAGTAAGAATAAAAGAGAATCGGAAACCGTCCAGTCCGGGAGGGTATTGTGAGGGTGAGAATGAAGTGTGAGGATATAAAGAGCGCGTCTAGCAGAGTCGCCGAGAACAGTATCAGAAGAGTCGGTAGATGTCCCAGCGTCTACTAAAGAGTCACTTGTCCGGTAAACGTAGGAGCACTCTGGCGCAGCCAACACATTAGAAACACTGTTGACTCAGGAGTCCCGAGCGTTGGCCTTACAGTTGTACATGAATTGAACAGACAAGTCGCCACGACTAGCGCGACGTCCTGGACCTTAGATGAGAGGGTTATAAGAATTTGATTATTTGCGGCGCTTGAAATATATTAAATGCGGATAAAGGATCTGGGGTTGTTCAGACACGTCTGGAGGGGGCTGACTGAGAATACCGCGTAAAGTCACACGCTCGACTCGATCGGTCGGCGTGGAGTCGGTGAAGGCGGACCAGTGAAGGTAGAAGATTGAGGAAGATATAGAGTAACCACCCTACTTTGGTGAGATGCCCAAGAGAAGTTTAAGAATGTTATGGATGTCGTGAAAGCTGGGCGTGGTGAGGTGAGAAAGAGAGACTCTCAACTCCGCCTTCCGAATCCGGCCAACACCATCAAGCGGTTGGCGCAACCGCCCTCACGGGTAGCATTATATAGAATTCAACTTTGGAAGATAGTACTTGGTTGAAGAAAGTGACCTTTGTGACCTTCATGTATTCCTAGTGAAACATCGAACGCGATAATGTGAATATAAGAGCAGTATTTATTCAGTAGGTTTAAGGCTTTCTCCACGGCTGCAAAGCGCCCCTCTCCTGCCGTAAATTTTCAACTGGCAGTGATTGAATCAACATTGACATTTTGGAAATGGATATGGTGTAGCATATACGAGCTCAAACTCATATGGGACTTGATGGGATCTTGACCAAGAATCGGAATCAACTTTAGTATCGACGCCGCACTGGCAACGCCTTAAGTATTCACAAACGAAGTAAAGAATCAACTACCTTATAAGCTTTGATTATGTTTTCAAAGCTTAGCCCATTCCCTCAACTCCTTCTGCTTCCACCTCCTACTAATCACCGTGGACCTCCAGTAGCTCCAGACGGCTAGCAGCCCTGCAAATGGTGGACATAACCAGAGTAGCCATGCCCACCACCTCGGACTTCTGCCCTTAACTTCCCCTATAACCTTGTCCAGCTCGCTCTTCAATGCTTCCGTCCCCCCATCATTCCAAACCACTACCCCTCTCCCACCCTCCTGTGCCATAAACTCAGCCCTCTTCGCCTTCTCTCTCACATCCCCCTGACTCCTCACTCTGTTCTGCGCATCCTCCTCAGTCAAATGCGAGTCCCTATCCATTAATCTTTGCATCTGTATCTTCGGATCGCTCACAGCAACAACCATCACAATACCGCATAGCGAGTCCAGCCCGCTCTCAAACAACAACGGCACGTCGAGCACCACGGCCCAATTTCCCTTTAAATAAGCCAGCAATAAAGCCTTATACATCTCTTTCCTCACCGCAGGATGGACAATCCCATTCAGCACCCCACGATCCTTTCTCCTCTCCTCACTATCTCCAAATACTCTCCTCCCAAGCACAGGTCTATTCAATGGCGCGCCTTGAGGGAATTTAGACACATCGTATTCGGATGCAGGGAGAAGTAGATCGGGAGTATCATGGAGGAAGTGCTTGAGGATGGCATTGTAGCCCGATGTGCCAGGCTCGACGACTTTGCGTGCTAGGAGGTCGGCGTCGATTATGGGGAGGGAGTAGGGTGGTGAGGAGAGGATGGATGAGACGGTGGATTTGCCGGTTGCGATGGAGCCTGTGAGGCCAAGGAGGAGCATTATTATGGATCGTTACAGTATGCAATTGAGTGTGTTGAACTGAGGTTGTGAGTCGGGTCTGGGATGGAATGCGGGGGAGGACGGTGTTGCCCTTGCCAAGCTTTGTTGGCTTGTGATGTGCCGAGCCAACTTCACCAGCCCGCCGCTCAATTTATTCTACAATATATCTACATCTACATCCACAACCGCAAACACCTTTCACATCGCATCGAGGCCAAGTCGTGTTAGTAAGCATGCAAAGAAATCATGATCATGCAAAACTTTGGTTCAACCCGCTCCATGTTTTTCTCTTATCTACCTAGGCCCTCCCCTGAAATTCTTGCTCTCATGATTTGCTACTCTATAAGCATTCCACGGGTCAACTACCGCAGATTCTGACGACATCAAATAAGCTAGAGCACGGGTGGGAAGCTACCACATCTTCGTTTTCGTATCCGAGCATGGCGATTATATATTGTTATATTTTTGAATCGTTTGGTAACTGAGGGGTTCGGTTCAGGTTCGGGTTCTGATGCCAAGTCTCGAAGTGCTTGACTGTTGCCGCTACATACTGAAGTGAAGCCGCATTCTTATGACTGTACACTTACACTTACACTCCCAACCAGGCCAGGTCTGTTCTATCTCCGAGTAGTTTATAACCGTGTATCAGCAAAATCCAGAGGTCCAAAGTTTAATATATGGATCCATATCATCGTCGCCAACCAGTAATAAACGAATAGATCTGGAATGAGGCCCTGCCCCCCTAACTTTGTAATCAATGAAATCTCCGCCACGGAACCACGGAAGTAAAGCCGGATATGTTCACACTGACGTCGTTGGATATCTCAACAGGAAACATTAGTGGACGTCAAGCATGAATTTTCTATTGCACGCAAATACAGCTGGCCTAGGCCTCCTGTTATGTTTGTTGTTCAAGCTAGGAGATAAGGGCTACAACCTTCTCCCATCTCTCCTTTGCCCTTTTTTCACTTTCCAGTCTTGCGACGAATTATCCAAGCACTTCATTCAGAATAGGACCGAAGGAAAAAGAAAAGAATCACTATGACTTTCGGCTCAAATGATGGCTCTCTCAAGATCGAGGATGAATCAACTACTCATCCCAGAAGCGACACCAAGATAAATGGGGCCTCGACATCACCAAATAAAAACACCTCAATTCTCCATCCAGATCTAGTGATCAAATTGAAAGAAGAGATTCCCGAACCAGAAATTCTAGGCTTAAAAGAGGAATTGCCTGGCTGGCATGGATATGTAGAATGGGAGCAGTATCCGGAGAGGAAGAAAAAGGTTCAGGCATTTATGAAGAAATTCGACTTTCCCGGCGTAAGACCAACCCCCATTTCAAAGATAATACCAAGTTATGAACACGAACGCTTTGCTGATGACTGGATATCAGCCGCCAGAATTCCAACTTGTACCGCTCCCGAAAACGAATCCAATCCTTGAAGGTGTCAGATGGAAGCAATATCACTATGCATTAGGCAAAGCGACTAAGGATATGCCAGCTGAGAGTTGGTTGTTCGTGGAGAAAGAGAAAAGTCCTGACATGATCCACGTTCTACAATTTCCCTACAATGGGGAGCCTCCCAAAGTATATTCACACTTCCATTTTTTCCTGTAAGAAATTAATCTAACTTTTGCAAAGGGACGCCTGGTTGAGACCGCCATCACGAGAAACGAAGACCACTTCGTCCGAAATCACGGTGGTATCCCGGAGATTGATGAAGATGCGTATTTCTTCGACGTCGCGGGACTCGTCAATACGCCGAAACGAATCACTATGGCAGAATTGAAGAACGAGGATCTCTTCCCGAGACAAAGCACCACCGTGACAATTCAGTGTTCCGGGACTAGAAGAATTGAGCAAATCCGTGAGTATCCCGGCGACGGAGACGAGCTGATCAATGCCCCTGTAAGTACCCTTCTCTTGTACATATATTTCTATTGACCTTGCACAGTGGGCAGAAGGTGCTATCGGAACCGCAAAATGGACTGGTGTCTCCCTCAAGAAAGTAATTAAATACTGCGGTGGCCTTAAAGACCCTTCCGCAGCCCCGCACCTCGAATTCCTCGGCGCAGACACCTATTTTAAAAAAGGCGAAGTCTACAACTATGCTGTCTCCGTACCCTGGCGAAAAGTCAAGATAAACGAAGTGCTACTAGCATGGGAAATGAACGGTGAACCGTTGCCCAAAATACACGGCTTCCCGTTGCGCGCTGTAGTTTTCGGCTATATTGGCGCAAGGTCTTGCAAGTGGTTGACGAGGATCAATGTCATTTCTGGTCCGTCTATGGGGCCAGTACAGCAGAAGGAGTATCTCTATTATAATTCGCAGGTTGGGAAGCATAATGCAACGTATTCTTCGGGGTTCAGTATTCAGGACATGCCGGTTAGTTCTGCTATTATGACTCCCCTGGATTTGGATCAGATTATCCACGAAGGTACGATTAAGTTGAGAGGATGGGCGTATTCAGGAGGAGGGCATTGGCCTGTCAGAGTCGAGGTCAGTGGTGATGGAGGAAGTATCTGGTATGAGGTGCCGTATCAGAACTTGTCGGAAAAGTATTACCATGCTTGGAGATTGTGGGAGATTGATCTACCAGTTGATGCAGAGGGCTGGTTGGAATTAGTAGTGAGGTGTTGGGACAATTCACTGAATACTCAGCCTACATTTGTCAGGTCTACTTGGTAAGCGCACTCGCCCCTTTGATCGCTAGACTAATAGAACAGGAACTGGGATCTTCACGTCACTTCATCGTGCCATCGAATCAAGGTCTTTAGCATAAACAAAAGCAGACCAAACACAGCTGCCCGGCTGAAGAAATTTGAAGATCTAGGTGTCCCTTTTCTGCCGATTACACATCCCGGGGAAGATGACTTGGAGGATGAGGAGAAATATATAAGTGAGATGGAAAATAGGGGCGGTCGGGATCCGCTGGAATAGGTCTTGCGCATGTTGAGTAGCTTGAACTTGATGAACTGCACTTGAGGAATCTCTAATGACATCTCGATATAGATATAGTGTTTATAGCAACTATTGGTACTTCACGTTCCAGAACGAGGTCTCTTGAAGTTCGCTTATTGAAATATATTATTTATCTAGAGAAGTTCATCGCCGAATGTCATGGTGCTAAGTACTGCAAGTCGACTCAAACTCCCGAGACATGTACAATACCGGGCCGAATACAAGGTAACTCAAACTATAAATTTCACAGTTCATCGAAATCCAAAGCAATGGGCGAGGCCCGTACTGTCTCACAAACATGTACCCCGGATTTGTGAAAAATCAGATCTATTGCAACAGTAACACCAACCCCAAGCAAAGGTAACACGCAAAGATCATGCTTTTATTCCAGAAGCAAATTGGTCCAGCCTTGTCCCCCCTGCCAGTTACCCGCCTCAAAATGAACAACAGACCAAACCAGACGCCAACATCAACCTACCACCCTTTACTTTTGTCACACCTGCCACCCCCTAATTTGTCCCACCTATCACCTCACCCAGCCCTATCTGGCAATCCACGCCCGCCATCAACCTCAGGTGATCTAATCCCACTCTCAACCACACCCAACGCGCGCCCCAGCAACAATCCCAAAAAAGGCACTGAATCCAACAAACTGCCCGCAGGCGCCGCAACCCCAGTTCCACTACTTAACCTTTCCAAAGGACCCCGTCGTTTATCCAGCCCTCCCAGCACACCTCCCGCAACCGGGACTCCAGCTACCGGATCCCTTGTACTCTTTGCTAAACCAGCATCTCCATCACCATCGTCTCCGGAATCAGGACTTTCCTCTTCGCAAACCCCCTCGGCACGGCGGATCGGCGGACCGTCTGTGATATGCCAGCCGTGGTGTGGTTCACCAGGTGGGTATTCTCCCTTTATCTGGCGAGTACGTATTACCCCGCCGTCTCCATTTCCGCTTTGCATGCTGGAGTCGACGGATGAGAGAGGATGGTCGATTTCTGGGAAAGTGGCTTGTGCTGGGGTAGGGGCCTGGTAAGGAGTTAGTGGGTGTTATCAAGGGGGCGTGGAGGGGAGGGACGTACGGAAAATGGGGCAGCGAGGGAGAAGGGCAGGAGGGTTAGGATGAGTAGCGTGAAGAGATACATTGTGAATGAGTTGTGTAGTTAGGGAACGTGTATTTGTTTACTGGGGAGATGAGAGGTCTGCTGAAGTTAAAGGTCTTAGAGAGAGGAAACTACATATATGTAGATCTGAGTCTCTGTGCTCTAACTCATTGGCATTAGGAAAGGGGAAGATACAAAAGGCTTGTTTGAGATGTGGTTGTCACGACTTCCCGAGACATGAGGGCATCTGGTTTGTTCGCCCTAGTATGAAGTTTGACGATTGAGTTGGACAGAGCTTCATGATTGGTACACTCTGGAGTGAGTGCAATGGTGTGGAATTACGAAGTCTGACTGTGATAGATGAATAACGGGTTGAGCATGAGTTGTACAGCCCATGGTGTCCACTTATTGGATGAATATCTTCCAAGCTTGCAACTCTCAATTATATTTGAGAAACGAGTACGAGTATACTCGAGGCATCAAGTACTATACCTGTACCCAAACAACAGGACTTTGGATTTCGGAGGCGCCGCGTGATTCCCGCCTGCCGTTTCCCGTTTCGTCTGCAGCGCTATAGAACATATGTATTCGTGCAGGATCTTGTCTCGATCTTGGGACGTTTCTAGATGATGTGCGGTATGCCTTTCTTCCCCCTTGTAAACTGTGCAGCTAGCGGGACTATGCAGGATCTGGCCTGTCCCAAGTTCAGGAAACAGTCCGTTCGATCTCATGCAGTGTAACAGTTCAAATGTAAAATTTGACCGTGCCAGCTGCCAACCGATTGATTGGTGACACTGTCCTGTCATTTGGTTTCCCAGATCAAGGGAAAGTGCATGCTTTCAACACCAAATGCAAGATTCCCTCTAGATGAATTCCATTCTTAAAATCGAGGGAGAGGCGGGGCTCAGCAACAAGCCGAGTGGAAGCCAGCATATTGCCCACCGGGGATATATTGTTTATCTACCGCCGGGAACTACTTAATTTTTTCCAGATAGGAGATCGTAGACTCTCGTACTGATCTGTGAGTTGCCACTTCCGCGGCAATACAGCACAGGAAGGATGTGAACCTAAGGTTGCTTGCCGTAGCGGAATCCCACCCCCGGGCCCCATTTCCGGCTTCGGTTATTTGACTACCTAGCCTTGTCTAACGGGCCGAATGAATATTGATTGACGAGTCTGACGTTATTTCTTTAGAGCTACATGGACAATAGACCGGTATGTTGGTCTTTCTTCTCGAGAAATTATGTGAACCTCAATGGAAATTGAAATATCCCCACATCTTCCCTGTTTGTGACATTAGGCAATCAAGTGATGCCATCTAAGAAAAAACAGCCAGGCACCATGGATAATCCCGCGAAATGTATATGATCATAAGTGTTTCTTTCTATTTTGAAGTCGTCGCATCATGATAGTATATGCTTAGAATCAACTATTATCAAAGGACAGACCTCCCCCATCTCTTTTCTAGGTCTTCATCCCTCCCATACAAGATTTTCTGCGCCGAATCGAGCATCACCTCAAAAGGCCATTCGACTTTTTGATTTCCGACATCTCTCGCGTCGATGGCAATAATCTATGAGTCAACTTGTTAGTAAACATTCTACTTACAAGGCAAAATATATCTAGTGAAAAATTAAAGCTCACTTGATCAACCAACCCCGATCTTCTAAGCACCTCAAATTCTATTCTCTTCCAGATCCCCCATATGGGTGGGTTGTTGATATCATTATGCATGACAGTGGCAACTTTTGCAGCCTTCCTGGCGAAAGCTGCCGACATGTTTTCAAAGTAAGCTTTTTCCTGCTTCGGATCCGACATAATGCACCATAATGGGTTATTCCTCGTTTGATGGTTCTGATAAGTCTCACATGGCCAGATATCCTATTTGGGAGAACCTGAATTAGTTGGGCGCAAATCAAGTAAAGGTATAAAGAGGGTGTTGGACGCGGACACGACTTACCCATATTGTGACTTTCGCAGCTCGTCTCGCGAATTGCTTCGCTTTAGCGGAAAGACCCTGCGAGTAGAACAGTGCGTTGGAATCGAGAGACGTTAACCGCCACTCTGGTTTTGTATTTTGCTCGAACCACTGTGTGCGGTCAGAACAGATCAACGGAAGGTTTAGTCTCACTAACCTCGACAGAATATTTGGAGATACTGTCACATTGGACTGGTGTCACAAGAGGCTTAGCAATAGTCGTGCCTAGGCCTGTGATGAAGATCGCCAGGACCACCGAGAATCTCATGGTGAAGAATAGAGAAGACGAATCAGTATTTAGGAACTCTAGGTGTGTTGTTTGAAGATATCCTCCCTAGCCATTCGAGCAACCCTGGGATCCGAGCTAGAAAAGATGTTCGGAGTATTCCGGAGGCCAATAGTTCAAAGAATCGTTATAGTAGACCTTGGTACGGTCTTGGTTGACTTGCGTAGGTAGGCAATTTACAGTATCTATCAGTGGGGTCTACTCTTAAATTCCGATAACCACGAGTCTCGTTGCTCTCACTCGAAATGAAGCGAAGGGTCAGACAGACACACATCTATCTTTGCTCCAGGCGACGGACGAATAGGAACTATGATTCTCATGAAGCCGAAGTTGTACAAAGATGAGCTTGCTAAGTCTGAAAATGCAAGAAAATTGAGAGGTGGGATGAAGTGGGATGTTGTTTGTGTTAAGGATTACCGCCTTAGGCTAGAGAACGTGCATAGCCCCTGCAGCGGCGTTGTTGGAAATGCGCCTTGGCGGCACTGCCCAGTAGGATTTTCTGGGTTCCTGAGAAAACGAATGATTTCCTCCCAAGTGGATCATTTATGTCAAAGATCGCAGGAACTCTAATAAGCTTTCCCGTAAAAGGTACATAACCACACTCAAGTTCGTTGACGAATGGCGACCCGGCAACCAAGACTCAGTCAGTAGAGGCGAGCCCCTGGGGAGATCTCGATGTCGCTGAGACCCACTGAGATTGCAGGGGGCCCGTATCCCAGAACAAATAGGGGTTGCTCGCTAAACCCTACGCTCAGCGATGTTGGTGGAGAGGATGGACTAGGACATGAGACCCAACCTCCAATGATTTCGTACCAAGTATCTCGGCTGAGAGGCAAATGAAAGACATGAGCTGAATCAAATTCCGGGCGTTATGCCTTCATTTTAAGTGTGGAATCACAAATTTTTGGGGTTTGGAGGAGTGCATGGTGCATATGGATATAATCCGCCTTAGTAAACCAGATGCGACTATGCGATACAAAATACTTGGGCATGCTTCCGACTGCGCATAGCTTACCCAAGTAAGACCTTACAATAAACTTCGGTAAGAAGTACTGTAACGGCATCGATGCGGCTGAGCAAAGGTATATTATAACAACTTCCTGTCCCTGCCACCATAATGATAGGATTCATCATCGTCTTAGATCATGGCTTCCTCAATCGACGCACAGCGACCTTCGAGTACAATGGTTTTACCAGGGCACAGTATTTCCCCGGGACGCCTAGCGTTGAGCAAGGCGGCAGGCGAAGGGGATGCTGATGGCGTGCAAAGACTCCTCGAAGAAATACCACGATCTATCGAGCTCCCACAACCCCGCGCCAAGTATCTTAAAAACGCACGACTTGCAGCTGCGAAGAACGACGTACAGGATGCAAGCAAAAAAGGAGACATGGTTCGCTTGCAGGCAATTCTTAAACAATGGAAAAGCGAGACTTCCATTCGTGATCCCGTGCCAGAAGACTTCCTGTACTGAAGTAAGTTCCCAAGGCAATTGTTGTTTGTCTTTAGCAACAAAATTGACACAAAGCAGCGCCGCTGTAGAAAATGAAGAGCTGACGAGGTTTCTTCTCGACCAAGGCGCAGATCCAAATCTGACTAGCTTCAGAGGTATGAAGTCCCTAGAATGTGCTACATCCTTGTCGACTATATTTGTAGTGTCCTTATTGCTGGAAAGAGGTGCACGTCTCGAGAGGTGCAATGCATTACATCATGCTGTCTGCACCAGGAAATTGGACAAGGAATGTTTTTGAATGATGGAATTCTTACTTGGGAAGGGCGTGGACATTAATGACAGGTCTTGGAAGATCAAACAAAAGGTACCATACCGTACGACTGCGGGTACAGCGCTCATGTCAGCGGTGAAGAAGCAAACAGCGAGTAAGATGGTTACTAAATCATGGGGCAATCTCAATATCGCGGATGACGGCGGCTAGAAACCAATCGACTATGCGGTTGACCAGCCATTGCTTGAAGTTTTGGATGGCGCAGGAGAGCTTTGATACCAGGTCAAATCTAATGATCATGTTCGGTCGACTTGACTTGGTAGCATGAGAGCAATCTATAGAGAAACTCAACCGCGTAGAATGCTTGACATCGGATAAAGGGGCACATGTGTTTAAGATAGACGTTTCGGCACGTATCAAATGAGTTTGGGGAGAGCTATCTTGATTCCTGAATATCAGCACCTAATAGTCAAGAATAAATATCTGATTTAAGTGTGAACGGTGAAGTGGTTCGATTTTCGGATACCTCAATTATATTTTGTAAAGACCAAGGAGGCGTTGGTACCACCAAATCCAAAGCTATTTGATATAGAGACATTGACATCTTTCTTTTGTGCCGATAAAGGTATATAGTTGCAGTTGAAGTTGTTGTCGGCATTCTGCAAGTTGAGCGTAGGAGGCATGACATTCTGAATTAGAGTCAGTAACAGAAGATTCTAAGAAACCTGTGTGGAGTTCGCCTTTACCTCTTTGACTGCCAGCACTGAGAATATTGCCTCGATGGCGCCCGCAGCTCCCAACAAATGACCTACGGCACCCTTGGTACTACTAACAGCGATCTGATTCTCGCTGTCGAGACCATCCTCCCCAAGCATTAAACTCTTGATAGCAGAATTCTCGGCAGCGTCTCCAAGTGGAGTGCTTGTAGCATGGGCATTGATATAATCGACTTCCTTTGGCCGAATACTTGCGTTCTTGAGAGCTCTCTTCATAGCCAGTAAGGCGCCCGCCCCATCCTCTCTTGGGGCAGTAATGTGGTGGGCATCTCCACTAAGTCCATACCCTTGGAGCTCAGCATAGATCTCGGCCCCACGTGCCTTTGCGTGCTCTAGTTCTTCGAGGACAACAACCCCTGCGCCTTCAGCTATCACAAACCCGCATCTATCTCGATCAAAAGGGCGTGAGGCGGAGTGAGGGTCGTCGTTGTAGGAGGTGGCCAGTGAGCGAGATCTCGTAAAGCCAGCAAGAGCAAGAGGATGAATACAAGATTCGGAACCACCTGCGATCATAACGTCTGCATCACCGAAAGCAATAAAGCGCGAGGCGTCTCCAATGGCATGTGCCCCGGTGGTGCAAGCAGTCGTGACAGCATGATTGGGCCCCTGCAAGCCATACTTCATAGAGATATGTCCTGCGCCCAGATTGATGAGTAGCTGGGGGACGAACAATGGCGATACTTTCTTGTATCCCTACGCACGGATCTCAGCAAACATTTCTCGATCCAATTCTGCTTGATAGCTCACGGTCTTATCATAGGCTATGCTGGTATTATAGAGCTCCTCCAGGTTTCCAATTCCACTTCCCAAACAAACGCCAGTCACCTCCTTGTCTTCCTGACTTTGCGGTTTCCACCCAGCATCTTCGAGAGCCATCTCTGTGGCAGCAACCGCATACTGCGTAAACTTTGCCATCCGGCGCTCTTCTCCCTTAGCTAACCAGTCCGAGGCCTGCCACCTGCCTTCCTCCCTCTTTCCATGAGGTACAACTCCGGCAATGGTACTGGGAAGCTCCTTCCATCGTGCTGAGGGTTCGAGATTCGCAACGCTGACAATACCGCAGTCGCTGGCAAGAAGTCGGGTCCAGGTCCGCCGAATACCTACTCCCAGTGGCGTTATGGCACCCAGGCCAGTGACTACCACGCGTCGCATTGTTTTGCCATGTCAGCCGTCGATGGGGCATGTGAGAAAGACTGAAAACATTCTTTGGATCAAATTGAGGTGAGGTGAGCTTGAAGGCTGGAGGCGCTAGGCCTGTTTTAGCCTACTCCCCCCACTTGTCTGAGACCTCAAGTACGAAATACAACCTCACAGACTTCTAAAGTTTTACTACTTGAAGACAACCACAATACAACCGGGATATATCTGGCTATTCCAGAAGTCCTGTAGCTTGTTTAGTATCTAGTCGGAAATCTATGCTTCCACTTATATTGTAATTTTCCAATGCTTCATTATTACAATGCATCAGCTTTGTTTCAGCAATTTGTATAGATACCTTTGTTTTTGCAGCCATGTCTATTAGAAGCAAAGCTTAAATCTGAGGATTACTACGTTCCCTCGTGCCAGAAGTTGATCTCAATCCTTTGTCTATTCTGGGATAGAAATTGTCATTAAGCCGATCTGCGTTTGGGATCTTACAATATCTGGATTTTCTAACTCCTACTCTTCCCTTTCTCGTGCTTCACTCAAGTCAAAGATCTTCTCATAGAGCTCCGTATCGACGCCACATTTTCTACATCTGATGTGGCAATGATCCAAGTGGCATCAACAGTCTATTGTCTTATATACAGCCAATGCTTTGATGCGTTGATCGTTTTCCGTACCGCTGAGCCCTTTACCTGCCATGGCCTTACAATGTAATGAAATCCGGTACGATTTCTCCGATGGCACGAAAAATGGGAGGCTAGAAGTTAACAGCTGGAGTCCGGGATCAAGGATGTGGAGGTCTGTATTCGAGGTATCAATAGGAACAACATCTCGGTACGACGACAATCTTGAATCGTTCATTGACCCCAAGCGGCTTTTATCGACTTGTAGTAAGACGCTGCAATGTTTCATTGCTAACCTTAATAGATCCTAATTATCCAGAAGACAATAGGAAATCAAATATTATCGACAGCTCAGATCTTGATGACGATATTTCTCCATCAAAGCTCGACTATGAAAGCCTTGTTTGAGCTTCGAGCAGCTATGCGAAACTAAGCCGAACAAATGCCCATCAACACCATTGAGGCTTGGACTATTGGTCTGATGCTCATCTTCCACGCTCAGCCTCCAGTCTGATTCAAGTCGGCTTCTTGAACTTGGCCTTCAGAAATATCAAAGATGTCTGCACACCTCACCAAGAGTAGCACTTCACTTGTCCAGGCGAGAAAGTTTTCTTCTTCGGTAAGCCTTTCCTTTCCATCCCGTCATGCAGTTCATTTTCTTCGCGTCCACGTCGAATAATATGGAGGCGCTAAAGTAGAGGGAGACAGTGTAGTTAACATAACGTTGGATGTGCATGGAGACGGCGTTCCAGGCTGCAGTTGCTGAGGGGCAGTATTTGGGCCTGCTGTAAGGAGTCAGTGTAGGCAGATTGTGCACGTGAGGATGAGAAGCTGTATATGTTGTTCTGTATTCGTCGTACTTATGTTGTCACTTCCTACTAGCGTGCCGTGAACTAATTGTGTTGCTTCATGACGGTATGATAGCGAAGTATAAACGAACCCCACCCACTGGTACAAATACACCATTACATCTCTCCATATTCTTCCGTCACCTGGTCGCACTATGCTTCATCTCCCGAAGCTGTCCCAATGTGAGAGCACGGGCAGTACCTATTATCTCCCTCCACAACCTCGCATAATCCCACCCCAACTACTCGGCAGACTACGCAGTCGAGTCTAAGATGTGTTCGTATGTCGTGGTATGCCACAACACTTTTGCAGAAAGAAAGTCTATGCCACCATGTCTCAATACCGATCAAGTACCCAAGTGCGCACATCCTTCTCGGAATAAAGTCCAGTCCAAGCCTCGTCAGTATTGGCAGGTTCAACGGAGGTCCATGTGGAAAGAGGGAGGTCGAGGAAGCTGCGATCTATGAAAATTTTGGTGCTCCATACTTGAAATTTACCGTTTAGGGTATGATCGAATGGAGGAGTCGATACCGAGGAGCAGATCAAGAGTCCTCATCTCGATGATTCGTGATCTTCCCAGAAAGAAGTCTTTCGATTCCAGGCGCCTTCCTTCCTTCCCCCATTGCAAGTATCGCTACGCTATACTTGGCTCTAGAGGACTTTTGGTCATAGCCGTATTAATGAGTGACCCGAGCCCAATAAGCAAAATGACGGCGCAGAGGCTGATAAGGACAATTACAACTGTTTTCAACATGTTGCTTTCCTTCTTTCTTCGACTTGCTCGCGAAAGGTAGATTGAACGATAGAGTGGGGCAGGTAATAGAGAGGCAAGTGGCGAGCAAAGCGAGAGCGAGTTACTGAGTGAGTGGCTGGTTAAAAGAAAGACTTAATTATGCTGTATATATGAAGAAAGAGGGGTTTAAAAGAGGGGGGCAGGACGCCAGGTATATAACCTTACGATAGACAGCCTCCTTGCGGAGACACGGTTCGGCCAATGAAAAGGAAAACTGCGACTTCGTATACCCGTATTTCTGCATCTTCAATTCGCCCAGTCCCGAACCCCTACCTTGCTCATCGCCCTAGATCCGGCAACGAGCACGCGGGTTCCTGGACGGTATTCCTTCCACTAAAAGCTGACCAGTCCAATGCTTGGCTAGAGAACCCGTCCCGTCCCCGTCGACGTACATCCGTAGCTTGGTTGGCTTTTTGCGTGATACTTCGTATCGCGGGGCTCGGACTCGACGCGTCACTTTGCGTTGCGAGGGACCAATCACTAGTCCGGTAACACGCTGTAATACCTGCCAGAAGCGGTGGTGGGGGCGAGCCTGGCTATCGATAAGAAGGCTTATATTGAGGTGAGGTCTGAGCAAACCCAGTATAGTCTCGTACTCGCTAGATAAAAGGGGAGACGCAAAAGCGGGTACCGTACCGTCAGAACAAGTTTGTCACATTCTCAAGTTGGGTCTCGGAATAATAAGAGAGGATAAAGCCTATGTCTTTTTGTGTTACTTTGAAAGTCGGGCCTTTGAAAGTTGAAAGTGCTATTTGTGTGCAAACCGAGTGCCGAGGCCGAAGATGTCAGCAATTAAGCAAGAAAACAATACTACTCGAGTACTTGGCTCCATGACCTCAAAGCAATTCTGAAGTAGAAATCATATAGAAATTGCTATATTAACACCCAGACTTTGGCATACATAGTAATGACCTCCTAAATCGTTACCATCATCATTATATCATAATCATCAGCGCATAAGTTGAGTTTTGGAAAATGAGTAGAGACTTCGGGTCCGAGGTCCCCCTGTGGCATTAAGTCGTAAATGAACGTATGTCCTTTTCGATATCGTCCGGCGAAATATCAGTCTGAGTTGAGATGGTGCTTTCCACTACGTCGTCTTTCGGTTTGTTTGGGGTGTCTTCGCCAGCCAGACTTAAAGCCTTCTTCTCTCCGTCGACGAAGACCAGCTCCTCTTCTTTAGATCGGATAGGCAAGCTGGGCTCTTCTCCCTTCGTGTCCTTGGTTTCACTGGTACCTTCGCCCACCAGATTTTGCTTCTTCTCCCCATCATCCTCAACATCGGCCTCACTCCCTTCATCAATAATATCCACCACCTCTTCATCATTGCCATCTCCAAAAATCTTGACCTCCAACCCCTCATCTTTACTATATACCCTGAAACCCACGATACAAATCGCGTTCCACGGCTCAGTCTCATCCTCATCATCGCTAATACTCGTCTTTGGTTTGCTAGTGCTCGGTGTACCACCTGTATTGGCAAGTCTCGGCTTCAAAGTGGGGTCATCGTCGCTATACATGTCGTCGAATTCGGATATCGGAGAAGCGCTCGAATAACCATCAGAAGTGACGGAATATTGATGCGGCTGAGGAGCGTGCGAATAGTTGCGCTGTGACATCGAAGCATTTCGGCTACGGTGTTTGTAGATTATCTGCGGTGCTGGCGGCGGCGGCCCACCAGCAGCATGGGTGGGAATGTGGACTAATTGGCGAGGGGAGTTGGCGATGGAGCTGCTTTTTGGCGTTTCAGGTGTTCCTTGTGAGTCTGAATAAATGAAACCTGCGTTGTCGGTCTGGACGCCTTTGTCATTCTCCTTAGACGCCGGCAGCTGCGACGTTGATGGTTCTTCGGTCACAGCATTTGGGTCTTCGGTCTGAATTGCCTTGTCCTCTTTCTCAAATCGCACTTCCTTTGCATCCTCCGTCTGCATAGCTTTATCCTGAAATTTCTCTTCATCGGCATCGTCCTTAGCATATTTGCGTTCACGCTTCTCTCGGTTCTTCTTCTCCTGCTTCCTGACAATACGACGGCTCAGATGTCTTTTCTCCCAATTCTTTCTTCGAGTTGCAATACGTGACTCTCGTGCTTTCAGTTTGTCGTGGGTTTTGCGAGCGGCTGCTCTGGATTCCATGTGTACGGCCCCTTTACTGTGGGCAATATCATACGACGTGCCTACCTGGGCCAGTTTGTCATTATCGACTTTCTGTTTACATTGCTCTTTGATCACGTCTTCAATTGTAAATTGAGTTAAGTCGCGGTCCGCAACTACCATGATGAACACAGAGTATGTGCCGGCTGGAAGGCTTTTGAGCTCAGTCACCACACTTCGCTCCATTAGGTAATTCCCATGGCTCCGAACAATAAAGTCTTCCCCGTCTGGCGAGTCAACCTCGTGTAGCCGGAATTGCAGCCTGAAAGTGTACTGGCCTTGCAAGCCATTAAAGTACCGGTCGTCGAGTTGGCTGAGCACCAAAACCACTGGCGACTCCTTCTTGAGCACAATTCTGAATTTCTGCTCAAACTCGGCTTTCCAGGGGACTTCCACACTGATCCACTTTTGAGTGATCCGCCAGTCTGGAGAGTCCATGAAGAGCCGGGTTCGATCAAAGTGTTGGTATTTGCGAAGCAGATCTTGGTAAGAGATCCAAAACACGCTGTCGTTACCAAACTGGTGGTTCAGCTCCTTTTGCGCTTCTGGAGTAAATTCCTTCGAACCATCGCTCCAGGCGCCTTCCCAATTACCTCTCTTGCCCTTGCCCCATGGATTCCTTAAAGCATTAGTAATATCTCAATGACACAGTCTGTCTGTCTACCCACCGAAGTTTGAGAAGTCGTTGCCCACTTGACAGTTCTCGAGCTTCCATGATAACGTAAGCGTGACCTTCTGAGATTCCTTCTCGATTTCCGTAGCCTCCATCCAGGAGTCCAGTAGAGCAGCCAAACAAAAATTCCTTGTTGACCTTTAGAATCTCGTTATTCCAAAATTCATCAGTATCGAGGATATCGGAAGTCAAAAGCTCGGTAGTGACCCCTCCTGTCAAATCTTCAACCCCTTCTCCAATCCACCCATAGTTCAATGCAGCATAATCCCCGTGGGCTTTCGCATATGCCTTTTCAAGTAAAGGAAGCCATGTTTCATTCTGGTCTTTACAATGCGCGAAAAATAGTGCTTGTGAACCAGTTTGGTAGGTTTTGCGATATTCTTTTTCCACATCTTCTCGATCTGTTTGTTCGAGTAGATGGCGTTGAACGGAGGGAGAGTCCCAGTCGGGAGACTTGAGGTACAATTTGTCATCGATGACAGAGATTATCCATTCGCCATCTAATGATGTTAGTGAGTACATATCTCAATGACATAAGACAATAAAAAGTTAGTGCTGGGCTATGAGCCACTACTAGGCTACTCATGCTTCATACAGAATAGTGGTATAGCAATAAGTGAAGTTGCATGGTCCGATTGAGATGACAAGGGATCTACTGTTCCACCGCTTTGGACTCTGTACCATCAATCGGGCGAGACCAAAACTATGTTCACTAAAAGCTGAGTGTTTTGGAACCTGAAAATTTCCAAGTATCGTAAAACTCGCTACATAATTTCTTTCACGTACGGCCGGCTCTGGATGAAGAGGGAGAGTTGAATAACCGTGCAGCGAGACATCAGCTTACCGCGATGAAAGACAAAACCATAGATGCCAATTTCTATTTTTACCATTAATGAATAATTCACAAAGTTGATGGGTGGACTCACTTCTATCGTATTCAACACATATTCTTCGAATTCCCACTTCCATGTTAGCCAGTGCGGTAAGGCCTGCAAGGAGCCAACAGTCCCCGATGCTGCCTTGCTTCACATCCGCAGGTGATATTTTATCTTTTAAAAAAGTTGGCTCTTCGAAAATCTCATGGACTCTCTTTACTGCTTTTGGAACGTTTGAGGTAATACGTGTAAATGCCCGTCCGTCGACTTCGAATTTGCTGCCTCCGAGTCCATTCAGACAATAACCCTTCTCCCATTTCAGATCCCAGTCAATATCAAAGTCTGGATCGCGGTACCGCATGTTTACTCTCTTACACTCCTTGACCAGCTTTTTAACCCTTGATCTGCATTCTTGCACAGCTCTCTCGAAGTCTTCGGAGACAAGCAGGTTCGTTCGTTCGGGTATAGATGGCGGATGAGGCTTTTTGGGGTGGTCTTCCGAGTGTTCGTTCGCGGCAAATGGTAACAGCACCGTCGCCTTGCTGAATTTCCGTGCAGAAAATCGTTTCCAAATTTTATTGATAGTCTCTTGAGGCGGCAGAGCCTTCTTCTTCTTCTTCGACTTGGGCTTTCCCCCATACGGCGGAGGCCCTGCCTGAGGCCTAGTATTGTTGTCCGAATCGCTGGAATCTACCGTAGACGACATATTTGTAGTAAATGGAGAGAAACAAGAGATGGGAGTTAAACCAGTAATCAGAGGTCTCTGAAATAATATAGGATATTCACAAACCGGGAGTGTTGCTCAGCGCTTGCCAGAACTTCGAGCGACCCGCAAAGGTTATATTCGTGTGTCAAGCCACAGCCTCACGATAGTCACTGGTTATCGAGGCTCTGCAGCTTACTCCGTGACTCCACATGCATGAGTCTTCAATCTTCAGCAGGCAGAAGAGCCCATTGGGTGCCGCCTCTTTGCCGAGTTGCCCTTTGCCCCCTCTGATCAGGTTGCACATATGCTATTCGTCCCGAAACAGAAAAGTTCTCGGTATGCATGAGCATTGCATGTTGCACCGAAAGCATACCTATTGTACTTATGAAGGCGATGCTGACTTGAACTAGGGTGGGGGTGAGGGGGGTTGGCTTATTTTCAGCCGCAAAAGGCATGAGACTGCGTCCCTCTGGTGCACACATATTGAACGATGGCAGCCTTGCAATATCACCATTAGTAACGACGTGTCAAGGTCCAAGAGGCATTGGCGTTGATCAAGAGAACAGACGACATCTGGGTGGGATGATACCAGCCAAGCCAAGACACAAGGCTTCCATGCAGATCGCTTCACTGGCTCTCAGTAAGGTATGCCTGCTCTGATTGGCTGTGGCTATGTGGCTCAAGTACCACAGCCTCCAGGACCGGTGACTGGAAAGATTTACAATGTCAGCATCATGAAAACCATATAAAGGATGTGACCCTAAGTATTGCAGATTAGAGGTGAGGCTATGGAGGTATATTCCGTAAGTACTCGGGTAGGACTCCCAGAAGTTCCAGAACCTAGTGTCACGTGGTATCTGGTTAGTTAAAGCACTGCTGAAATGTGAACGTAGTAATAGATAATAGAAAAAAAGGCTCAAATCTAGCATAAGAACTTGAAGTTATATTATGATTAATATATAAAGAATAGGCTAAAGTAGATGTCTCGCTGTTCTTCTAGTAATTTCGGCTTGAAGGAGGCTTCTTCCTGCTCCTGGAGCATATTTCTCTGATCTCTTGTCTCTTTTATATTGGAATTAGCCATGGATTATTCCTAGTAAGTTCATGAATCAGTACCTATAAGATTCACGATTGGTCCGTCATTGGCTCAAGGGAACCTGCCCTGCATGATGCCGGTCCCGTGCCCGTGATTGCCCTTGAAATAGGAACGAGGCGCAGTTGTCAGCGAATCGTAATGCAGTAGGCTGAGCCTTGACATCTGAAAGAAAGCCTCTGATTGCGCCGGCTTCTAATCTTCCCCTCTTTTCAAATATTCTTGTCTTTCACCTCGACGAACAATAGAATTACCGTGGTTGTCAGACGACCCTCTTGATATGGAAACAAGAAAGAAGATGTGAGGTGAGGCATCAGCGCACGGATCACACCACGATGGCCATCTTTGGGAAATCAAAAAAGAGCAAGCAGAAGACATCTCAACCTCAAAACCCCCTGGCGTATCCTTCACGAACCGATTTGCATGCGCCTAATAGGAATATACCGCAGCAGAGCTGGTCAGATAACCAGAATAATGACCCTCAATCTAATGGCACCCCGCAATTGCAAGCCTCAGCCATTTGGCTAGCCCCGCAGAATCAGCCAGTACCTATTACTCAGAATCTCCCTCCTCTGCTTCCTGAAAGGCCGCACAGGCCTGGAAATACTATCAGCAGACTCAACTTATCGTCCATGAGCAATCTACTAGACCAAGGTGTACCTCAATACGTCCCCGGCGCTAGATACATCAATAATGGCGGATTAGCAGGGACACAGTATCTCAATCAAGGCGCAGCCTTGTGCGATTTGATCTCGTCGAAGTTCGATACAGTTATCACACTTATCGATGGAGATAAGTTCAATGGAGATGAGGGGGAATTTGTCGTTCATCAAGCCGCGCAGCAGATGTGGCCGCAGGCACAAGAGTCAGATCGGTCCCTTATGAGGAGCGGCAACCACTCCGTTTCAAATGCTCTTATAGGTGCGAATTATTTTGACAAGGTAAATTTGTATGCCAACTCGAGGCTGCCTCCAAATTTACCTCCCATGAAACTGTAAGTCTTATTGTCTTCCCTTGCAAAGCATATTCCTAATTCCGCCTCAGATACATGCCTACCTTCCCTCTGCTATGCTTAGCAGCACAATACTCCGAACGTGTTTACTCGAAGCCTGGTGGACAAGAGAAAGAAACCCATGTCGATTCCGATTGGCGAACGGGTACAAAAGCCATGGTCATCAAGTCAGTCCCGATGGATGACATGAACACCATTGTCTTTGCAATTAGAGGAACGCAAACTTTCATGGACTGGGCCGTAAACTTCAACTCTGCCCCAACAGCCCCTGAAGGATTACTCGTAAGCCTCCTTTCCAGTATCACGTGATACAAAAACTCCCTTCCTAACGAAGACGATTAGGACGACCCTGGAAACCTTTGCCATGCAGGATTTCTCACCGTAGCCAGGAAAATGGTGAAGCCAGTAGCAGCTCGACTGCGACACTTACTCCAAGAAAACCCAAGCAGAGCAAAATACTCACTCCTAATCACAGGGCACTCAGCCGGTGGCGCTGTTGCTTCCCTCTTATACTGCCACATGCTGTCCACCACTCCGGAAACAGAATCCGAACTCAACATCCTCACCGGCTGCTTCAAGCGCATCCACTGTGTTTCTTTTGGCGCACCCCCAATCTCTCTCCTCCCGCTCACAAAACCGCAGACCCCACTACAGAAAAAATCCATCTTCATGTCGTTCGTCAATGAAGGGGACCCAGTTGCCCGCGCTGACAAAGCATATGTACGCTCCCTGCTGGACCTCTACTCCTCACCTTCACCAGGACAAGCGTGCCTTGCGGGGCTTGCACCGCAGAAACTGCTCACCGGCGCGAGATCCTCGTCGTCGCTCGCCATCGACAAGATGAAGATGAGGCCGAAGCCCAAGAAGTCAAACACCGCTCCTGCGCATAGTGTGCAGCCGGTTTGGAATGTTCCCGAGGCTACACTGAGTAATGCGGGCCGGCTTGTGTTGCTGAGGAGTGCGGGACCGCTTAGGGGTAGCGGGGGCAAAAGGGAGCGGATGAATGAAGGTGTTGTGGCACAGATGGTTAGTGATGATTTGCTAAGGGGTGTAATCTTTGGGGATCCAATGTGTCACGAGATGAAGTTATATGCTCGGCGAGTTGAGATTCTTGCTACGAATGCTGTTATGGGACGCTCTTAAAGGAAGTCAACGGGGTCAGGTTGGGAGTAAGTTAGGTATATACCCATGTTTTATTTCCTTATTATGATTCAAAGCGCATTGGTACGTATGAAACAATGGAGAAGCATGAGATTCGAGATTCCATACGACAGCCATTCTGGTGCTTATTGTGCCAACAGCTCACCAAATCCACGTAGCTTTGCGCAGAAACAGAACATCCAAAGCAAGTATCATAACCCAAGGTATTCTACATACCATAAAGTTCTAAAACCTAGTCGTTAATCATGTCCTCAAATGCAAACAACTCTCTCCTCTCGCCCTTACAATTCCACACACAAGCATCTCGACCATAGTACAGGTCCAATGCCCATACATAATCCTACTCCAGACACCAAGTCATCTCGCTCGACATCAATTTCCCGTACCTTACCTAGACATACCCCCTCAACAGCCTCGAAACCATATCCAGCGCCTCGCCCCTCGCCTGATTCTCCGCATGACGATCTACGATCACAGACGGGAATTGGGACGTCGGCTGTGGCGTGATGCCGTTTAGATTACATTCTCCTCCTACCAGTGTCGCTTCCGAGGAAGCGGTAGTGGTGTGTATTGGAGTTTGGAATCTGCGATGTTGATTTTGACTTTGGTTTCCTGAATGGGATGTTATTAGGATTTTTGTTTTTGGGTTTTTTTATTAGGAGGATGGGAATCAAGGAGGAATGCTTTACACTTACGTTTTTCTTTCTGTTTCCACGCTAGGAAGATGGCGAGAGCTGCGAGGGTTATGATGGCCATTGTGTGGAATGAATGGATCAGCGTTTCGGGTGCGTGCTGATGGAGAGAGGCTGTGCGTGACGAGGGGGTTTCTGTGAGTAAAGTTAAGCTTAATTACAATTCCTTCTGAATGGTGGAGGGTGGTTACTTACTTATGGGTGGTATGTTGTACCAGCTTGTTTGATATCTGTGCTGAAAATTTCACTTGCTTTGTCTGTCAGAATGGGTAATAGAAGGTGATTTTGAGGATTTCGCTCTTGAAATATCCGCATAGTATATTCGAGAATTGAAATGCGAGTTCAAAATGGAATATCTTCATTGAGGGGTATAAGAAGAATGAGAGGTTGTCCATCAGCCGTGTCATCAACGGAGCTGAGCCGCACCCCTGCAAATCACTTCCGCAGTAGCACTACGTTGAGATGCTGGGACCCGATTCCTGCTTCTTATCAAATAGGTAGAAGTATAGCACAGTCAAATATATGGACGCCGGTTATTTGCACAGAGTGATAACGACTTCTATCTACGACTGGTAAGTAACACTGAAAATCTGGAATCCTTTAGCACAGCTGCCAACAATATCAATCGTCCCGTTTAAGTTGATACTTAGATACTTGCCATTCTCCTTCATCAGGGAATACCCCTTGCCATTACCCATATCTGCGATGGTATATGTTTCTGCGCCAGACCTATCCTTAGCCAAAGAAGTGTGGTCCGCAAGAAACCGCCCATCAGCCGCACTGCTCAGCACGAAACTCCCACTTCCCTGTCCGCCATCCGTACCAGTACCTCCCGTGGCGTGGATAACCCACCGTTGATTTTTACTTCGATGATCGGAAGTTGCTTCCGTACCAGTGATATCGGTCGCGTTCGGTCCAGCAGTCACAGCATATCGATTCATCTCAAATACAAGATATCGCCCCTCGGTCAAGTATCCACGGACTGACTTGAAGCCTTCCTCGCTTAATTTCGAGGGGTCGGAATTTTCGTTCTCAGGCCCAAAAGGTGCGGGGGGTTTGGTTGGGGGGTCGCCGTATTTTCCTTGGCAAATGGAGGCAGCGTCCCAATTGCCATCTGCGTCTTCCGAGGGAGTCATGGCTTCGACGAGGTTGGCTATCGAGTAGTCGGGCTTACTCGATTGTTAATAAATCTGGAATTGGAATCAAGAAGTAACTTCACTTACATGGTCAAAGTCAAAAGCATTCAGGAGAGTAGACATGTGTTGGCGTCGCCATACTGGTATTTGATCTGTGGTTGCACCGTTATAGCCGAGAGCCTCAAGCCATTGCTCTGCGTTTAGAAATCAGTCACTTAGTGGGGTGTGAATAGTCATGGGATCTTACCAACAAAGATAATCTGGGAATTGTGATCGGCCATTTCGGTGAAGACATTGCCTCCGCGTGTCCAAGGGGATACAATGTAAAAAGGAACTCGAAAGCCTGGATGAGTTAGCTGTTGTGCAGATTGAAGCGAGGCATTCAGATATGCCTGGTCCTGTGTATGTCTGTCCTAGATGTCCAAAGATATCATTGTCTACATCGAGCCATTCTCCTGGCGTGCCCGGAGAAGAGTGGAAAGGGGTGATATGATCGCCCCAACCTCCGGTTTCTAGAACGTCTAAAGTTAAAACAGAATTACTTCAAAAGCTGCTAGTTCACATACCGTCATACGAAATCATAACCACCGTACTATTATACGCCGCGCCGTGGACTACTGCATCGACGACTTTCTTTTGCAACCATGCGCCATCTCGTGGGAGATAAGGCACATGCTCGCTCAGCTCAGCAGGTCCTACAATCCAACTGACCTGTGGTAGAATGCCAGCTTCAGCATCAGAGTAGAATTTGTCAAGCCCGGGATATGAGTTCCCATATTTAGTAAGAGGATCGTCCTAAGTTTCAAGATTTTGGGGTCAGTATTAACTACTGCGGTGATATTTATGAGTTAAAGCAATGTCTTAGTCGTAGATGAGTCTTCGAATATATCTGGAAAGTGTAGAACTTTTGAATCGTTTGAGGTAGGGGAAATCTTCCCAAAATGTCACTTACTGGGCCTGCGTTCTGGTATTGGACAAAAGAGGACAGGGCATCATCTCCAAAATTGTCAACATCTTGGTAGACTTGCCAGGTCACTCCAGCATCTTGGTGAAATTCAGGGACTGTCTTCCAGCTGAACGGGAAACACGCAAATCCAGGAGCCTCACACCCTTAGACTTATCAGTAAATTCCTCACGTGGGGTAATTAAACCACCTGGCGTTCCATTATTATCCAAAACTGCCCCTCCCTGATCTGGAGTTTGAGGTCCGCCTGGACAATTGACACTCCCTGTCATCCATGTCACTCGATTAGGTTCAGTTGCAGCAATTACACCTTCCTAGATTCCGATTAGTCGCAGTCTTGATACTTCAACTCACAGGACTCGAATGTTCGGAGTCAAACCTGATACATGTCGGCAACTGTCCATGCCTCAGCAATGGAAAAATGAACTGGAAGATCCTGTCTCCGAAAATGGGCCCAACTTGTCGGGGTATTGTTGACCGCCCATAGATTATTCAAGTCGTTATTGAGACAAGCCTGGTTGTTTTGGAAACTATTTTGACCCGCACCAGTGCACTGTGTAGATTCTGTCCAATTTTCACCTAGATAGTTTATGTAATAAGGAAGCAGTGTTTCTGCCTCGGTCGAGATATCTGGTGTAACTTTTCTAGCGATATGTCAGGCGACTCCAACTTGGATTGAAAGAATAGACAGACTGCTGAAAGGTGTTTTTGCCATCTGCATTTACTTGAACGTTCGGATCGGAGAAACCGCGAACACCAGCCATGGTTCCAAAATACTACTTTTGGTTAGAGGGTTGTCCACGGCGGAATGAGATTTGTATTACATGGTCAAAGGCCCTGTTTTCCTGCATGAACAGAACGACATGTTTGATATCTTTTAAAGAGCCTGCTGAAACTGTGGCAGCGTGTATGAAGATTAAAGCTGCTTTCATTTCGAGATAAATATAAAGAGACGATTCAGTTAGAAACCTGGTGCGGTGATTGCACCTGAGAGGCAAACAGGATGGAACGAGATTGCAATCGAAAGTATATTATATGGACCACAAAGCTGTGTTCGCGGAATGTCAAATGATCGTTTATACTTGGGTACAAATGTAAGGTCTTCATGCAAGTGATGGACATGGCATCTGATCTGTTAGGAGCTTTTCCGACTAGGCAGTTGAGTTGGTAAGGAAACTAGAAAATCCGCACCCGTACACCTTGTGGGCGACCGTCTTCATACATCGCTATCATGGACGAGCGAGATACCGAGCGCTTGAAGAATACCTCCGAAGCAAGGTTACATTGGACTCAAGCCCTGTCGATCAAGGATATCTGCTGACGATACATATCTCGATGCTTTATGCTTTTGGTCCGACTGTGCGATAAGAAAAAGGGGGAGGTGCTAGCACGAGCTACGAAGTTTATCTAGTCCGTGCGCGAGGTGCTTATTTCAACTTCAACGACGACCGCCTGCTACTTATTTCCTCGAGCGTGCACGAATGAAGCATCGAAGTCTCCCTGTGGACTTGCATCGCAATCAAGTCGAAAAGCATGCACCACTACGGTGATATAAAGTTGCAGTTACGATGCTTGCAAGGAACACGACGATAGTGATCGGAAGAGGGGAAGAAGGCACGAGCGAATGGCTCCTACCCCATTGGTTCAACGTTGGATTCCCCCAAAACTCGCTCGATAAGCTTTTGAGTGACCTGCAGGCCAGATAACTGAATCGCATGTGATTGATTTCCACAGATTGCTTCCATCAAGTTATTCATATCTTCTTTCTCCTTCCTCTTCCATTCAAATGTCGCGCTTTCTATCTCTCTCTGAAAGTCCCACGTTGCATTAAACTATGCAATCATAAGCCGTCGCTGTCTTATCTTCATTCTAAAGTAACTTAGTTGTCTGGAGGAAAAGTCTTGCGAGAAATGAAGGCGACATGTGATGCTTTTCCCGCGCCATGGCTTCAAGACGGACTTCATATCTCCTCGCATCACTTCTTATTTCCTGTCTTCTGTCTTTTGGATTCAGCTATAAAGAATTGTTTCCAAGCCCGAAAATATTCCAGAAATTTCAACCGGAATTCTCAGAAGATGATATTTTCGACAAATCTGGAATCTCAAAACCATTGCATCCCGAAAGACACATTTTAAGAGCACCTACAACTATCAAACTTCACTGGGAGATCACACAGGGGCATAGGTCTCCAGATGGTGTTAGAAAACTCGTTTACCTCATTAACGGTACGTTGTCTAATCACTTTCTGAGCAGATTTGACGCTGACACATACCCAGGATTGTTCCCAGGTCCTACTATCGAGGCCCGTTCTGGGGATACCATCAAAGTAGGAGTACGCAATCTGTTAAAGTATGAAGGGGTCGCCATCCACTGGCATGGAATTCACATGAAAGGTCAGCTTGTACAATCACGTGATTATATAGCATTTCCCCCAACTCTGCTCTAGGCGCAAACAGAATGGACGGCGCGGTAGGAATAACGCAAAATCCTATTCAACCAGGTTGTAATATTACTTACGAATTTGGGATTGAAGATACCCAGGCGGGAACATTCTGGTTTGTCAAGGCCTCGGTAATATTTCCGGGTACTGATCTCGTTTAGGTATCACTCCCATTTAGGAATCCAACGTGCCGATGGTCTTTACGGTGGACTTATTATACATCCTCCTCTTATAGACAAAGTTCATAAGACAAAAACTCCAGAGTACGAGGAAGAATCTCTTCTTCTCATGGGCGATTGGTATCACAGATACGCGGAAGATGTACAGGCGAGCTATGTAAACCATGACAGCTGGGGACGTGAGGTATGTTTGATAAAAGCTAAGTAAACGTTGGAATAAAGGCTAACTGAGAACACAGCCGGTTCCTGACTCTCTTCTGATCAACGGCATGGGCTCATTCAATTGTTCCAAGGCTGTCCAATCTCGTCCCCTAGACTGCGCCCAATATTCGAGTTCCCCACTGGTTTTGAACCAGCCGCGGACACGATTAAGAGTCGTCAATGTAGGGTTAGTTGAAGATAACAAGATCGGTTGATATAGTCAATAGGCTGATGATTTCAGAGCAATATCTGGACTCGTTTTCCGGATGCCTCGTTGTCACATGACTATAATCGAGATTGATGGCGGAAATGAAATCGAAAGATCGCCAGAGGTATCATCGGTGGGTATACTTTACCCTGGTGAAAGAATGGACCTGCTTGTCGAATGTCCTATGGGCTCTGAGGCAGCAGGTTTCCACTTGAGTATTACTTTGGACGCAGAGTATGCACGTTGAAGAAGGAATCAAAACATAACTGACTATAAAGTAGGAACTTTGCCATTAAAAACAAGGCTCTCACACCTACCCACACATTTCCAATTTCGACCACCGCCAATGTTCTTACGAAGCGAGGACACTCGTATCTTCCACCTAAAATAGTTAAGGGTGAGGGATACTTCGATCTCGCAGAAGTGAATGGGACAGCGCTCCCAGACAACAGTTTTTCTATGATCGCTAATCATACAGTTCTTCTTTACACGAAGATGGAAATACTAGCGCGCCTCGGAAACGTTCCTGTGGGATTTATCAATCGCACTACATGGGCCGCCCAAAGCTCTCCACCAGAGCCTTTGGTAGATCTGGACAGGGTAGATTGGGATAAGAATCAGTTGGTGCCATGGATTCGGATCTCTCGAGATCAATCAAGCCCATCCTGGGTGGATATCGTAGTCAACAATCTAGACGAAAAGGGACATCCGTTTCATTTAGTAAGTATTTGCTTCTCATATCCAAGAATCTCGCATTGATTTTAATTCTCCCACAAGCATGGCTATGACTTCTACATTCTCTCTCAATACTACCCCACAAGGCGGGGCTACCACGCATATGACCCATTCGATCCATCCACTCCACCAACGTCATCTGACCTCCCAGGCGGCCCTTATAATCTCGCAAATCCGCCCTTGAAGGATACTGTATATGTTCCCAGTCAGGGGTATGTTGTTCTCCGAATTCGCGCGGACAATGTTGGGATCTGGTTCTTTCATTGCCATATTCTCTGGCATAGTGGGGCAGGGATGGCTATGGCGCTGGAGGTTCGATATCATAATGAATGAGAATGACTGTTCCCGGCCTACACACCTTTTTCTGTGCTTATTGGTCGCTTGGAGGTTGGGAGTGGAAAGTAAGCTCGTTGAAGCTTGTAAAGCTGGAGCATGCTGAGCTGAACATGTGAGTATAGTTTGTTCTCTCATTGGTACGTGTTTACTTTTATGACATTGGATCTTTGCAAGTACTGTGGTGCGAATGGAGACACAAGAGTGTCTGATTTCATCATTATTTGCCTGTCGAAGTGGTTCTAAAAATGTCTTTTATACTCATGTACGCCTTGGGGTATTCGCCTTTCTGGTCCCTCATGCAGCAGCACTGCGCAGCCCATATACTACTTTTGACATTAAAAAGTCTAAATCATTTCTTTCATCCGCCCTATATCAGACAAACATCCGTTGTTATCTTCTATCCGAAGTTCCTCTTGTGACTTCATTCGATCCGTCCATGTTGTTGCAGAACCCGAGCCAAGGAGGCCAGAAAGTCGCTGATGTCTTCTCGAGGCGAAGTGCTGGCTCGTGGGGTGCTGGCTCGTGGATAGAGAGGATGGGTTTCAATGTCGGGAACTGTTAAAAGAAATAATATGTTAGTTGACTTTGTTTCTTCGCGGTTGTAGATATAGTAGATGCATTTCTACTTACTTTGTTCCGAATGCTGTCTGCATGTGACGAATATTGCAACTACTGCTAGTAATATAGTAATGGAACCACACACTAGGGCAATGATGTTGTTGGTGGTTACTTCAAAGGTATAAAGTATCAGCTAGAGAAAGACTACGGTTGGGGCGTATCACTAACGCATGGTAGAGAGAATTCAACTTATTGTGGTTTGGTCATGATAATTGTCTTGGTTGAATTTGAGTGGCATAGACAGGAACTGGAAGTTCGTAGCATCAAATATAGAAATTTAGAAGACTGGCCTGCGTACTGGTGTTTTGAAAAAGAGCAAGAAAGCAAAGTAATATATGAAAAGACGCGGAAACCATCGTGGCTGGTCATGTGATAGTGCATCTACTAAAAAGCCTCGTTGTTTAATCCCGTCGATCAATAGAAGTACATCCCCGTACACCACCAACTCCTATGGGTGCACCCGTGGGTTGACCAATTACATCCAGATAGAAGATGCCATTAGGTGGGTGGGCGTGGCTGGCGCATGGAAGGCAGGGTTGTTTCGATTTAAGGTACAGGGGAAAGGTTACGACGACGGTGCTTAGGATACCGAAATTTTCAGTAAAGACCCTGGCTTTGAAAAGTTCTATAGACCTGATTTTGAAAAGTTCTATAGAGTCCGAGCGGCGCAAAGATGCTCGCTCCCCTTGGTACGAAGGATACCGTGCGCTAGCGTTAACTTAACTCAATGCGAGAGGCATGCGTTCGTCTCGGATTGGGTTAGCCTGGACGCCAAAACTGGGTCCATTTTATCCATTCTTCAAAATCAGCCCTAGCAAGCTCGATATTTTGAATGGAAAGCTAAGAATCACCAAATGTCGAACAAAACGGTCGAGACGGTTTCAGGGTATACGAAGTATGATTGGCTTAGAAAAGTAGCAGTGGTAGGAGCGTTTTTCGCCACGTATTCTTAGTCATCTCTCCTTTGCAAGCTGTTGCAAGCTGTTAGATAGCCTATTTTTTATTTCCCTCCCTCTATTTTCAATGCCCTGGAGTTTGCGCAGGGCCGCGGGGGGCATGGTTAGAGAAGCATCGGCATGGCGATTTGGTTGGCCGATGCTAAGGAATTGTCACCTTCAGCATCACACCGTGACGCTCCCCCGGAATTTTCTTCCACGAGTACTCGTATGGCTTATTGAAAAGGGAGGGGAGTCTTTATAACCTATCCCCGTGCACCATTCCATGATAGCCTAGCTCGATATAATCAAATGGCACTTTGAAAGATCAACTGACTTGCACCGCAGTTATAACACAGCCATCTTTAGTTTTCCCCTAAAAGCTACCCTTTTAAAATAAAACTCTATATAAACTTATAACCCGTGTAAAGAATAACGGGAAGCACGTTTCTAGCACGTTCACTAGAACATAGTATTCATATAGACCCTACTTGCGGCCTATGCATTATAATGAAATTAGTATATAATATGTCTATAAGATTAAGATTACATAATCAGGCATATTTGTTTATAGTATCTCTTGCATCTCTGAGATTAATAGGACCGTCCTATGCATCCTCTTTAAATCCAGGATTATATAGGCTTTCTATCTAATATTTATATCTTAGAGCGTTTTAAGAACTTGCTATAAATATATTAACTCCCTTAGTTTAATTAGCTCCTTCTTAATACAAGCTTCGATTTGAAACGGACGAATTATTACTAATACTAGCATAAATATAGCTATAACCCTAGCCCTACTATAATTGTGAGCCGTGAACCATGAACCACGAACTATGAACCACGAATCATATGAACCATGAACCACGAACCACGAACCATACGAACCATGAACCACGAACCATAAGCCACGAATCATATAAACCATAAACCATGAACCATGAACCATAAGCCACGAACTATACGAACCATGAACCACGAACCATAAGCCACGAACCATATAAACCATGAATCATAAACCATAAACCACGAACCATGAGCCACGAACCATGAGCCACGAACCATGAGCCACGAACCATATAAACCATAAACCATAAACTATAAACCGTGAACTTTTTAGGGTTTTTAGGTTATAGGGACTACTTCCACTGTCACAATCACGAAGCCTTGAGGGCATGGCCCAGTATAAGGTCGAATCAAATGTAATTCTAAGCTAAAGAGAAAAGAAAGAAAGTCTAGAATACAGATTTGTGGGAGCGAATATGTATGCGCTCGGCTAATTAGTGCGTGGCTGGGAAAGGTGGCTGGTAATCGGGTGGCTGACTAAGCGAGAGGCCGGGGCCACGCCGATGTGTCGACGTCACGTGGTATGTCATGTGACCAGATCCGTGACATAAGGCTGCGAGCCTTTTAGGCGCTGTTTCCTCTAGAGAAAGATGGCATGCGCGCAGTGTGATAAGCCGCCTATCAGATAAGCAAGATAAGCTCCCTGGAATTTTCTTCTATAAGTACTTATAAGGCTTATTAAAAAGGGAGGGGAGTCTTTATTACCTTTATGCAAGAAGCACATCTTTTTATAAGCCCTAGGCGAGCTTGGCGGTTGCCTTATTTGCCTTTTCTAGAAGTGTAGTGAAATCATTTATCTGTATAACAAGTGTTTAATATTTCTAAAATAGCATAGCATATTACTTATCGTATATCTTATTTATATTATTAGTGAAGGATAAGGCCTAATGTTAAGTTAGGAAATGGCTACGCAGTCATATAATTTGATGGCATGTGATATGTCACGTGACCTAGGCTCGGCACAAGCAAACCTCTGTATATAACTGCATCTAAGTGTCCTATACACTTAGACCCTCTAATGCAACCATTTTACCTCCACCACGCCATTGGACCTTGCTAATCCAATACCTAATATACTTGTTAACCTCTTATTAGAAGATTTAGCATTTTTGTGTGGTCCTTTTTCATCTCTTTTATTAATAGAAATTGAGATTTACTGGAGGAAATTCAGATAGATAGCTCTTAGCCTCTTAAGAGCAAGCCTTGAGAGTTGATGACCTTTTTAGCACCTAGCACGTGATGTATATCCCTTATCGACTGGGACAGCCCTTCCCTTCTGAGAAGGAAGGTCCGATCTCGGCTCGGCTGGCTTTTAGCGCGACCCAAAAATCATATCCCAATTCCTTCAAGTTCGATATCACAAGCTTCATGAATCATAGACAAAGACCCACCAGATGTCACAAATAGCCAATCCCCCATCATTCGGCACGCGGTAAGATAAGATTAAGCGCGTACGGGCCTCGGTATCGCGCTTTTTCTCTTGGACTTGGATCCGTAGATTTCTCGTATTTCGCCTTATATTTTATGATTCTTTCTCTTCCCTCTTTCCTTTGTATAGAATATAGATCTTCTCTTGCATTATAGAATCTTAACTCTTTTTTCTATACGGGTTAGACAAGATGAGTAAGAGCGGAGACTTTGAGGCTGTCCGGAAGGATATTGCCAAGTTGATGCATCAGCCAGAGTTTGATGATGGAAGTGCAGGTCCGATTCTTGTACGTCTCGCATGGTATGTGCCCTTCACATTTTCACATCTTCGTATACTGGCTTGGGGAGACTGTTTGCGTATATTCCCAGCCTTGACTGCTAACTGATATTCAATAGGCATTCAGCAGGTACATATGACGCCGAAACAGATACAGGCGGCTCGAACGGTGCAGGAATGCGATATGAAGCCGAAGGTGGAGACCCAGCGAATGCCGGGTTACAACACGCTAGAGTCTTCCTCGAAACTGTCAAAGAGAAACACCCTTGGATAACTTACGCGGATCTCTGGACGCTGGGCGGTATAGTGGCAATCAAGGAGATGGGAGGTCCCGAGATACCGTGGAAAGGCGGACGAACAGACTTCGTGGACGATTCGAAACTTCCTCCGAGAGGCAGACTTCCAGATGGTGCACAAGGATCGGATCACTTGCGATTCATATTCTATCGGATGGGGTTCAATGACCAGGAAATTGTAGCGCTTTCAGGAGCCCATAATCTTGGACGGTGTCACAGTGATCGATCTGGCTTTGAAGGCGCCTGGGTCAACAATCCTACAAGATTCTCAAATCAATATTTCCGTCTTCTCCTCTCGCTGCAATGGAGGAAGAAGAAGCTACTAAATGGAGTGGAACAATATGTCAACTATGACGAGGATTCCGAGGCCGAACTCATGATGCTGCCGACGGATATCGCGCTTACTCAAGACAAAAGCTTTCGGGCATGGGTGGAATTGTACGCGCGAGATAAAGATAGATTCTTTGAAGATTTCAGCAAGGTGTTTTCGAAATTGATTGAGTTGGGCATTGTGAGGGATGAGGACGGAAAGGTCACGAATGCGGATAATGAGAGAGGCGGGTATCATGCTGCGCCAAAGAAGAAGGCGACACCTGGAAGCCCCGCGAAGAGTACTGATGACAAGGTGGGACCGAGTGAAGCGGAGCCTTTGAAGGAGAAGAATAAGCTGTTCAGGTCGAGGCTATAGGATTGAGATGAAGTGTATATATAAGTATGGGGGTTTAGACTGCGTAGACTTTTGGCGGATATATAATTAGATATAGAGCTAGACGTCGCGAATACATTAGAATTTTCTTCTGCAGCGGGGCCTTCAATCCTTGAAGAGTAGTCTGTCAAAGGAAGGGCGAGAGAGAATAGGACAAGACGCTGACTTAGATGCATTGAATAACCGCAGATAAGGTCTTGCGGCTCCAAAAAGAGAAGGAGGAAGTTCTGATGGCTCCACGTGGGTGATATGCATGCAGCTCGGAAGCTTCCCCTGACATTGGCGAGAATAGCACACCAATCAGACATCAAGCCTTCCAACGTGCTAGATCGAATCGCGAATGTATAATGAGGAGTGTACTTCGGCTTACTCGATGCAGTAACATAATATAACAAAACAGATACTGTAATGCGAAACGTTACATACGGCTATACTATTTGCGTTCCCTTTTAGAAGTAATCCCCACGCATCTGAAGGTAGCGCCCACATTGGTGTCGTAATCTCGGGGGGATAGCGGCAGCTTGAGGCTATTGATTGATATCATAGACAATTCTAGCTAGCCGCAAACAAAACGCAGAGAAGAGAAAGAACTTGACCTGCCATCACTTGAGGGATAATAGAATCGATCGAGGGACTTGATCAGCATTTAATCATATTTTTATCTTTGTATCTATTTATATTTCTGGGCTTATTTTAACCTTAAGTGCTTCTTCCCGACTATATTGGCTAGTCTTGATTCGGCTGACTTGCCCATCCTACCGACTACAGTACGGTGTCCTACCGCGGTCGTCAAGCCTCCCAATAATAATTCAAACGACAGCGACTTATAACTGCCAGCCACGTTCTTTCGTATGTGGCTCCTCTGCCACTGCCACTTCCAATCAAGAACAATTCCCCACGTCGAGATCGAGGAAGGCTGCACCGAATCTCTCATCCCACGTCGTATTCATCTAGCATCCTATGCCCATATCTCTGCGATAGCAGCCCGCACCCCGAAACGTAGTCACTGTTGCATCGCTAGGCTTCCCCGCCATGTCCAATCCCGATCCCATGACTCCAGACACACGACGACACAAACCATTCACAGCGGAAGATGAAAGGTCAGCGCAATGGAATCCCCAGCTGGTGAATCGGTGTGGTGCAGAAGGAAATGCAGGCATCTCCATATCCTCTCCACCAGCAGCAATCCCCTCATTAGCAACCTCAATTTTTCACTCGAACACGATAGCACCGTCGCCGCCACCAACGACGTCCTCTTCTGCGAATAATACGAGTCTCACTCCTCTAAATACTACCCCCCGTCTCGAAAGTCACAGCCAGACCTCCAGTCCATTGAGCGCGGGCCTGCGAATTCAAACCGACGTGATTCCCAACCCCAACTATACAGTGACGGCAGCAAGTGCCGATAATACTGAGCGGATATCGACCGATTTGAGACGAAAGCCCTCGAAATCTGCGAATATTCCCATAAAGCCTATTGCGCGGACGCCGAGTATTAAGAACATATTGGCAAGCAGCGTGGGAAGCATCTCGAACTTCGGCTCTGCCCCGAACTCTGCCTTATCTTCTCCTATGTTAAGTGCTATGGCAGACGTAACCCCTCTGCCTTCACCACTTATGACGGGCGATTCCCCTGGTCCCTGGAGGAAGTTAGACGCCCGACCTTCCTCCAGCGACCTCATGGTTCCTATAAGCGCAAACTCGGCGCTGGTCACGGCGAATGGCGAGTCTGTATCTCAAGCTATAGCAAATCAGTCGAAACGGCGCGCATACCAGGGACTGTTAAGCGGTGCCCCGGAGTCTGGTCATAATGTGCACATGAACCAGCACAAGAATACCGAGGGACATACGAGGAACCGCAGTCTCAGCGAATATGTTCCAGAAGCTACGCAGGTACTCAGAACTCGGCATATTACAGTCTCTGGCTCGCATGTACCTGTTCTGGAGCCCGGTCCAGACTCAATTTTGTCTTTAGATGGCCAGATGCGAAGGGAACCCCACCTTGCGGTGCAAAGAGGTCTTGCGCCTATTCCTCGGCCCCCAACTCCACCTTCAAGTCGGACTGGAGGGGAAAGTAGTGATAGTGATTCTTCATTAACAACCGCAAGACTCCCTAAAGTGAACAAGAAGTCCCGCTGCGAATATTTCGCGGCGTATACCCGGGATGACTCGAAAAAGAGGAAATGGGGGGCGGTAAAGGTTCTAGGGCAAGGCACATTCAGCAAGGTGGTGCTTGCGACAAGTCAAGTTCCGGATGAAGACGACCGTATAGACGAAAATGATGTTTTTGGGCAAAAAATGGATGGAATAGATTCCCCAATCCCAACAGAACCCAAAATCGACCGGAAGAAACTTGTTGCGATCAAGATTTGCGAACATGGTCCTAAGGGCGGGGCCTCTGAAGAGCGCGTCGAGATGTCCTTGAAGCGGGAGTTGGAAATAATGAAATCGATATCTCATCCTTCGCTAGTGCATCTCAAAGCCTGGAACATAGAAGAAACGCGCGCAATTTTAGTGTTAAGCTATTGTCCTGGAGGCGACCTCTTTGATGTCGCCAGCCAACACCGGGACCTGCTTGTGCCGGGGTTACTAAGGAGAATGTTTGCGGAACTTGTGGGAGCTGTTCAGTATTTACATGAGCGGCATATTGTGCACCGGGATATCAAGCTCGAGAGTATGTTCTCCCCCCTATTTCATCTTATCACATGAGTGCAAGGTTTAATGTGCTTGGGTAGATGTCCTGGTCAACCTCCCACAACACGAACTATCTCGTCAACTTGACTGGACTACATACCCTTATTCTATCATCACTCTCACAGATCTCGGTCTTTCCCGTCGGGTAGTTGATGATGAGAAACTGACCACACGCTGCGGATCCGATGACTACGCAGCCCCTGAAGTGATCATGGGCCAGCCATATGACGGCCGCGCTACGGACGCTTGGTCGCTCGGCGTCCTTCTATACGCTTTGTTAGAAAGCAGATTACCATTCGACCCGAACCCAGGAATGTCTGAAGGACAAAAAATGCGTAGTCGCACGAGTCACCGCATCGCCCGCGTGGAATGGTGTTGGATCGAATTCGCGGGCGACGAAGGAGACCATGAAGGAGACCCTGAGAAATTCATCAAGAAGGATTTACTAGGGGCTATGATCGTCACCGAAGGTCTTCTGAAACGTGCGAGAAGTCGATGGACGATGGAGAAAGTCGCACAAGAACCGTGGGTTAGAGATGGGATTGTGGTTGAGGGTGGCGTGAAGTTTCGCGAGGAGGATATTCCAGAGGAGGTCCTTCCGCATGATGAGGGTGTGTTGAGTTCGTTATAGCACATGCTTTCTTCCAGTTACTCTCGCCAGGGACTTTGAGAGAAATATTTGAGAGCGAGGACCTTTCTTTCGACCTCGTTCGTTCTCTACGCCTAAACTCCCCATTTAGCAGCTACCTACTTTTTTTCATTCGTTGATTGCATAACTAGCCTTTTGTTTTTGTTTTCGTTTTCCCCTTTTCCTATCGCTTTTTTTCCTTTTGTCTTATCGGATGGGTACAGAACGTATTATGATACGCGATACCACTTGGGAATTGAGTTTTTGGCGTCATTCGTTTCTTGTAGAGGCCTTGTTAAAAAGGGATGATTGACTTGTTGAATTTGTGGGCTACAGGGGAGCAGGGAGGAAGGGGGGCGGGGAGCGGGGAGGAAAGGGGGGTATGTTGGTCCTATGTTGTTTGTATATTATATGAAGAGAGGAAAATGAAAACAAAAATTGGGGCGGTATAGATAGATATGTAGATAGGGAAATGGGGAAGAGGGAATAGAAGAGTTGTGTTTAAGAAGTCCTCTTAGACGTACTTGGTGATGATTCTTATGTGTAGTAGTAGTAGTAGTAGTAGTAGTAGTAGTAGTAGTAGTGATTTGCGTCTGGCGGATAGCAGTTTAAGCTGCAAACCTGGGGACCTCCCGTGGGATACGGAGACGTGCTGTGCTAAGCTAAGGGGGTTTTTATATATAAAATATAAACCTTAGAAAGCATTTTAAACCAAAGCTGCTTTTCATCACAATTGTACTCCTTCTACGCTGGCTAGGATAAGTACTAAGAAAGTAAAAGCATATATTACACTAGGTAGGGGAGGAAGAAGCCCTTACCTTAATTAAGCAGGTGATGTACGCGAGGACTTAATATGCATGATAGCTAAAAAGTCGAAACCCCCCCCCCCCCCCACCCGCGCCAAGCTCCCCCTCCCTTCTACTCTTATGCAGCTATAGATACGCAGTCACCTCCCTAGCAATAGAATAGCCCATTGCCTCCTCCAAAATTGCGTCCCCGCCCTTAATCCTCCAGTGTAGTGTCTGCTAGCTGGGGTATAAATATCCTTTATTTCTTCATTCCCTATTTCGTCTCTCGAATGCACATTTTAATTTCTTCTCGGACGCAATCAATCTGAAGTTGGTACCTGTCCATACCATACGTCTAACGTAAAGTAGTCTTGAATATAGAACATGTAATGTGCTTTCCAAACTTCCCAGTAGTCCTACTAATTGCAGGTTGGAGTCTCCTGGTCATTGCTATATTAACGGGAGAAAACTCGACATAACCTGGTGCTGATCGTCATTGTTCTGCCGATCCGCCGACCGGTGGGGTTGATGGTAGTCATAAGGATTCAGAGGATATTTGAGATGGTGGTGCGGCTGTCGCGTCTGGAGCGTCTGCAACAGAAAGCTTCTTCCATTCTTCGCTGAAAAACTCCTCAATCTTCCTATAACAGGCGAAATCCCTACCGAACGTCAAGAACGCTTCATCTTCAGGGAGGCCGTTGACCGGCACACCTGCCAAATCGGCCACCTTTTGCGGCACCCTATCTAGAAGACCTTGACCCACGAACACTGTATCGCCTGCCACTGCCGCTGTGACATCTTGGAGCTCCTGGAGGTAGGATAATTCAGCGGGGAGCTCAGGGAGTCCTTTGTAGTAGCGTCGATGTGCCTGGTAGCAGTACGGTTTCACCCTTTCAAGGGTTGCGTTGCCGCTACTCATGAAGTATGCTTCCCGCCCCACGTCGTAGCGTTTCTGCAGGTCCAAGCGAGCTTGCGGCTGCGTTGGATCAATTGTAAATCTGGGAGTATAGACCTCGAGGCCTTTTGTCGCTCGAGATCTCATGTAGGCTGTCTCTTTTATCTCTCGTGCCTGGGAGAGATTCTACTGCTTGTCAGCCGTCAACGGGCTCTTCCACTAGTGCATGACAACCCACAGTCAAAACTGGCCCCCGGTCTCTAGACTCCTTATCAAGCTGCGTAGCCCACATATTCAAAGTTTCTCGAGAGACCCATCCCGCGCGCTTCTTCTGCTCCAATCGTGAATCTATGAAATGGTTTACCGAACAAAACACGTTGAGCTCCTGGTTACCGTATGCCTCATCCCAGAGACTCTCGGCATTTTCCTTTGCACAGTCATAAGAAGAAGCTGGCGCTTCTATAGTGGACCCGGTTGTGCCAGTAGGATCTTGATGAGAAACGGACATCTTCGAAAGGAGTTATTCTGGCGTGGCTAGGAAACTGGACGAACAGATAGATGTTCCGAATGGTCTCAGGACTTTCAATTTAACAAGTGCAGGCTATAAGTAAGCGTTTTTGGAAGGATCAATTGAAGTATGACTGATTGTGGTTGCTCGCCGCAGGGCTGGCTTGCTCGCAAGCAAGACACTGCTCGATGTATTTCCCCAAACCTGCTACAAGTTTGCAAGCCGCGCCTGATTCTGGGAAACGAACTTTCCCTCGATGGGATTGGTTAATACTTCAAATGACTATTTACATAGTAATGAACGATGCTCACCTGGAAGTTTTCAAGATGGAAGCCACTGACTTGTACTGGACGTTTTGAGTTTTGCGTTAACTTTGTATTGCTTCGACGATGCGTGCGTCGATGCAACCACTTGGCTACAAACAAGATCCATTCAGGTTTCTCTATTTGCTTGTTAGACAAACTGAGATGTCTGTGCGAAAGACTCATGGAATGACAATTTCAGATTCGAATGACTACTTCAGTGGCTGCTTGACCAGATAAAACAGCAAAACAATGAGACACTTGTCCAGAAAAGAGCCTCTCTAGAGCCCAGATACATAAAAAAAAGGTCCAAGCAATGTAGCAGCGCAAGTCAAGTCACAACATATTCAATTGGGATAATCCCTTCATAAAAAGATGCTTCTATTGTGATGTGCAGTATTTCTCACTGCGATGCGCTATTGCATCAAGCGTATATATTCATGAATCATGAATTCAACTCTTCAGAATTCATAAATTGTGCACAGTTCGCTATTTTGTATGGTTGCGCCAAAAAACTTGAAGAGTCAAGCCATCCCAACTCTCAGCCCCAACATCAATCAACCAACTCCTCAGCTCCCCCCCAACATCAAAATCATGATATCCGTATGGTGTCTCAACATACGTCCAATACTCAGCCCGTCTTCGATGCTGGTTCCAAACCCTCTCCTTCCTCGACATGGATTTCAGTGGCCGGTTCTTCGACTTCGTCGGTTTCATCAGCCCTGAAATCAAAATTTGTTGGTGAAAAGTCGTTCTTCGCATGGTGTGCCAGCAACTCCCTGTGTAAGCCGATAGCGCCCAACTGGGCAGCGTCGTCAATATCAGGAACCGGGCTTTGATCGACAAAGTCCTCATCTGGAATCGCGCTACTGAAGTCGTCCAGGCGCCCCTGTATCGAGTCCGCACTTGCCGAGGAATTATTTTGTACGACGTCACTCGCAGCATCGTCAATATCGGAACCGGTACCAGAGACTATTTGGCCACCACGAGAATTGCCTGGCAAGTTACCGAAGTTCCATGCTTGTCCGAGACCACTGGCTGGTAATTCTGAATGCATGTCTGAACCTAGATGGTCGTATGGTCCCGTGTTGGTGTAATTGAACCCCGTATCCCCCATGTCAATACCTTCATCCTCATCCTCAATGCTGTCTTGCAAGCCGTCGTTCATAACAGCATCGCTGACGAGTAGTGGGGCGGCGTCCTCGTCGTTCTTTTCGTGGGCTTCATATGCAGGCAAGTTCTCAAGCGCCGACGGATTGACTGTCATACTATCCGTGCTAGCCGAACCAGGATTTGGTCGATGGTGAGTTGCTCCTACTCCTGTCAAGGGCCCCGACGACCCACGAAAGGTACTTCCGACGGGGCCTTGTTCTTCCCCCGACTCGGTGATATCATCTTCTCCGGATTCAGGGGGGTTGTCAAAGTCTTGAACAATCTGTTGGATTCTGGTCCCACCAAGCGGGACCTCAGATCGTCGTCGATAGAATAGTAGATATGCACTCTGAGTAACAACGCGTGAGGGATCCTTCGTCTTAGAGACAGACGAGTCTGATAATTATTAGCGCTAGCCATCGAAGACATATTCTAATAACTCACCATTGTATTCATACCACTCGCCATCGGTGTAATTCTTGGCGAATGCAGTGTAATGTCCGCCGCCAAGACCACCCCAATGATCGTCAACAGCAAACAAGTCATAGATTTCTTGCTTGCCTTCTTGTGTCTCAACCACGCGTGAACTTAGATCGAGGCCTTCTATCGGGAAGTCCACCATAACGTCGAGCTTGTCTCGTCGCCATCCACTCGAGCTGAAACGCTTCAGGTGCATGACCAGAACATCTGGAGTTTTCCAAAGTTCGAACTTTTTGCTCGCTCTTCGGTGTTCTTTACAACGAGGGCAATACCAGGTGTCCGCTTCCGAGAGAATCTCCTCCTTGCCAAACTCATTCAGACAATCATCGAGAGTAATACCGTGCCTCCGTCGCTGTTCACGAGTTTTTTGCTTTGTTTCAAGGATTGGGTCCTCAAGAGAAGGCATGTCCCTAACCAAATTACAGCCTCGGTCATCGTCTTCCCGTTTGTCGCCGTCGTATATTTGTGTATAAGCGTTTTCGTCCCAATCGACAACGATTCCTTCACCGAGGCGTATAAGAGGACCCTCATCTGGGGTATCCTGCTCAAAAGCAGCATTAAGTTCGTGGAACTTCCGTTGCTGATTGCCCTTTTTTGAGTAAGTCTTGATGTTACGGGGGCGACGCTTCTTGGGACCTACTCTAGCCCCATATTTTGGTGCTGCTGGTCGGACGGGAAGAGCCTAGTCCCCAGTCAGAAGGATGCTCACAAAGACATTCGAAGCACATAGTGCTGCAATTAATCCCAATAAAAAAAGTATAAAAGTGTGCAGAACTAGAGAAAAATTCACTCACTCTGGGTACTGTAGGTGCGGCTGCAAGTTCATCCTCTTCGCTTGATTCATCGTTCATCCGCGTTTGTTCCGTAAAACCACCGCCACGACGTTGAAAGCTATCAGCTTCATCGCTGTCCGATCCTGTGTGACCGTCTCCAAAGCTGTCCGAAGAGCCGTCGCGCATGTCACGAGGCTCCGGCATTCTAGACGAAAGCGTAGGGTATGTCTTCTCTTCATCAACCGGGTTCCAGCCAGTTGGAATTGGCTCATTTGGGGTTGAGAAATACCCGAGGGTGAACAGATTTTGGAGTTCTGGCTCGAGGAATGACCCTGGAGCAAGGAACTTTGGTCGGCGGTTGTTGAATCTCTTGAGGGGAAACCTAAAATCAAGTCAGCGGGTTGTATATTGCAAGTTGCTGGGGCCTTTATACAAGGACTTCTCTTTCTCGACTGGCTTTGCAGATTTGACGCTATTTTCTTTTGAATCAGACACTCCATTGGTCCCCTTCATGGTCACATCTACCAGTCCATCCTCGCCATCAATCGAAGTTGCCACGACTTTACTGTCACCAGAAGAGTCGGCATCGGAACCTGTGGTAAGGACAATATCTGGATCAATACTGTCTGCCAGGCTATCACTGGCTTCATCATCACTATGGAAGAGTGAATGGGAACTGAATGTCGCGACTTTCTCGAGAATCTTGCGCTTAATCACATCTTCGCTTCTAGCCTAAATAAAGGTCAGCATAGCAAAACGATGACAAGATCTTAGGCTCTTACCTCTTCAGGGGTGACCATGATGAAATGGGGAAAGTCTGAAAGAAGCCAAGGTTTCCGCCATTTCGCTCTTTCCGGGTTTGGTTTACGGTGAAAGACGGGAACAAGCATCTTCTCCGCTGCAGGATCTTGCCAGCCGAGTGCATCTTCCTCATCCGAGTCATTGTGGCCGTAAGAGAGCACCATCGACTTCGTCTTCGGCTTAAATACAGGAGGCCAGTTGGTTGGCTTAGCTTCCAGTTCGTAGATAACGCATACGTCGTTGTTTTGAATTTCTTCAGAGGCGACAACGTTGTCGTCATGTATCTTGTAAAATTTGCCTTTGAATTCTTCCGTAACGAACAATCTTTCGACTGGAATATCTACTCGTTTGCTGACAAATTGCTTCAGTGCTAAGATGCTACCTTGTTTGTCCATGTCGACGTGTATCTTGTGTGGTCTTTCGTTCAGAGGGAAGTATAAGACAGTGTGGCGCCAAGCATTCTCAATAGGCAATTGCAGGGTGAGATTGTTGAAAGGATCGAAAGTGATGCTAACCTTGGAGCAGACAGGGCAAACGAGGGTTGACTTGTACATGCCAGTAAAAAGATCTGCGATTACTGAATCATCTCGCTTCTTGGTGATATCCCAGACCTTGGCGGCCATTTCTCGAATAGCTTCAGGATTGTTGACCATCTCATCGGTCGAATCCGGCTTCTCGATGTAGGGCTTCTTTTTCACTCGGCTCAAATCCTCTTGAAGTCCGTCCAGCAGAAACCCGAGGAATTCTTGTGAATCTTGTTGTCCATAACCAGAGAATGATGGCGCGTATTTACCAATGATATTCTTGAAGTTCCGTGGGGTAACGGACGTTGGGACTGGCTCCTTATAGATCTCAGCCAATAATCGTGCGTAAGCCTCCGCGACTTGACCGTTATTTCCCAAAGGATTCTCAAAGTTGAGCTCGTTAGCAGCCGCACCAGACAAGAAGTACTTGGTTAATTCTTCCACACTACGAACGCACTGGAGGGCGGAATTCATGTAACAAGTGTTTCCAAGATTACTCAAACCAACTGTCCCGAGCACTTTTCCAGGCTTTTGTGTACGGCCACGGGTCATTGGACCTAAGGGAGCGGGGCTATTTCTGCCGCTGTTTGGCTGGCTTTGAGACATTCCAGTCCTGGTAAGAGCTGCGGTGGATTTCCCGCTCTTGGAGGTATAGTTAGACACATAGTTATTGCCATCTACAGTCTCATCTAGGACAATATGTTGGCTGTCTCCGAGGGAGGTCATCGACAGATCACTTGAACCATTGTAATTCTTCTGCAGGGTGATATCACCGCGTTCCTCGTTGACGAGTTCCCTTCTGCTGCCCTTCTCTAGCTCCAAGAAAGTCGAAACTGGGAGCAGAAGATGCTTCCATGAGTCCTGTGGTTCACGGGATTGAGAAGTTGGATTTGGTGCTGGTGAGCTAGGCCGTGATGAAGGAGGCGTTACAGTGTTTGCTGTGGGGGCTACCGGTTCTGCAGCAGGCAACAGCCTTGGAACTCGCCAAACTCGCACTTTCTTCGAAAGATCTATCTGTGATTGCTCCTTAATTTTCTTCAGGAAGTCGTAGTATCTTGTAGACCTACTTAGGACATATGTGAGTGGTGGTGGATTTGAGACCTTCAGCTTTTGCGGGACTAAAATCGGATTGTTATCTGAATACAAGCGGTGTATGGTGAAAACCGGGGGGTGTAATTCATATTGCGTATTCGGCAACCCATTCTTATCGGGGTTTGTGTTATGGGCAATGCGTTGAATCGGTCGAGAACCGGGCATGAGCGTATACCATGAGACGACGAGATTCCATGCCTCTTCAGGGAAAAAGGCAAACGATTCCAGCCCTAAACCATGCTTGAGTCGAACAAATTCCTTCCCATCGGAGTCCGTTACGATATCTTGGATAATATCTGAATTGTCGATCGGCCCTACTTCGCCTTCTGGCTCAACTTTGCTCTTCTGTCTAGCCTCCGAACCACGGTCCTGTACACGTTGAAGCCAACGGTGAGACACAACGTACATCATATCATTTTCTTGGGGTACGTGTTGCATAGCTGCTTCGCACAATGTTGTCACAGTCTTAATCTGGACGTCGATGGAAGGTGTCTCTGTAGCATGGTCTGTTAGTTGGGTATTTTAGAATCAATTTGTCCCATTCACATACCATTTTGGGGGTCTGCTACAGGAGGCGCCGTACTTTGTTCCTGCTCCACCTCCATGTTCTGTGTTTGCAACACAGGGTCATTGGCTGGCTCTGGTCCAGTATTCTTTAACATATCCACAGACTGTGCTCGTTGGTGTGTGGTGTTTAATTCTGAGGGGTTTGTAGGCTCCGATGGGTCGGATAGGGGGGCGGAGATCATATCGACATCATCCTTCTGGCTTGAAGGTACATCGGAGTCCTCTAGGTTTGATGCACGTCTCTTTAGTGGCGACGAAGACCTCTGTGGGGCATCTGCGGCTCCTCCCATAATAGCCCTATGTGAAAAGGACTTCAGGGTAGACTGGCTCTTGATTGAATCTTGCTCGGTAGGTGCGAGAGAGGCTCGTTGGGTGTCCGCAGCTGAGGAATCTCCGCCTCGTTCGGCTTCAATAGAAAGTTTAGCGTAGGAGTCAGTGGGCGAACTCGCCGCCGAAGACACACAGTCGCCCGCAGAGGGTGCTGAGGGGTTCTGCAGATGCTGGGGGATGTGGGGAGGGAGATTTATATCCGAGGAGCTTGGGTTGGGGATCTCAAATCGAGGAAGATCGTGGGGGGATACGGAGTCGCAATCCTCAACCGAGTTCAGTGGGATATCAGGATTGTTACTGGAAGGCGGGCCTGTAATATGCTGCGGAGAGAGCTTTCTTTTCTTTGTGGAAGACGTCGTGAATGCGAGCTGCCTTTGCAGCTCTGAGTCCGCCGGAGGGATCAATGTAGGTGTAGGCGGCGCGAGAAAAGACTGGAAGTTTCCTCAAAGGTAAGGCTACATGGACGAGCGGACTGCATGTAGGTAGATATTTACGGCTAGAGACGAAAGAGAATGGGACATCAAGGTCGAAGTGGCCAGAGAGTGTTTTGATGAGTGTTGACGAAGAATTGAATTAACTTGAATGAAAAGGGAGACGGAAGAGATTGTAGATCTTGTGGATGGAGGCTCTTGGATGTATTTTACGCTAACCGAGCGTGGTGAATATGACGGTACAGTACTACCTATGCTAATTCAGCGTCCTTTTGCCGATTTTTTAGTCTGCGCATATGTTTTTGCGCGTATACATACTAAAATTCCGTGCAATAATTTTGTAGCAAATACTAGCTTTCTACACCTATATATTATAATACGGTAGTTTTGGTGATGGAAATGCAGAATGGAGTCGTGCGGGCAAGTGCTCGTGCACGCCAAGCAGGTAAACAGGCAAGGCAGTATTGATTCACCTTGCAATGGCCATGTACTCTACAACATATTTTGCATTCTGCTAAACATAGCTTTGTTGTTTATCCCCCCGTTATTGAAGCTTTTCGATATTCCCTTCAAATTGCTCTGCCCTCCCTTTCTGCGATCAGCAATGAAGAAGGCCTATTCGTTGAGTGAATAATGGGAGGAGATCCGGTCTAGTGCTGGACACAAAAACGGGCAATATCATGACTTTTACTCGAGTAGTATCCTGTTCCGCCTTACACATTATAAGATTAGTGCGTTTATCTGTCCAACACGAGTCGGGTGAAAGTCTTTATTATACTTCAGTTCTTAAGGAGAGCGAGGAAAACAACTGTCAGATTATTTGCTTAAGCAAAGATTTATCAAAGACTGAACCTTGCCGAATGATATCCCAGGTAACTTCCAGCTCTGCTTCGTTTACCCTGTCCTGTTACGTTTCTCCACCATGCAGTTTTTGTGAAATTGAGACTACTGTCCTGAGTGTCGCATTCTAACAAAGTCCAGGTTGGTCTGTCACGTGATTAGAAACTGATTTCAGGGTGCCTCGTGTGAGTCAAAATCCTTTATATATCGGGTATATAGAGGGAGGTGAGGTTTAGGACTAGGAGTGTCTTTTGTCAGTCATGGTAAGGGTGGAGATTGAATATTTGGGCTAGGATACGGGTTGTCGACAACAGATTTCTGCATCAGACATAATAACGCTGTAGTAAATGGATACCCCGAAAAGAATGAGGAGCATGAAGTTCAACAGGCAGAACTTCGTCAAAGTTTGGAATAGAAACAGCTAATTAGCACACCGAGGCTTCCAGGCATATACCGCATACTGAATGTTTGTCCTAATAAAGCCAGGGTCGAAAATGAAGTGTCGGAATCCGCTCTACGAGTAAGATACTTTGTGCCCAAATACTCGTGACTAGATGGTACTCGTAGAAACTAATTCTACCTCAACTTTAATTTACTCAGCCCTGCGGTTTCCCCAAAGAGCATTTAAGCAATTCCAAAGAGCCAATCAGAAGTATCGTTTCGTTTACCGATTATATGCACCCCAGCGTCATTTATATAATCTCCATTCGTGACGTGGCACGGTCAGCAAGCCAAAGCTGAGCTCAGCCTCACCTGCTGCACCGCCCGCCACAAATCAAAATTGGCGGGAGAGAAAGAGGAAAGAGTCGAAGAGCTCCAGACCGCGAAATATGACAGAGAAGGACAATTTTACAATTTTAACCGAGGTACTAAGATTGTATCGAGATGGGGAACCTCAACTTTCGACGAACCTCCAATTATGCATCGAGTTTTCGGTAAGACCGTAAGTAGTCAGTTACTGTACGCCCCAGTATAAGGTATGGAGCCGCCTGCCTGTCAGCCCTTTTACACATACATTAGCCGCAATGCATGCGCTCTATCACGGTATCCTACTGGCAGCTGCCTAGGTGGCAGTCATGGAGCCATCTCCTAGTTGAACTCAAGCTTACATTATTGTGCCTCTCCAAGTGGAGAAGCGGAGAGAATTTGCCTTGTGAGTCAAGCGGCAGTACAGTACTGCACCTACCCTTGGACGACCCATTATTGGTTGAGGTTGCCTGGTGTTGTTTATATATATATTTCTCAATCCCCAACGTCTACACTATATATGCTCACTGTCAACCCCATTCATCACATCCCCTCAGTCACTGGGATTTCTCGACAGAGGTCGCGGAAACCGAACCACCCCCACTTTGGGCCTTCAACAACAACATCCCCCTCCTAACTCTACAGACTTTCCCTCCTTTTTGCCGCAACCATGAATCAGTCTTGCAATACAGGCGAGTCGCCGAGGAATGCGCCCACAGGGTCGAATACAGCATACCCCGATCAATTGAATCCCCAAACCGCTCTCCTCGATGCCTTCTTCCCCGGGTTCTCGTTGCTCTCCTCTGCTCTTTCCAGATACTCCTCAGTCGACCTGACTCTCTATTTCCCAACCTTGCTCGCTTTCGGTCTTCTTATTTTTGGAGGACGCTATCTGAACGAATGGCTCTGGAGCTTTCTCAATGAGCACGCTATGTCTACAGCCGATATCAGGACAGATGACGAGATGTATAATATGTTCATGGGATGGGTTGCCAACCAGAAATTCGCTCAGCGTTCTCGCCGGTTTGTGGCCAACACGGATCTAAACAGCCGCACGTGGTTTCTATTCCGAGATTACGACGACGACGATGATAAGGATGATGAAGTGACCGTTGACTTCGATGACAACGGTAACCCATTCTCCCGCGTTGGAACTGGGAAGCAGCAGAAAAAGGTCCGGTTTACTCCATCCTTTGGAACACATTACTTTTGGTATAAAAAGCATATTCTTCTCTTCAGCAGAACCCAAGATACTCGTCAAGGAGGCTACGCATCCATGAGTGAGCGTGAAGAGATATCCGTTTCGTGCTTTGGTCGAAACCCTGCCATTCTCAAGGAGCTCCTCGACGATTGTAGAACCGACTTCCTCTCCCACGACGAGAACAGGACTATCATCTACCGTGGTGGTATGAAGTCCGGAACCGCGGAGCCGAACTGGGTCCGCTGCATCTCCCGCGTCTCTCGTCCCTTTTCCACCATCGTACTCGACGAAGCAGTAAAGCAAAGCCTGCTTGACGACATGAAAGACTACCTGCACCCTTACACGCGACGCTGGTAGTAAGTCAAGTTTCCATCCCAAACCCTCTATTTTCTGTGTAAGCTCCGGAGCCAGGAGCCAAAGAAACGTGTTCTACAGAATATGTAATCCCGGCTCCTGAGACACCTTCCGAGTTCTTTGGCTCCCTGCCCCAACCTCAGCTTTTTCTTATGCTAATTCATTGATAGTTCTAACAGAGGAATTCCCTACCGACGTGGCTACCTCCTTTATGGCCCACCAGGAACAGGAAAAAGCAGTCTGAGTTTCGCCATTGCTGGCCATTTCAAGCTCAAGATCTACATCGTGTCCCTCAACTCCCCCGCTATGAACGAAGAGAACCTCAGCCAGCTCTTCTCCGAACTCCCAAAGCAATGCGTCGTCTTACTCGAAGACATCGATACCGCCGGCCTAACACATACTCGAGACGAAAAATCCACCAGTGAAGAAGAAGTGTCCAAGCCTCTCGTAACAGCCGTTCCGGGTACCACAGTCATTAGTCCCGCCACCCCACCCCCCAGCACCGGAGGTCGAATCTCTCTTTCCGCACTCCTCAACATCCTTGACGGAGTAGCAAGCCAAGAGGGCAGAGTACTGATCATGACCACGAACCACATTGCAAAACTCGACGATGCCCTAATCCGCCCAGGCCGCGTCGACATGACAGTAAAATTCGACCTCGCCTCCCGCGAAATGATAAACACCATCTTCCGCTCCATCTTCGCCACCCTCGAAGGCGACATCCCGGGCCCCAAATCCGGCGGTGCCATCATCCGCACACCTTCCAAAACCCACGCGCTGGAAGAGAAACTCCGCGTGGAGAAAGAGCGGGAGGAGGAAGAGGAAATGGCTGAGGTGTTGAAGCGGAAAGAGGAGAAGGTCAAGAAGCTGGGTGTGGAGTTTGCTGACCTCCTCCCGGCCATGGCGTTCAGCCCAGCAGAAATTCAGGGATATTTGCTGAAGCATAAACGTGATCCGGAGGCTGCTATCAACGGGGCCTCGGAATGGGTTGTTACGATGGAGTTAGATAAGAAGAAGAAGAAAGCGAAAGAGGAACGTGAGGAGAAGGCGCGAGTCGAAAAAGAGAAACAGGAGGCTGAGAAGGCTGCGAAAGAGGCTGCGAAAGAGGCTGCGAAAGAGACCGAAGGGGAAGGGAAGAAGGTTGAGCCTGCGGACGCTGAGAGAAAATGCTCGTGTAAGAACGAACCATTAGTAAATGGTATCAAGAAGCCAGAGGAAGCCACCTCGACTTGAGGTTGTACGAGTATAAAACATATTAGATATCCCTGCTTCACGGCAATATAATTAGCGGCATTGAATTTTATTTTTAAGAAGAATAGTCTAAAGACGTACCCCATGTTGTGCCTAGTTCTCAGGTCCGAACTAGAATGTTCTTCTATCGCCGAGATAGATGTCTGGAACTGTGAATGAAGATGGCTTATTCTCACGCTAACTTGATCCTCTTTGCTGTACTTTCTCCAGGAATATGTAGGCAGTTCGATTATAGGAAGGTTCTTACAGGCTGACGCGCTCGCGGTCCTGCACACAGCGCCTCAAACTAGCACACGAGCAATCCTCGCTTAAGCCCCCTTTAAGCAAGAATTGGCAATCAATAGAAGCTGAGGTTTTACGGACTAGGCAATGCTCTCGCAGCAATAATTAACCAGGAATCAGTTACACACCAGCAGAAATGGTAGCTACTTCTAAAGCAACATCTCAGACGGAGACACCAGCTCCTAGTATAGCTCCAAGTCCGCATGAAGACGGACAGTAGAGCTTCAACAACACTCGAGTTGAAGCAGCGTACGGGCTGACAGCCGAGCAATGTTATGCTGCCATTCTAGAATTATGCACAGAGATCAATCGAGCTGCAGAGCAAGAGAGTACCTGTTGAGCATCACGGCGAACAAGGAATGGGCAGACGTTCAAGCTATGTAGTGGATTGCAATTGATACTAATTCAACTGCTGGCAATGAGGTTACGTCCAACGCTACCCCCATACCCGGACATTGCCAGTTATAATTTGTCATAGCTACTAGCCGCATTGCAGAATCATTCAAAGAACACATATACAGATCAGAGCGCTCATCACTAAAGTCAGGTAGATGGGGTAGCGAAGGGATAACTATCTTACTTGAGAACCGCGTTTATGAATAAGGTCACTGTCATCAATTCCAAATATCCAATGTATTCAGATGTATCACTCAGGGAAGGATATTGCGTGCTTGTATGCGAATATTGCGACAGAAAAATCCAATGTTGATTGCTCAGTGCCAGCCAGCACTCCGCTTCCATGACCAGTCCGTCCCAGGAGTGCGAAAACTACCTACCTAACGCCGATACCCAGAACCATGTAAGCAAACCCATCAAGACCCGTTGAATGTGTCCCTATGGCCGTTATACCTGCAGCTGTCCAATTTCCTCGTGCAAACAAGCTTCGTCCATCCTCAAGTTCTCATAATCCCTTGTATGTGTATACGTGACCCAGTTGTGTCGGAAAGCCGTTCCCATCCGTAAGCGCTCCGTCGGACCCAGGCTGGGTCCACCACCACGCATACCGGACAACCCAGTCCAGTCGATCCATCAGCGGTACCGCAGAGTTGAGGAAATCTATCTGCTGGTCCGTGGTGCCCTCGGCATGAAGCTACCTCGAAGTTAGTCACACTCACTCCAAAACAAAAACCTTGAAGAATATATATATCGACAGTAACTTAAACGTACCTCGGTTATCCAAATTTTTTGAGTATTCCCATCTCCAAGAATGTCATGAATGTGGAACAGAAAGTCGTGGAACATCTGCTGCTGATCCCAGTTGCCAACCAGTGCACAGTATAGAAATCAATAATACAGCGTCCGGCGCACGCAGCGATAAAACCTTTCAGCCAGGGAATACCACTGTTCGGATCACTAGTGATAGCTGGAGCACCCAGAAATGCTCGCCCGTGAAATGGATTCATGTAGTCAATGTAGTGTTGCGCTGCGACTGGCAGGTCTAGCATACATGCTTGGTGGTCGCAACTATCTGGCTCATTGAAGGATAGAAGGCATTTGGCGCCACGTCCGAGTGCATCGTTAACGTTGTTTACCCACTAAGTTGCGTGCTTTTGTTAGTTGGAGGTCTTGTATTCCGTTAAATGCACTTGATGTGAAATGGAATGGACCAGGCGAGGTGACTCACAGAGTTGGTGTGTTCTGGCCTGTCATCCCATAACATCGGTACAAACTCCAAGTCTGAGGGGAAATCACTAGCCCTGTGGGTAAGGTTAATTAATATAGCTTCAAAAGATTCTTGGAAAGTAGGATAACATGAAGGTCATATTCAGGAGACAGAATGCTGTTCAAAAGAAAGTACATGCTTGAGCCCCAGCTGTAAGCCCATCCTACGTTACTTGGTTCACCGCTGCCACTGTTCTCCCTGAAGTGTCGGATCCACTGGGGCGGGTCATTGTAAGGCAGACCACGAGGTAAAGTTGAGCGTATAACCGTCAAGAGGGAAGCGAAGAGGAGGCAAAATCGGAAGAGGGAAATAGGGGGACTAAAAATGCTGGACATCATGGTCTTTGGAGTATTGTAACCTATGATTAGTGTTTGCTTTCAATATGTGGCAAGTTGAAGCTTAAAGGAAGTCTGCTTGAAAAAGGAGTTCGAAAGAAGAAGAGGCAAAGTAACAAGAAGAGATAGTCATATAGGCATGGAGTTTACAATTCCTTTCCATTTTGAATCACCCAATTGGAAGTCGAATTCACAGCCTAATGTGTATGAATGGGAATCTATTATGATGAATTTAGTGTAATGATAAGTGACAAGACTACAATAATTAATATGCAGCAATTCGGAGATATCTTTGACATTGATTTGTAGGTGCAAATAGGCAATACATCCTCCTGCGACGAGAAAAGATAAAAGTGTGCTTGAGGATATTACAGGGTAAGAGTAAGAAATATGACAGACGTAGAATCTGTTATGAATAGAGACACCTCTAAACAGATGGAGATAATGAGAGACCATTCATGCCAGGACAAACAATGTATTTCTCAGCATCGTTACTAACGATTGACTAGCAAAGTGATTCATATTCCTGAGGTGAATTGGCTGCGTTCAATTCTAGCCGCCGTCTCCCAGTATCCCGGCCTCTGAAATCGGTCTAAAGTAGCTATCTGCTTAAATCTCATGTCAAGATTGACGAGCTTCAAGCAGTGGATGCAGGTTTCGAGAAACTTTAACTTCATCGAACGGTGGGGGGGCACTGCGGTTTTGACCTTCAATAATCGGAAGGCAACGCAAAGAGCTGTGACTCAGCCAAATGAATTGCAAATGATGACTGTTTCCGAGACACCCACCAAAACAAGCAATTGACTTTGATCTGGGCTCAAGGTACTTGTGATCCATGTGCCGCTCAAGATCTAGAGCTGTCTGCGTTCATTTTCTGGCTAGACAAGCGTCGATATCAGGTCCTCTTTCTCACCTCATAGCAATATATATCTGACTAGCGCAGGATACAACACGTAGTAATTGAATTTCGGGATCGTTTCGACAATACATGTCATACAAACAGCAAAGGCAGTGGCGGGACGTGGATATCGCAGTATTGGCTTGTAACGTGCGCTCCGGCACCCTCTTCAGTCCACAATAATATTCGTATATCAAACCAGCTTATGTCAAACAGTGTGCCCAGATATTCGAAAAGCAAAAGCAAAAGGATAAGACTCAATCCCTCTACATTCTTGCTGCAAAGACATTCTAGCCCCAGCAAACTTCGACGACTGATTGCAAGTATGTATGCTTGATGTCGAGGCACATGTCGGAGCTGGGCAGGAGTTCGGGTTCGATGTTGTAAAGGTCTTGCAAAAATTTGAAAACGCCGTGCTGTTATATCCGCACCCACATCGATTAGATGGTAAGCACCTCGAGGACCGCCAGGAGGTTGAATGCGGCACTGCAAACCGTAATCGTCTTGGCTGTTGTTATAGTCTTTGGAAGGTGTCGTGGAAAACTGTAGATAAAGACCCTTTTTGCCTCGCCCCTTGATCAGGATAGAGAAACTTTGCGGAACATAAAGTATATATCACAATGCCTGATTGAATAGCCTGAAGATTATATACAGATAAGGAATATTCTCTCCCGAGCTACAGGCGAAAGAGCGCCCCGGGGGAAAAAATAGCTAAATTGAGCGGCAAAATTTACTTCCATCGGGTGGATCTGTGGCGAAAGATTGATCACAGCTATTGCCTTTCAACTTTTATGAGAAGAGCTACCTCGAAAGGACGCTGGAAGTCTGCAGAAATGCTGGACTCTACAACTTCAGCCAAGAAGACCGAGTCTGAGCTTCACTTGTTATTGAAGAGACGCCCTCTGAAATTTCCAGCCTACATTACACCACTCGGTACCACTTCTACCATTTCCACTTGATTTGTGTAGGTCTGATGCACTTCCATCTTGAGAACTACCCGCGCCCCGCCCCCCTTTTTTTCAAGCCTCATAAGCGACGACCAACCACCAGAACAACAAAAAGGTAAACATCCGCCTCACGATCTTGAGACCCCCTTGAGTATCCTCTAGATCGATTCACGCAACGCAGCATTCATTCTAGTTCCACTTACGTATGCATTGCATGCCAGCGCTAAAGACAATCTCGGCCATTCTGGAGCAACTTCATTCCCGTGTCTCGAGTTGCGATATTCAAGGCGAGAAGAAATGGGATCTACCAGTGTCTTGTTGCCACGAGAATTCAGAATAAAGATCGCCGTGCCAATGCGGGGCAACCTTCGTAGCCCTGGTGAGACTATGAGGAAACCACGATATTTCTGGGAAAGGGGTGCAGCGGAAAGTCCCAATTCCGGGTCTGGACCTACATGGGAAAAAGAAATGGAGGTTGGCGAGGGATGAGACGGGTGTTGATTCGGTGTCGAAAGGGGAACAATCAAAATTTCCGAACACTCGGCAGCCGCAGCCACCATAGATAATGCGCTCTCGAACCATACATTTGGAGTGGAATAATCTTATCATAACAGCGCCACCAAAAATATTCTAGAACAACTTTAATTCGACATCAAAATATTTGCTCCTAAATTTTAGTGGTTTCAAAACTTGTGATAGACCACCGGATAGAGAGGTTTTCTCAGAAGCACGATAGGAAGTAGTACCAATAAATGATCATTCAAGTCTATCCTTCACTCAAACAACCCTTAAACTACCTAGGTACTTAGCTGGCATTCAATCCCGGGATCCATGTCTCTGTGTCTCGTCACGACGTGGGTGGCTTAGCGCCTTTCAAACGGGATCCCAGAGTCTCAGATGGACGGTCATCTGTGCGACTTTGAGATCTTGGTAGCGAAAACCCGCTCAGAATAGGGCTGCATATGAGGCAGAACTAAGGTACGAAAGGTACCATGGTAGCAAGCGGGGAGAAGATCGATGCCTGTCTCGTCTGACCCTTGAATCTCGACGTATCATAGGGCGGAGTCTAGAGTGGTCTGGTCTGGTCCTTGCCGATTCAGTGTTATAGACCCGTCAAGCCTAATGACAGCATTGCGCAATTTCAACGGCGTGCGGACACTTGTTGGTGTTTCTTGGAGTATCTGGCGACCTATCCCGGGATACATCGCTTTTCAGTTATATTGAGTATACATAGTGAGTATGTCCGACGTACGAAAGTATTTGGAATTCGTTGTTCAGTAATCAGAATAATCAGATGAGGCTCGGGGGTGACTAGTATCTCAATGTGACACGTCGACGCAAAAGGAAAAGGCTTCAGGCCCCAGTCCCGTGCCGATGCGAGAACAGATCGTGGCATTCGTGTGCGCGGAGGCAGGGGCCTGTGCAGCCTATCATACTGCACCCAATGATTTCACCGGCCTCTAGAAGCCTGTCAAGTAAGCGAACTGTGGCGTCTACCCCTATTGTTTGGAAGTCTGGTGGCAATGGTATTGGTCTAATTCTCCTCAAAGCACTCCCAGCCCACCCCCTTGAAGAACGTTGAGGAAATGTTACTATGGGTTATCCGGTGAAGCTATGCAAGTCTCTTTCACGGGTTTTCATAGAAGTTACCACGGCTTCAAATAGTCTTCCCTGCAACCTCTCAATTGAATCTTCCCCTGCAGAAGGGCGAGCCAAGTGCACGAGTATTGGCTAATACTTTCGGATTTTTTTAGATACACGCTTCCCAGGAAACAGATCTAAAGTGTATTCCATTACCATTCTTGAAATGTAACGCAATCAAACCTAGAAGAAGATGGGAGCAAATACCAAAGAACTGTCTCTGAGGCGATAAAAACTTGCAGCAAGCAAGAGGCCATGAAGTACACCGTGGAAGGCCATACGTTCTTTGTCCCATGTGTCCCCCTCAACTTGCAAGTCATCGACGAAGCCGGTACCCGATTACAGCCTAATTAATGTTGCGACTCGCATTTGAGATCCGAGTGTCCGAAGTTGCTTGCATGTTTGATAGCAATGGGGCCAGCTTGTACACCGTAGGCTTGAATTTGTGGATTGTGAATTCATTACTATGTTGTCGGTGCCGCCACACCGTGCTACTAAGTTGGATCCTAGTTGCGACGAGCTTTCGAGGGGAAATATGCTTCTTTGTGGTCTTGACAGCTGTGTGGACTTGAGCAAGTGCTGCTTTGAAGTCTCAGGAGGTGCGGGGTAGAGACCCCACAAGCTTCTCCAGGATCAGACGTAGGGTGTAAGGATGAAGTTAGAGCGACGCGTGAGACCCCTTTGACTAGACGTGCGGGCCAAGTGGGTGGAAACAGGGTATCTTAGATCTGCAGTGACGCGAGTGGTGTTCTCGCGGATGAACATGTGGACGGCTCAGATCTTGGGACGATCATTTGATCCATCTCAAGCATATTCGTATCTGCAGCGCCCAGTGCAAGTGAGCCCAACCCAGCAAGGTGTGTAAATCACCTTCGGTCACATCAATTTAATATCCTAGACCTATCATGTAGGATTCTTCTCCTACTGCTATCTCAGCATACGTTTTTGGCTGATTTGGATTTGCTTCCTAGTCTGCCGTCCTGACGCTTCACCTATCCTAATTCAGAGCAATAAGCACGATCGATTGACATTGTCACTGTAGCACATGATAGTAAGACAATGTGTGCCACAATTAGAACAAGAAGCTGGCGGTGAGCGCGGGACCCTGGTCTTCCGCCTTAGAATAGCCCACAGACTTCGTTTTTTGTTTCCACCTATTCGTGTCGCAGTAACTGTGATTCAATGACCAATCATTAGCCGCGATCGTCTAAAAATTCCGTAATCTGCAGAACGGTGAGGGTAAGGCTTTGACATTTGGCAAGCAGGTGAGCTCCATGATTGACAGGCTCGGAATGTGTTGCGGTAAACCCCGTCCCAAATGTCGGATTTCAGAGATACATCTGCCCTTGAAGATGTATTGTAATGCCATGCCATATTTATTTCCATTTGAATGCAATCCATTGGCGTGGGGAGAACGTTCTGGGGATTCTAGACTCCGTCCGTGCGGCATACTTATCCCGTTTGCAATTTCAAGCCACCGCTCGAGTCAGACAGCTGACGAGGGCTTATCATAAGAGATCCGGTCAATAATTTATGTACTTTAAACGCACCGAGGGGAGTAGATCCTTTCATTGCTGGTCCCCCAGCCATGTCAACTAGGCATATGGTGATTGGACAACATATGGACGAGGTGCTTGAATAACCGGGATAGAGTCGGTTCTCTTTAGTCGTCGCCGCCTGAAAAGGCCATTGGCCATATATGCTATGATAGCCCCGCCGCAAAGATCTTCGATTGTAGCCACTACAATCAATGGGGTTGTTCCTGACCAGGGGCCATTGGCCGCCAGGAAAAAAATGCGTGAAGAGGGTGGGTGAGCCTGTTAGGCAGTCGTCAAAAGATCGCTAGCATCTTTTGGCCGCGAAAAACATTGTACGCTTGTGTAGTTAATTAAGCACTCGAAAGACACCGCTATCACAGTGTCATGTGTGTAGCACCACCGCCGAATGGCTTAGGAGGATTGAGGAAACAAGATAGGTTCTAATAAGTCTTTAGTAAAACACAACTTCAACTAGAATGGAGTGTCCATATAAATAGAATACTGTAGGAAGACGCAAAAGAAGGATCCGAGGGTGTTATACAGTCTGAAGCAAGAGATAAGAGAAACAGCAATCTCTCAAACTTCCCCGGCTCGAGTTTTTGCGATGCAGTGGAAGGTGCGACTGAGCTGGAGGCACGCGAACTCAGCAGTCACCTCACACTCTCACTTTTTACATTCAAGGTCCTTCAGAATCCCGATCTACAACTTGAAAGTCATTTCAGAATCAACGATGTACCTAGTCCCAGTATTTTGCGGGAAAAAAAGTTGTCAACTCCCAGAATTGCGTTGCGAAGGGGTGAGGCAACGAAGTTGACCTTGGGCACTAGCGTATGTCTTGCTTGGTGTCTTGAAACACTTGAAAAGTATTGCAATTTTATTGATGCGATGCCTATAAATTGATACATTGAGCCGTGGCTTTACTCACTTACTCATAGCCATGTTTTGCGGATGTACTCATACATTGGACACTTGGGCTGAGACAGAAGACCCATGGGGGGTATTTTACTCGTCGCCAGCAGCAACGCGACCGGAAAGGAAACTTATCCGAGCTTCAATTGCTTTGGCAGAAAGCCTGCCTGGGCGGGAAACGGAGCCCAAACCTCGTATCGGTCGGCTTACCCGTGAAGTTGGACCATACGGGGATGGTCCACAAGAAATATGGCCGGCTGACTGACCACTAAAGTCCTGGAAATCGAATTATGAGTAGTGAGGTTTAGCTACGGTAGCAAAGACGCATTGTCTATGCCGTTAGAAATCTAGCGAGTGCGTAGGAATGAGAGTTGAGTTTTCTGTGGTTTGTTATACCAGAGGTTGGTCCTAGCTGAGGCAATTCCCCAGGACGAACGAAGGGTAACATGAACACGCCTAAAAAGCCGGTGTCACAAAGCCTTCCACTGCGTAATGCCTGTGACCCTGCAGTATTCGAGAATAGTTTTCGGAGATCGGAGACCGGATTAAAACGAGTATGCAAGCCTAGAAGTATTCCCTTTTGTCGGGAATAATCGATCTAAGATCAAAGGCGCATGCGTTAGCATCTGGTTTCATGCCCTCGCATCTAAGATCAAGGTGCACGGCCAGCGTACCGGGTTCCCGGTGCCGCTAAAAACAAGCCACGATACATCCCTGGCGATACACCCATTCGGAGGCTTTTTTGACAAATGAAATTTGCTTCTTTGCTTCTTGGGTGCCCAACATAAGCAGAGATCCAATGTGTTGTTAGCGTAGCATGTGGGACGCACTTCTCCAACAGTCCGCCTTGTCTTCGATAGCCGTTCGCAATGTGATCGACTAAACTTACTAGCACGATGTACTATTCGTGGCTGAACTCTTTTTACTTCATTTTCTTTTTGTTGTGATGTACTATTCGGAAATCACTTTGTGCGGGCGAGACAGTTGGCGGTCTATCCGAGGCATGAGTTCTTCAGCGACATGAAGAGTTGTTGATAGTCGGCGAGGCTCAAACCTCTGCCAATAATGGCAAGAGCCTTGAGAAGATTGTCACGCCTTACATCAGTCTGACCTTGCAAAACAAAGGTTCTCGGACTTTTTATCGTTTTGATGCTGGGTTCTAGATGGCTTTTACGTTGGGTTCCAATGACGCTGCAGTAACCAGCAGCCTCGTCCCTAGGAATGGGAGATATAAGACTGAGCGGCTGGATCCATCGAAAAGAATGTTTGGATAACACATCAGCCATAGCAGTCAAAATCCTAAGATCTTACTTGTTCCGTTGGGATTCCATACAAACAGTGTCTTCTAGGGCACCTAAAGTTTCGTACGCTAGTTCCCCTTCATCATGACACGCCATGATATTGGCGTGAACGTTTTGATGAGACGAATGGTATTTGCAGAGGCTAACCAGACTATAATGCTAGCAGGTGTGATTTCCACGAGATAATAATTCTGTGGTAACCAATCAGCAACACGTCTATCAATCAAGTATTGACACCAATTCGGACCTGACTTCACGTATACAAGTATTCGACGAACCGTAGTAAGATGCTCGACTTAGCAATCCAGCCCCCCGCGCAAGCTCGACCCGGAGTGGCTCTATACCCACCCCTCACTGCTCGGCTAAGCAACGAGCATAACATCTTCGAAGAGCTTTCCCAAGTCTGGGCTGCCGTGACACTAGTCCACCACTCCGGAGAAGTATTGTATCAGCAGCTAAGTGGCAAGGTTGCCGACTCTGCCCACCCTCTGCCAGAAGATGGTGGGGGTGGATCAAGCTCCACGGCCAGAGACAGAGCTTACTTCTACTTTCCGGATCTCGTTATCCACGAGCCCGGCCAGTACCGTGTCAGGGTCACTCTGATGCAGATGGACTATTCATGTGACGCCGCTCCTGATGGCGTCGTGACGGTGCGTGAGTACGTCGATTCACGTTCCATCAGCATTGAGAACAATGCTCCCAATCGTTCTCGACCGAGTAAGTATTCCTGGCCTGTTTCGTTAACATGACCGACTGACATAAATAGACTCCCGTGAGCGTGCCTTCCTGCGTGTCTTGAGGGACGACGGCCAGCAGATTCCGTCAGGCTCAGGTTAGGGTTCGAATCGACAACATGGTCCGGATGGAGGCATTGGAGCTAGAAGCCATGAGAAAAGGAACTCTGAGTATTCTTCTATCGATCGAATTAGGAAACGTGACCAGTATTGTGATCGATACATCTTTCTTTTTGATTCTAGGAATGTGGATAACTTAGTTTATCTTGCAATGTGACTGCAGCAACAGAGAGTTCTGAGAGAAGGGGGGGGGAAAGGGAGTTGGGTATAATGATGGGGAAATGAGGTTGGAAGGTAAAACAGGACTTTCACTCAAGTATTGCTTTTAGTTTAGGAGAAGAAAAGATGTGTGGTATGAATAGTCAAATAGGACTTGCTTGCTCTTACGTATGCTCTTACGTATTCTTATTCCACATATCTAGTTCCAGTCCAAGGGAGCACTGTTGTATTCCCTTTAGTAGTTGAGTTGAGCTGCTGGGCTGTTGGGCTGATAATGATGATGCAAAGATGGCAATACATTCGGAAGGTCTAGCTGTCTGTGTCAGTGTCGAAATATCTCCGTCTAGGTGGCGGTCGGAAGCTCCGAAGAGGAAGAAAGGGGCGAGTTCTAGATTACGCCCAAAATATGTTCCGCGCCGGGTAAATGTGGGGCATGCAAGAAATAAGATACCGTAACCGTAACCGTACACCACACCTTTGTACTCCGTACAGCACAGCAGTCACGTGTTGGACGAGGCTGAAATTTTCAAAATCTGAGTACGAGTATGGATGAGTTGACTCACATTTGGATTTCTCTCATTACTTGCCCACCACTTCTGCTCCCCTTGTACGCCTCTTCCCTCGCTCTCTCCAATATTTGATGAATTCTTCCTTCTCCTGTCTTTCACGAATATCAAGACTCTGCCTACGCCCACAAGCATTCAGATCCAAAATACTTGGACCTGCCCCGCGTTTTCATCAGACCTACAACATGGCGGCGGAATCGTCCCTACTGGCGGACAAGCTCAAATCCTTGAGTCTGACTACTCCTTTGCCCAAATACGCCAATTGCTACCCAGAAGCCAACCCAGTCGACATCTATCGAGCCCATATCACGTCTATCTTGACAGAGGTTACCGGTGTTGATGCAGCCGTTATCTACCCCGCTCTACAATGGACACAAACTCTGGAAAAGGGCGACTTGGTACTCCCAATCCCTGCTCTGCGAGTCAAGGGCAAGAAGCCTGACCAACTTGCTGCTGAATGGCTTGAGAAGGTCTCTCAAACCCGCTCCGCTGACCGAACGCAGGGCCTTGCTAATTTCTTCGTAGTTCCCTGAGTCTCCCCTCATCCACAAACCCACAACAGCCGGCACATTCCTTCAGTTCTTCTTCAAAGTCGAAAAACTCGCTCAGATCATTATACCCTCAATCCTCAAACAAGACAAGCAATTCGGACAAAATCCATACTTAGGCTTGAAAGACCCCACAGACGAGTCAAAGGGACGAAAAAAAATCCTCGTCGAGTTCTCCTCTCCAAATATCGCGAAGCCCTTTCACGCCGGCCATCTTCGAAGTACAATCATCGGTGGTTTCTTGTCCAATCTTTATCAAGCTGCTGGATGGGACGTTGTCCGGATCAATTACTTAGGTGACTGGGGCAAACAGTACGGATTGCTGGCTTTAGGATTTGAGAAATATGGGAGTGAGGAGGAGCTACAAGCGGATCCTATCAATCACCTCTTCCAGATATACGTAAAAATTAGTAAGGATTTAGCGGCCGAGAAGGAAGAAATCAAGAAACTGGAAGAAGCTGGCAAGGATGCATCTGAACTCAAGAATGAAGGGGTCGATGAGCAGGCTCGCCGATACTTTAAGGCCATGACTGAAAATGACACGAAGGCCATTTCACAGTGGGCTCGATGGAGGGAGATGAGCATCAAGCGATATAAAGAAACGTATGCTCGTCTCAATATCCACTTTGATGACTATTCTGGAGAGAGTCAGGTGAAGCAAGAGAAGATGGACGAAACAGCAACCAAGCTGTCCGAAATGAAGATCTCAGAAGAGTCGGAAGGCGCAGTTATCATCGACTTCGCCAAGCACATCCCAGGGAAGCCAGGGAAGAGTCTCGAGCGACCTATCATTAGGAAGAAGGATGGGACAGCACTTTACCTCACCCGAGATATCAGCGAAATGCTACAACGGGAGGAGAAATACAAATTCGATCAGCTGATCTACGTTGTAGCATCACAGCAAGACCTTCATCTTAAGCAATTGTTCAAGATCATTGAACTGATGGGCTACAAGGATCTCGCAAAGAAGGTACAGCATGTCAACTTTGGTCTAGTCCAGGGTATGAGCACCCGCCGAGGAACAGTAGTTTTCTTAGATGATATATTACGGGATGTGGGAGAGAAGATGCACGAGGTGATGCAAAAGAACCAAGCCAAGTACGAGCAGGTTCAGAACCCGCTTGCCACGGCCGATATTCTTGGTATATCTAGTGTTATGGTTCAAGACATGAGTGGAAAGCGGTGAGTCTCCACCCTTCATTGTCAGGGACCCTTTTACTAATGAGAGAACCAGAATCAACAACTACGAATTTAACATGGACGCCATGACATCCTTCGAGGGCGACACTGGCCCTTACCTCCAATACGCACACGCGCGACTCTGCTCTATCACCCGTCGGGCCCAATTGTCTATTGAAGACATCGCAACCGCTGACCTCTCCCTCCTCACCGAACCCCACGCCCACAATCTCATCCGCGTCATCTCGCAATACCCAGACGTCTTGCAAAATACTCTGAAGACGCTGGAACCCACCACTGTGCTGACGTATCTGTTCAAGATGACGCATACGCTGAGCTCGAGTTATGATCATTTGCGGATTGTGGGCAGTGAGAAGGAATTGATGAAGGCGCGGATGGCGTTGTATGATGCGGCCCGGGTGGTGCTAAATAATGGGATGCGGTTGTTGGGGTTGAGTCCTGTTGAGCGGTATGTTCTTGCCCTCTTTGTGTGCGCTGCTTACTAATTTGGAATAGAATGTGATGTGATGTGGGAATTGGGAAATGGTTGATACCTCCACAGCTTTGTTGAGCTGACGACGGCGTTTTGAGAGTAGAGTCAGTGACTTCTTGTCCTGTCAAGAGAAAAGCATTTCACTTCATCTCCATACAATCATCAAGAATTTGCTGTATGAACAATAGACAATATAATTGATATGGTACAAGTACTACATACTCCCTCCATTCCTAACCTTCAGAACTCCATTCCATTTTCCTGATATTCCATTTTCTATTTCAGTTCAATTCATTTCATTTCACTTCATCTGATTTTATCTCATCAACCACACATTCCCCTCCCGTCTTAGTCATAAGCCCCTTCCTCCACCATCACCTCCAACCTCAACACCAAGCCTCTCCTCCTCATTCATCGTAAGACTCTCCGTTCTCCCTCTCCCTGCACTCTTGACAAAACTCCTCATACTAGCTTTCCCGCTCCCAGCTTCCGGTTTCGACACTAGGCGGATAGGGATGAAACTCTCATCATTGCCGCTCCTCACAGAGAGAGTATCGGAGTGGTGTGTAGTATTGTCGATGATGAAATCAGGCCCGATAGCATCGATTTGTTCCGGTGTAGGCGGGAGGTTGAGCCCCCTCAACATCTGATTAAGCTCATCCTCTTCAATCTCGATTCTAGACCCAGCCTCCAGGTCCTCCGGTGTTCGCGCATGCGCTATCTTCGTCCTCGCATCTTTACCGAGCAGCTCCTCGCCACCGGGTAACGAAATCGATGTCGCGTGTAGTGTCTCGCCGATATCCCGAACCAGAACATCCATCGGACACATATATGCCACCCTCTTCATCGAACTCCACGCCAGCACATGGCCGGCTACTCCGCCGGACTCGTTATCCACAATCCACGCCCCGCTATCGCCCGGTACGCCGAGTTTGCCGGCTACTTGGTAGCTCATGCTTGGTGTTTGGCGCCCGTAGATCTTTACGATTACCATACCGGGTAAGATACGTCCGCTTTGTAAACCTGACGTGCGGGCGAGACAATGTACATTCATGTCACTTAGCGAGTTCGTTGGTGCAATGGACAGTGGATATTGCCCTTCGCGTTGCAAGCAATGGCGATTACCGTTGGGAATGAGATTTGAGTCTGGTGATCGGTGAGATTCGAATTCGAACAAAGCCCAGTCGATCTCATGCGTAATACCGTCCTCGACGCGGCGACGGATGCCAGAGGAAGCGTAGATCTCGCCGAGTTGGAAAGAGGCAATGTGGTCTTCGTCGCGGGTTTCGGGGTCGGGATAAAAGTCTTCTGGCGCGTCGTCAATCGCGGGTTGCGTGATGAGGTATTCTTCGCCGCAGCCTTGAGGGATGCCTTTTATATCGCCTGGTTCTTTGGTTCCCTCTTCATCTTCGTCGTCATCACCGAACTGGGAATAGTCGTCTGAGGAATCGTACTCGGAGGATGAGAAATCGCTTTCGTAGTCGGAGAGCGTGTACATGAATTCTTCGTCTCCGGAGGAATATATTGAGGATTCGGATTGTGTGAGGTCAGGCATATCGAGATGTGCGGAGGAGCGAAGAATCGGTGTCTCTAGATCTGCTGCTGCTTCTTCTTCGGCTTCGGCTTCATCTGGGTCGTCGAGCATATGATGCACTGTCATACCATATGGCTTATCATCCACCATGATCAAGCCACCAAAAGAAACAGGTGGGAGATGACGCTCATTGATATAAGCACCAATACTCGCGCCATTCGTAGGCCGCTCCTGATGCGATGCATTAGCGGGCTTTACATGCTCATTTGCCATAGAGCGCTTCACGCCCTGTTTCCGCGAGCGCACGACTTTGCCACGACAGACTTTGAGGCTGTAGGTAGATTTGTCGTAGACGAGGTGCTTTTTGAGGATGCTGCGCACTTTGTGGACGCTGGTGCAGATTACGAGGATAGTGGGCTTGGTAGTAGTGGGTGATTCGCCGATGCTTTCGAGAGATATTTCTACGGATTCGGGATATTTTCTGTAGAAACCCCGGAGGACGTGGTTTATGTGCGGCATGAGCCCGGTGTGCCAAAAGTCGAGATGCTCTTGGTTAATTCTGATGGCGGGGTAGGTTCGTAGTTTTGGTTTAGGCTTTGATTGTAGAACTGGAGCTGAGGTACGTCAGAAATATATCTAGTGTTAGATGGGAAGTGTACGTACTAGATGCTTTAGCCGATGGCTTCTCGGACCAGTCAATCTTTTCAGGGATATTCGGAGCTGAGTATGAAGCCTTCTCTGACCAAGCAGGTCGTGTTGGTGAGGTAGCGGGAACTGTTGTAAGGTGTATTTGGCTCTTTTCTTCGCGTAGGTTTCTCCTCCGCGGTGTTGAAGATCGGGATGCCTTTACTGGCGTTGGCTCAATCGGAGCATAGTTATCACTGTCTTGATTTTCCTCATCTGAGCTTTCATCGATGGAGCAGCAAGTGTCGAGGGCCTTGGAGACTTTCCAGAATACTTTCTGATGCATGACATCTGCTCTCGCCCGTTGAGAGAGCTCGTCATCGGGAGAATGCCAACAAGCTTGAACAGCTTTGGTATATAAGCTGCCACACCTGGTAGACAGTAGCTTCATAACATCGGCCGTGTTTTCTGGGATGGTAGATGCCATTGGGAAGAGATCTGTGACGGAAGTCCAAAGCCCGATTTCCAAAAGGAGAATAGCCAAGCTGTAGAGATCCAAACATTTGCTGTCGGAGGTAAGATGGGTATATCTAGTTGAACGGGGATCCAACGGATGCCTATAAAGAGAAGTAGAAGATCCGGGGCCTTCCGAAGTTTCTGTGGCGTTATCAGAAAAGAGGTCATAGGATCCAAGGAAAGATTGCCGCATATTCGTCTCGTTTGGGTCTATTCGAGTATTGGATTGAGACTGATGCTCGATAAACAAGATATTAGAAGCGACGACATTGCCATGCACTACCCCTTTAGCATGCAAGTCGAAGACAGCAGTGGCAACATTGTATGCAAGCCTATACTTGATCTCAAGAGTCGGCTCATATGGACTGAACAGCAGATTCGATAACATGGTAATTGATGGTACCCTTGGAGTTTCGATATCGACGGGTCCAAAATGCGTAGGAAGAGCAAATAGGAGACAGAATCTGGAATGCTCGGCCTCTTCGAAATATCCAATGAGGTGTAGCAGACTAGACAGGATTCTTCCAGAAGAGATGTAAGACTGAGAAAGGGCAGCAAATAACTTCTCGAACCGGGTCATGGAGGGTGTAATCCCCGTAATCGAGTATATGGGATCATAAGGGGCATGTTCCAGAAGCACCGGGACAAGGGGAAATTGTTGTCCATGTTTTCGAGAATCAGGAAGGGAAGTTGGCCGACGCATCAAGACGATTTGCCTAGGAGATTTTGCTGGTTGTAACATACCGGTCTGTATTCCTTTGAGATCCTTTGGCCAGGTTAGAGAAGCCGGGTCAATTTGTTGGGGTGTTTGCATTCGAGTTGGTCCGAATTGCCGTTCCTCTGCAGCATGAGTCTTGGTAAGAGAACTGGACGAATTCGAGGCCTTCAGAGGAGTCGTCCCTTTACGCGCAGATTGCCGAGTTCGTGAGAGATCATAGAGAGTATCGATAGACATGGTCAAATCTCGGACTAGATCCTGAAATCTCGACTTGTCCCAAGTAATCAACGACTGTTTCCGATCCACGGACCTTTCAGGCAAAGGAAGCTTCTCATCCGACGATATTCTCTTCGAAGACTGCCACAACGGTTCCGCCTCGGCCAGAATCTCTTTAATCGTCGACATAACGCTGCCCACCAGCTCACTTAGACCAGCCTTGTTGATAGACTCGTCGATGTCAGGTGACTGTGAGGGATCCGACCATTCCAAACCCCACGACACCAGCCTATCCTTCTGAATGCGCAACTTGCGGTGCAGAGCCACCAGCTCGGGGTCCTCTGCACTCTGGACCGGCTCCTTGACGAAATCATAAGAACTCTTTGTATCTGTATACATCTTGGTCAGCCGCCGCTGGAACGGCAGCGGAAGGCTGAATAGAGAATCCATGCTTGCTGGGCACGAATCACGATATTGTACACACACAAACAAACAAACAAACAAACAGGTGAAAACAGAGATGAAAGAGAAGGTGCGGAAGGAAGTAAGTATACTAGAATATATTCATACAGCTGGAGAGGCTATGGCTTGACATGGGTGCGGGTGTTGAATCTGGATGCCTACTTGGGATCCCCACCTCAGAACTGGTCCCAAATCTTGCTGCCTTGAGGTCTCATACCTCCCGTGCTTGGGTAAGGTAAGATATGCCCCGCGCTCACGTGCGTTGTACCATGCGACGAGTTGTGATTGGATCGTGTGTGATGGGAGGTGGGGGGCGGGGGGGCGGCAGTGAAAGCGGTAGTGCGCTAGTCGATCCTTGCTAGAGTCACGTGGGGAAGAGAGAAAGAAGTTCCTCCTGGTCCTCTTTGATCTACGCTCTGTAATCGAGTTGTCCCCAGATTATCATTGCACTGGAACTATTATCTTGCAAGATAAGATCTTACAAAAAATGATATGTAAAACTGGTATCTACTACCTCGTGTTCTACTTACTGCAAGGTCCCATTTTGTTAACACTACAATTGCCAAGTCACTACTAAAAGTATAACATTCCAAGTGCTGACGGGATGGAGCGAGCAGAACGCTGGAGCCTGGACAGTCGGTCCCGCTATGTGCTAATATTTGATGCTCATGCGTGAAAACAGGGGCACTCAATGACAGACTGGTGCACTCAATAATTCAGAAAAGGCCGATACGATAAATCCCCATAAATGACCTTTGCATTCATATATCCCCCAATCGCTACGCTAGCTATATAATATATTATACAATCTAATAGTGGTATCGAACGCTTATATCCCCCGAGTCCGAAAAAAGAACGCCGACCGGTCTAAGCTGCAATAGTGACTGATCCAAGGAAAAAGAACCTCCCCGCCAAGAGAGCAGCCTACCATTTGGGGTCATAGACCTGCTTCTTAATCCAAGCGGTCAAAGCCACATCTCCCCACTCTTCCCACTCAATCCAAGTCTCGTTGGGCAAGGTGCTAACACCCTCTCTCCTCGCCGATTTCATAACTTCTCGCGCGACAATAACGCTCGCATCTCGCACGCGTTGGATCTTCGGATAGATGAGACCCATCTGGAGCTCCTCTCGGTTAAGGCAGCCTGATAATGCTGCGGCCGAGGTGTAGATCATAGCGTCTGTTATACGAGACGCTTTGGCTAAGATGGCTCCTAGTCCAATACCGGGGAATACATATCTAGCTGCGAGTCAGTACGAGGTGCGAAATTGGTTCTGGTGAAGAAACTTACACGTTGTTTCCTTGGTTGGGGTAATATGTGGTTAATGAGTCTCCATTCTTCATCGTGCAGGGAGAGAAAGGAGAGCCTGATGCGAAGATGACAGTACCCTCAGTCCACATGACTGCCTGTTCAAATGTGCACTCCGCCTTTGTCAGGGGATTGCTCAATGGGAACAAAATCGGTCTCCGGCCAAGACCCCCAGCATCGACCGAGACCTTCAAGGCTCGAACAATTGATTCGGTGAAGACGCCAAAGGTGGCTGTCAGGCCAATTAGGGCAGTTGGCTTGACATACTCGATGACCTCTTCAAGGGTTTGGAATTGATGGCCTTTGTTGTCACTTCTAGCGAAGATTTTCTTGTGCTCCGCAAGCTTGTCACCACGGTCGCGTGTTACCAAACCTCTTGTGTCAACGAGGTAGAATTTGTCGCGCGCGGCTTGCTCGGATAGGCCTCTGCGGGTGTAATACTCCATTACCTGCTTGGCTACACCAACACCGGCTGAACCTGCACCCATGAAAACAAGCTTTTGATCTTCGATTGGTACCCCGGAAAGATTGACGGCGCCCATATATCTACCAAAGCTGTTAGTAACAATTTTCACAGTGGTCATGGTGTCTGGCTACTCACCCAGCCAATACAACAGCACCAGTTCCCTGGATGTCGTCGTTGAACATCTTCTCGTGTTTATATCTCTCCAAGTATTGGAAAGCCTTCTCGGTCTCAAAATCTTCGAACTGGACAAGCATATTAGGATAAACGTCCTTTACAGCTGCCATGAACTCGTCCATGAATTCTAAAGCGACTTCGGGCGAGACACGTTTCTGTCGAAGGCCGAGATATAGAGGATCACGGAGGTTGTCCTCATTCGCGGTACCACAGTCGAGAACAATTGGAAGTGTTTGCTCGGGATGAATACCTGCTGCACCAGTATAAAGGGCAAGTTTTCCAATCTACGGTTTGTCAGCACGCTGTCTCACGTTAAACGTCTTATGCCATTTACTGACCGAAATTCCGACTCCATTTATACCAAGATCACCAAGTCCAAGTATTCGGGAACCATCAGTGACTACGCAAATTGATGGATCTGCGTATGGCCAATTTCTCAAGATGGTTCTGATCGATCTGCGCTTCTTGATGGAAATATACAGAGCTTCGGGTTTAGTATATAAAGTTGAGTATTGGAGGCAGACATCTCCAATGGTGGGGGTGTAGACGAGGGGCATTAATTTCTCGACATTGTCGATCAAGAGACGATAGAATAGATCCGTGTTGTTTGCTTTCAAGTCAGAGAGGTAGAGATATTTGTCAATATCTGTTCCACGGCTGTTGATCATTCGCATAGCTCGGAGGCACTGAGTCTCAAGACTTTCTAGGACATGGGGTATCAACCCGGTGAGGTTTTTGTTAAGTCGTTCGTCGGGACTGAAGGAAGTGCCTGGGGAGAGGTATTAGCTGGGTTGAACAGTTGGGATGGCACTTCCTGCCCACCTTTGTTCCATGCGGGTTCGCGGATTACTTGATAACCCCCAGCTTTATGTTGAGGCACATAATCTGTTTCCCGGTACTGGTTTATAACGCCAAAGCTGTCTTGGGAGTAACCTCGGAGAACGTCGAGAGACGACATTTTCATGGCAGCTTCAATAGCACTTGTGTCAACAGAAGCCATTGGGTTGAATCCGGAACTCCTTCTCATGGAAAGAGACATTCTTTTGCTTATAGTAGTATTTGAGGAGCGACTTGTTACAGAGGACGGAGAGGAAGATCTCGGAGTCGATATATCTGAAGATGGAGTGCTGAAGTGGTAAGAAGCCATTGGAGATGGGGATGTGAATGGAAGAAAGAAAGGAAGGAAGAAATCAGAGAAGCTTTGGGGGAAGAACAACTTAATATGCATTCGTGTTGAGATATTTAATGTGGAAGCTTATTTTATTCTCGAACACCCCGGAACGGTGTTACACCACCATGTCTGGTTTCGGTGGAGTTTCAATACTGGCCATGGACACCCGGGCTCCTATAGGTTCTCGCGGGGAGCCTAAAAACGCCAGAATCGTTCCGATCCGACCGCCCGGGATTCTTGCGCATTAGACAGGGGACTTCCATCCTTGCGCGAATACTGAAAAGGGGCAACGGCAGCAGTTGAATGCCAAATAAAAGGGAATTTGAATAGGAACCGCATGGGGGAAGTCTCTGTCTGCATATGCAACTACTACGAAGTAGAGTGAACATATCTATTTCGGACTTTATTTGGAATTCCGATGTATCAGGCACATTAAGACTCTTACGAAGTACTATTCATCTATTCTCGCTTTAGACGATGGTGGAAGTTGTGTTACTTGCGTGAAATGTCTCACATTACGCCGATCCGACTTCTTCCGACTTAAAATTAATGCTTAACAAGTCTTGTCTTTCGACTAGGCCCTACGGAGATACCTTGAGCTTACCTCGCGACGGCGGACCCAGCTGGACTGTCTGGACATGGCCCGCCCCGCCATTGCCGCCAGGCTCACTCTCAACCTTGGGCGCGCAGCGAACGGGCCATGAGAAATTCTTACGGCGCAAAGAATACCCCTATCGACAACAAAGTGAGGGATAAGGAGGGATAAGGAGGGATAAGTAGGGATAAGCCAGCGAGAAATTACGCCGATCGTAAGCCCTGCAAATTCAAAAACATACGAAAGTAAGTCAAGCCATCTGAAGTCTCATGTCCTGCCCAAGTCTATCTAATCAAGTGTTAATACTATATCTTTAATACAAAATGGTAGGATGACATTTAAATCCCCACTTCCTTCGTGGGGGGATGGATATTGATGGCCTTGTTGTCATGAAGCCTTGACAGTCGTGTCGTCTCAACATCCGGTGATGTACGCCCTTGGCAACTTAAAGTTGTGGCACAACATTGACCCACAAAGGGAAAGGCTGAAGCTTGATCCATGTTTCACATCCACTTCCATCGTGCATGCATAACTAGATGCAGGGCAGGACTTGCGAGGCTGAAAATAAATAATGGATTTTTTTTGGAATTCGATTGCTGCAGTTTTGGTAATCTATGGGACTTCTCAGAAGGTCTCTCTGCCTGCAAGCTAAGCTTTCACAAAACTTCTCTTGCAAACATGTCCGGATGGGAAAGAACTCTACGAGTTTCTATTCAAATAGTAAGATGACATTCTATTTTCGGAATTTAAAATGGAATCACTCCTCAATCCGCTTTTAAACAGTCCCACCTTCCTCCCGAGCCTTCCACCCCGCAAATATCTCATGGGGGCGATTTTTCCTTCGCCGGTTCCGCCCGAGCAGTGCGCTGTGCAAAAGATTCGTTCTTCTAGCAGAGCATACCTATATTAACATCTTCGAATACGAAAAGTGCATATACGAAAACAAAATCGAGCCATTTCAGTCTATTAGATTATGGCGATTTCAAAATGTCCTTTCTCAAGTCGCGCAAAGTTGCTGCGAAAATTGCAGACAAGTTTGCACCTGCTGAAAAGAACACACGCTTGCCTCTGTATATGTAAAGGAGTAGGCCCGAGAGTCCTGTTTGGTTCCATTGTAATGTGGTCTTGCTCAGCGAACTTCTACTTTCACTCATTTCATATCGCCTCAACTTCAAGCACCCGGCCGGTCCCGAACCTTCTTTCCAGGAAAGCCTCAAGATTACAAAACATTTATTTCAGTATTGAGGCTACACGAAATCCAGCTGCAAGAGCGGGCGCTGAACTTTCTCAAGGCCATAATGACGGCCATCTCTTGCTTGTATTTTGATGTAGCCCGTCTTCAACTTCCATTTGCCCCTATCTTTTCGATTCCTCTAGTTGCGCCATCGATCTCTTGATTTGTCTTGCGTGGACAATCACGTACCTATCGATGACGCTCATCCAAAGAATGCAGTCGTCATGCCTATTAAACGCCAATAGCACGGCGTAGACGGCGGGCTTGATCTTGTGATTTTCAAGTTGATGGGCGATATAATGGGCAATGGCGTGATCAGCATTTATTATCACCTGTGGGGTTAGATGACAGTGGAAATCAGATCGATGTCTTCTTCCAAGTGGGATAAGGTCTCATAGCCTTGATTTCTACTTGTCAAAACTGTTGATTCTTTTGTTTACTTGACGTTCAAAGAACCATTTGTCTTCAGAGGTGTTCCAGAAAGTTTGCTCGATATCTTTCAATTCCAAGTTGGACTAAGAGTCGTTGCGTGGCAACCTAATAACTCTCAAATTGTCATTATTGCGTTATAAATAGAGTCCAAAGATTTACTCTGAGGGGGCGCTGCTGAATGTAGTGTATGAGCTATAGTAGTAATCTTCTCCGATTTTCAGCTGAATATGGCATGAGAGATAGAGATTGAGGAACCGATCACTTAGAGGGTGTTCTAAGATAGACCAGGTGATGAGAGATCCTTGGTGCTCGCTCGCGACCTCAAAGACGTATTTTCCGCTGCGCATGATTCTATTTTTGCTACGCGTGGCGTCTCCGAGAATTCCGAGGCTGCGAATATCGGCTATGCCTTCGAGTTTCCTTTTCGAGAGGACTTGTTATAATTTGAGCAGGCCCAGGGAGCTGGTGATGTTTTCAAGAGCACCACCCATATCACTTGACCAATTTATCATAGCCTCAAAATTGGCAGCATCATGTATAGCCCAACAAGTAGTTTTCCAAACCGGTATTCAACCAGATTTTCTTTGCATCCGACACTAGTATGTCTTAAACGAATCACGGAAGAAATGCATGCCTTGCGAAGCAGTTATGGCGCTGTTCTGCGGGCTAAGCCAGCCAAATCGTATTGGGTGTTGAGATTGTTTTTGCTAAGCAACGCTTGTAAGTTACTGAGGCCTCGTTGGAAGGTCAACCTAAACCATCCAGTCCATGCGCGACTAGCAAGTATTCATCTCGCATTATAATATCAGCTTGATCGATACTCGTCTTCTGACTGATTAGAATCTTGCCGCCGCCAGATCCTGGGGACAAGGCCAACCAACTCACCCCAGCGCACAAATCGAATTCGCTGAAGAGACAACTTTGTATAACACGTCAGCTTTCGCTGAATAGTAATCTTAGCACAGTTTATTTAACATGGCGGTAGCAACTCAAAATCGTCGATATCACTTGTTGTTGCCACAACTCAAAGCAGTGAACCTAACTTGCAAGCTTGCAACGCTAATGGCACCCAAAGGGCCAAAACAGCCCCCGCAGCCTCTATCAACTTGATTCAAAAATAACATATAGATAAGCAGACTTCACCGTCGGAGACAATATAATGATTGAGAGCCGATTAAAAATGTACTCTCAGTGCAACAACGCTTGTATTGTAGAACAAGAGATGATGCTAAGTCAGAGTTGTATCACGACTACACTATTGCCAACGCTACAAGAACCGAACAACTGCCGACTGGCCATCTATCTATATCTATCCGAGCCAGATTTGAGCTCGGTCGGAGGTGTGTCGATAGATGATATATACATCAGCAAGCTTATTTGTACTTCTTCCCTCGATGTGGTGTTTCCACTGGTTGGCTGGCAAATGATTCTTATAAATGATTGAATAGAAGGAAGAAATGGGGAAGAAAAAAGCACATGCAAGGCGATATATCTGATAGGGTGTGCATCCTGATTTGGCATAAAGCGCTTGTTGAGTGGAAAGAGGCGGGTAGGTACGCAGGTACGTAGGTAGGCAGTTGGAAGGGAGATGGCTGGGTGGTCACGCTATAGGTTGTGTACGTAGCACATATGACGTTAAATGGGATCGGAAGAAATGGAAGGGATATATATATGTATATGTGAGGGAGGGAGGAGTATTTAGAAGGTAGGTATGTTTGAAAAGGGGCTGGTTCGCTAAGCGACGTTGGATAATTTAAGCACTCGACTTGATCCCACCCCTCCTCACTTTCACTTGCACATTCATATAGAAGAATGAATAACATGTTATTGAAACATTAATAGATATAACGAGGTTACTTCGCTAAAAGTATAATGCTAGTAAAACAATGAGCAAGAAAAGAACTCCCGTTTTGGGATTCCACTTTTACTTGTACTTAGGATGAACTTCAAAGCGTTGATACAATCTGTTACTTTCTGTTCAATACATTATACCTTGATGATCGTGAATGAATTACATCTATAATAGTAATTGTTCCTTTTTATTAAGCTCGAGTGAAACAGGTAGGTATAGTGTTAATTATACTAGGTGAAGGAAGCGGCGTCTTGAGGATATCTCGATGGAACCCGCCTGATCAGTTACACTGGTTCAGTGCCGGTTGAACAGCTGTAGTGAGCAACTACTCTGTGTCAAGTGAATTGACTTGCGAAATGATGCCCCAGAGGGGAAATTGTCGTGAAAAGGTTGGCCGTTAGGTGGAAAAAAGAGAAAGTGACATGATATTCAATGCTGATAGGTTATATTCACATATATCGGCAGGTCAATTATAGAGTAGAGGGGTAGATAAGGGTAGATAAAAGAGATTGCAAAATACATCCAAGTGTAATGGTGTACTGGTCTAGGTTTCTATGAGAATTAATCATCGACATGTTCGAGGGTGTCCCTAGATTCTTTTTTTGCCAATCTCTTTTTTTCTTCACATTTTGCAATGTAGTATTCTAGTTGATTTGCTTTTACAGTATTTCCTAATAGTTTGCCTACCTTACGCCTTCCCAGTCGATCCCATGATATCCATCTGATACTCAATCAACTCCTGGATCAGATCCGTACCCGTCCCCATCAACTCTGTGAGAGGCACCTTACCCGTGTTCTCCGCCACGTATTTACTATATTTATGCAGCACCAAATCATTAAGATTACACCTCGTCATCCCCCCCTTGATACACCCCTGCATCGTTGCGTCTGGGAAGGTATTTGTACCATGCAAGACCAGTTGCGCCTTTCCTTTCGTCGCTGCCTGGATTTTCTCAAGTCTATATTCATACCACCAGGTTAGTATTACTTTTCTCCCAAACCACGAATTGCCTTTCCCTCTTCTTGCCCCAGAAAAGGACAACTGAAATACAAACACACCTTTCAAAATCCAACTTGATATTCTCAACACCCCCATAATTCCCATGCACATTCCCAAAAGCCGGCGCCAGGAAATCGATCCCCGTCCCCACAAACTCCAGCGCCTCCTCAGCCGTCGTAAGCAAGCCCTCCAGATCCCCCGTATCCTTCACCCCATCCTCGCCGCCGTTAATCCGGCCCGGCTCCGCTTCCGTCGCAATGCCCTTCTCATGTAGCATGCGCGTAATGCGCTGCGTCTTCTCCAGGTTCTCCGCTTTCTCGTAGTGCGACATGTCCACCATGATGCTGTCGAAGGGGTACGCGGACGCTGCGATGATCTCGGCCTCGGACTGCGCGTGGTCTAGGTGTAGCACGATGGGCACGCTGGCGGTGCGCACGGCGGCGGCGGCCAGGTGGATTAGTAGGGGCGAGTAGTGGAGTGCCCAGGGGAAGAGGAGGATTTGCGCGGGGGAGCGCTTTTTTTCGGCGGCGCGGACTACGGCGGTTATTGTTTCGAGGTTGTACTACATGGTGTATCTGGTTAGGTATGTTGATGGTTGAGAGAGGAAAATGGGTGTATACTGAAACTACTCCAACGACGCCGTATCCGCCTTCTTCAGCTGCCTTTAGCATCTTCACGGCGCGGTTGTCTTCCATCTTGGGGTATGACATTGTGATTGGAATGTGGTAAAAGCTATGTACAATGAAGGAGAAATGAATTGATGGTAGAGGACAAACTGGGGTGCGAGGCATAAAATTGAGAAAATTGACGTTGAGATGGTTAGAAGAATGGGATGAAGCCGAGAGTGGGGAGCTCTTTACCCCTCCTTGAAGACGGCAACTTTGCCGAGTGGGTGAAGCTATTCCCCGCATTCGATCAAATCCTTACTTTCATATAAAATATATAACTCCAAAAACACATGTGAATAGCTATACCTCACCCTTTCAAGCTATCAACATAGTCCCTAACCGCCTGCTCAAAACTAACATCCTTCCTAAACCCCAACCCATAAGCCAAACTATTATCAAACTCCGTGCCCCAACTCCTCAAAATCCTCTCCATCCCCACATCCGTCTCCTCCCTCAAAAACCCCAAGTTGTCCTCCCCCGCCACCCTCGCAAGCGCATCCATCATCTCCTGCACACTAACCCCAATCCCCGGCATATTAACCACCCTCCTATGTCTATCCATCCCACTAGTATCCAACCCCAGCGCCAGCACCAGATTCTCCCTCAGCGTCCGCGGACTACACAACCAGCTCCTAAACGCACGATCGCGCAACGGGATCACGCACTCCTGCCCATTCAATGGCTCCCGAATCATGCCGCTCAGAAACGAACTCGCAGCCTGCGTCGGCTTCCCGCCCCTCACGCTTATCGTCGGGAAGCGCAGACACAGCGCGTCCACGTACCCCTTGCGTGTATAGTCGTTCAGCAGCGTCTCGCAGACTAGTTTCTGCGCCCCGTAACTGCCTTCTGGCGTCGGCATCACGCTCTCGTCAATGACCGCCGGCAACGGCTGGCCGTACACGGCTTGCGAACTCGCGTATAGCACTCTAAGCGGCTTCTCGCCTTCTTTCTTGCTCTCGCGCAGGATTTCCAACAGTGCGAGCGTGGATCGTAGGTTGACGTTCATGCCGAGCGCGAAATCGGCTTCGGAGCCCGCGGACATTATGCCGTGGAAGATGCAGATTGCGTCGAGGGGGAGGGATTGGGAGATGAGGGATTGCAGGGATGTGGGAGAGCAGAGGTCTGCTTGGATGGTTGTAGCGTTTTGGGGGTATTTTGCCTTTGTGGGGATAGGAGGTGTGATTATGTCGGTGAGGATTACTTCGTATTGTGGTTCTTGGAGCAGACGCTCTGCAAGGAGAGGGCCGATCATGCCTGCTGCCCCGGTGATGAGGATTCGGGGCATGTTTGGGATGGGAGGTGGGGAAGGAGTTGAGGTGGGATGAATTAATGAAAGAGAGAATTGATTTTGATTTAGACAATATGAAAAATGAATAAAATGCAATGCAAAAGTTTTGAGAATTGAGAAGAGGGGAAGCTTGACATGTATGTGAATATAGTTCGGATCCCCACGCCGGAGAACACCGGCCCAGTGCAGGCTGAATCAAATAGCCTCCGATTGGGAAGGTTAGCCGCTTCTGTATTTCTCACTGGAGAGTGAGTATAAGCCATTGTCATTGAAAAGAATTGTACAGAAACATCTCCCCACGACATTAAGAGAAGAGTCCTTATCCCTCCTACTTATTATTTACCTCTGTAATACACTCCTATGTATACACCATCCCTAGCTTCAGTATAATACACACTTCCAATCTTTTCCATTTATTCCATCACATCCAGTCAAGCCTTGGAGCCTTTCTGTGTATTATCCCCTCTCCTCTATCCCCCCCCCATATTATCCCACACCACCCCTCCTCTCCCCTCAAAGTAACCCCCCTCCCATCCGCGTACCCCCTAAGGCGTCGCAGTCTTCAGCATGACCCCATGCCACCCCTTAATCATACCCCCCCAACACCTCATTAACCAACCTCTGCTGTTTAAGCATACTTAACCCCCTAAACCTCTCACTCTTAATATCAATCGAGTACATAGTACCACAGCCACCCGATACATCCTTTACCTAAAGTTACACACCAATTAGCCTTTGCCCTATCAACTCATACCCCATACCTCATAGCCCCAATTCCACTTCCCCCCCTAACCTCCACTCTCATCTCTCCACTCACACACCAAGCAAAACGCGAACGAAAGGGGCAGAACATACATTCAGCGCCACCGGATCCAAGCTATCCACCAACAACCCCCTAATCTCCAACTCCCTCGCATCCAATCCCTCCGGTACCTCCAACACCCGCCTCTCCTCCACCACACCCTGTCCCTCTTCCCCCTCCCCAACCACTCCAACCCCCTCCCTCGTACTATACCCCCTCAAATGCTCCCCCATCCTCATCCTCATCCCCATCTTCCCCCTCGAGCCCCCTCTATTCGCCAAAACCGCGCCTGGAGAAGCAGAACCAGAACCAGAAACAAAAGCAGAAGTATGATTCCGCGCCGGACATATACTAGAAGCCAAACATCTCGACCCTGATCCCGCTGCCGCTCCCAACACACTCGTAGCTTCCAACTGGCATCTGAAAGCTCGAGGCGTAGTCCGCAGACATGTTCGGAGTGCTTTATTCATGCCTCTCCTCTTTCCTTTCCTTTTCCTTTTCCTTCCTTCGTATCTTTCAATCCAATTCCTTTATCTCCTCCAAATGTGTATTTCCTCGCTCGCTCGCTCGTTCGCGCTGTGCTGATTTCGTTTCCCTTCGTTGGTTTCGTTGCTTGCAATTCGTCGCTTGAGATGGGGATACGAATGCGAATAATCAAATTACTATGATAGATATCCCCGTCCGTACTAGCCAGTAATGTCTTATATAATATCCTATCCTATGCTGTGCTTGCTTGCTGTATTGTATTCCTCGGTGAAATTTGATCAATAATGCAGATGCAGATGCAGATGTAGATGTAGTAAAACGCGACGACAGCCAGCTCCGTTGAGCTTTGATCCGTTGGGTTGGGCGAGCTCGGACTTGCAGTTGGAAGGGAAATCGTACGACCTGAGCATAGCCATATGGAGAAGTTGGATTTCAAAGCCTTGCTTATGTAAACATAATATCAAAGCAAGTACCAAAAATCACATGACTTCTATCAACCATGCCATGCCCTATGATTACTCTGGTTATAAGGTAAGGAAGGTAATTTACTTGTCTTGTACCTATTCTCTGTCAACGGATTTGGATTTGGATGTCGATCTATGTATATGACGAGTCTTAATAACATCCCTAGTGAAGTAAGCAAATGTCTCAGAGGTTTGAACTGTGGATTAAAGACGATAAGGTTTTATTACTCGTGCCAATCTGATTTGCGTTATAAATAGGTACTAGGAAGTAGCTTGGTAAAGGCAATCCATTTTAAAAAGCAAACGTATTCTAGGGGATGTTGACGGATTCGCAGGTATCACATGTATCAGTCAATTCAGCAGGTCAGGTCTTGTTTAGGGCATCATCAACATCTCCATTCGTGTTAATGATTCTGCTACAGCGCATGCAGTATCTCAGCTAGAACCTCACCTCCGCAAGGAAGTTAGGCCAGCCAGCTTCTCATCGTAGTGTGCAAACCCCATCCAGCCCTCCCTCACATTCCCTCCATATATACTCGACTCCCGGGAATTTTTCCATACCAATCCATCCATCCACCACCTCTTATTTCACAGCTTTTTATCCCCATCCAAATCACAATCTCAACCTCATACCAGAGGGATGCGCAAAAACAGAAACATTAAACCCAGTCTAAGTTGAGAGAAGAAGAGGTGAGGCTCGCTTAACCGAAGCAAGAGACCACCCCAATGCCGGAGGAAAAAAACATGCAAGAACTATAAAAGACGCTCAAAAGTACAAGCATAAAAGTAAGGTATGAATGAGGCCCTTTCCCGTCGCGCAAAAATGCTGACAATTAACGTTTCCAGTTGGGAGACGTTGGCGTATAAACAATGAACCGTGAGCTGGTAACCGAATCCGTTGTCGGGGTTCATCTGTGAGCAAATTTGCTCATCCAATTTTTGGGTGTTGACCACGCTCAGTCAAGAGGTAATCAGAAACATTCCTCCATATCCGAAGCTATCGGATACACTCTGAAGTCGACTAAGCCGTATCATCGTATAGGAAATCATTCAGGCGTGCTGTCGTAAAAATGTCGTTCGTTACAGCATTGAAGCCGTTGGCAGAAGATAATTTAACCTCGAATAGCTGTTGCTGTATGAGTGTCGCGAAACGAGAAACCATTGTCCATGTTGTGGTACATCGAAGACGTACCCGTTACGAAGCCCGTCATTGGGGCTGGCGAGGTAGACCGAGAAGCACGTACACTCGCTGTCTGGGTTCGTGGAGGTGAAGTTTTTTCCATTATTAAAGGCGAACTATCTGCAGTAGACTCGGCAGACCCAAGGACATAACCATCGTCATTGCCGCCGTCGTATTGGCCAGATCGTAAAGTCCCTTCTTTGAGCTGCGGTGAACTCTTGACAGACCCAAACTACATTTGAAATTAGCAAAAGCTCCCTAGGATCCCTTCCGGTTGCCATTGTTGGTGGTACGTACGAAGCAATACTTGTCTAGCAGCTCGTTGTAGGATTGAGAAGCAAGATGGGGTTTCTCAGTCCCAGTGGGCCGAGGAGAGTCCGTACCACTGGAAGAAGGCTGGTCAGATGCGATGGCCTTGTTCACAGGGGGTTTGGTAGAGGACTGCTCGCTAGACTGCTCACTGGTCACGGATGTGCGGGGTGAGATAGGATCTTCAGGACCAGTGATGAATTTGGCAGGTTGCTTCTTTGGGGCCGACTTCATGGTAATCCCACTTCGATCACCCATTACGTTATTCGCAGCTGAGATAGCTGCCGACAACGAGGCACCAAAGTCGTAACGGTTCCCGAAAGCTTGCCCGTTAGGTTGAGGTGCGCGCCGAGTAAGATTATCTGATCCAAGACTGATGGAAGACTGCACACCCTTCAATCTCAATGGAGTGCCGGTTTCTCCCATGAAATCATTGACAGGTTGCGTGCGATCGTCAAGCTTGTATTTGGAATCAAAGTGGCCATCGGCAAAGTCGTCAAAAGCGGCGTTCATTGACTTGGTTCGTCCGCTTGCTTGAGACTTCTTATGGCTCCTTGGCAGGGAGTGAGCAGGTCTGGTTCCAGCTCCTTGTGTGCCCTTCTTTCCATTCTGTAGCTTTGCCTTCTTCCTGAAGTCAACTTGGAAGTTGGTAGAGTTATTGTTGTCCCAGTATTCTTGACCGTTCACTGAGTACTTGACACAGAAGAACATGGTCTTGGCCTCAAGATTTGCTTGGTCGGCAAGTTTGATGTTGAAGTTGAACCGGTCATATCCATCTGCAAACTTGGGTTGCCGGACATCATTGTTAAACTCGGCGACAACTTCTGAAGTAGTCTTCCAGTAATCCAGCGTGAACCTAGCCACAACGTGCTTGTTGAAGGCGAGATTGGCCACGGCAACGCTACCAATCAGTGTTTTGTTGTCAGCTGACAAGAACACTCTCTCGACCCTAACGGGAAGTGATAGGCGTTGAGGTGTCTCAGAGGGAAAGTTAGAAACGACAATTTCCCATTCGAATGGCGGGGTTTTTCCTGTTGTACCTTCTTCGCCAAAGGGGAACTCGGTGTCGCTGTCATACACTTCGACAGGCGACGAGCCGGCGCTGACCGCTAACGGTCTATCCACCTGAAGGAAGTGTCGGACATGTTCGAGGTGCGAGTCGAAGTGGACCGCCTTGCCGAAGGTTGGGGTACCAGGCATACTAGAAGGCCGCCGTCTTGCAGATGAAGGTCGAAGAGCTGGTCTGACAAGTTCACCTGATTTCTTCCGGAGCATTGGCGGTTTCCGACGCGACCGATCTGGATCGTCTCCATCACTTATAGACTCTTCATCCGAACCGGTCAAGGGTGTTTCTGGGGCTTGACTAGGCTGCAAATCAATGAAGATAGCCGAGTCGGTGTGGGATCTATTGTGGGAGATCTTTCGTACTGCTTCGGTTAAAGCCTTCTCAACATGGGAAGTGGTTGGTCCGTCCTCGAGTTTAGTAGAAGGCACGATCAAAGTCAGGTGTTGATTGGCCTTGCTAATCTCTTCCGCTGTCCGAATGGGTGAGCCGTCACGATGTTGTTCGATGGTTCTGATGACAGCTCGCAGTTCCGCCTCATTAACCAATTCCCGCCCACGATCCTTTGAGTCTTCATCGTCGCTTGAGTTTAGGGTTGAGTCGGGTGGTGAGATGACGACATTAGTAGGTATTTGGGAGTCGTCTGTCACAGGTGGGGGTGATTGCCTAAGACTGGCAGACGCAGTCAGACCGTTTTCGACATCCTTCTCGTTGTCCGCAGATCCGGGTGGACTGGGCTCGATAGGATTTGGGGCAAATGCTGTAGTCTTGACAGAGGGGGTCCGTCGATGGCGATTCAGGTATGAGGTTGAGCGCGGGAGGTCAGGTCTCGACGGCAGGGACAGTAGTGAGTGATCGGAATGTGCAGGGTGGGAATGAGAGTGGGAGTACTGGTGGGAGTGCTGGTGCCCTTGGATTGAGGAACGACGACTAAGAGTGGGCGAATGTGAGGTAGAGACAGCTGGAGATCGCTGGGAGGGAGGAGTGTAAGGCATCCGTACGACGGGGTCAGGATATCGAAATGCTTCGAAGTGTAGGAGGGGGTAGATGTAGATGTAGGGATTTGTTTTGTTTCGACGGGGGAGGACTGTCGACGAGCTGTTTAGAGACAGTTTTGCATTGAAGGTGGTGCGGCTCCAAGCAAGACTATGATGGGTATACTATAAGTTGGGAAATGACCGGTCAGTTTGGTTCCCCTGGATGCGCGATTTTTGAGGTAATGGATTATAATAAATGATGAGGAAAGGTCAGGTCTAGGTCTGATAGGATCGAAAGAATGACGAGTGCCATATGGAGTGGCCTACATTGTGGGGCGTGGGGTTGGGTTGGGTTCGAGGGTTATTCAGACTTACGAGAAGAGGATGATTCTTTGTTCTACTCGACTCGCTTTGAGGGAGGGGTGCGGCGGATGAAGAAAATCAAAGCACGGCGAGTTCCAGCAACGCGCAAATCAAAAACCACTGCAAAGGCAGGAACGATTAACAGAAATAAATCTGGTAAGATATTATCGAATGTCGGTAGGTCGGAGTGTGCAACTCTCAATAAAGAAAGGTGCCAGGACAAAGTCAATTGGTGACTTATCTACCTGTTCCTACTTTTCTGAGGTTGGGGCAATTGGACTGGACGTCTCCGGAGACGTCGGTTGGTCGATGGTGAGTGAATGCGGCGATTAGACGACGTTTGCGTTGATTTCTCCAAACACCTCTTGAGTTGATGGGATTTATATGGGATGCCCAAAAAAGATAAAATATGTACTGTAGAGGCTGGCAATGGCCTAGAGGTGTGGAGGAGGAGGAGGAGGAGAGGAGAATTGTGGTAGAGGATATTTAGGAGGAGGACAAAGGCAGGCAGGCCAAAGAGGTAGCGCCGCCTAGATGCGCGGCATAGGCGAAGTGGTACGGGGGACTAGAGGAACTTGGTAGAGGGAAAAGAGTAAAAGCTGGCCGGCAGGGTTGTTGAACTTGACGGCGCCCGGGATTACGGAGTAGCATAGACGGGAGGGTAGGGAAGGGGAGGGTACGGTAGAGTAGCACGGAATAGGATTGTTGGATGGATGGATGGATGGATGTTGGATGGATGTTGGGTGTTAGGTTGGATGTTGAAGTTGGATGCTGGATGGTGGATGGCTGAGAAGATAATGGTGTTTTAAATGCTGGAATACTCGCAACAATTGGTGCTACTATACGAATTACTCTCCCATCAAAAAAGGGATTCAAGTTGAGCAAGTCAATCAAGTCAATCAATCAAACAATCAATCGGCCAATTCATTATTATTATCCCATCCTCATCCGCATCCGCGATTCAAAAGTGGCAGCATCATGAAACCACGCCAGATTCTCTCCACTGCTTACAGAGTAAAATCTGGTGGGGCACGACGGGTCTAGGCTTGCATCTGGTTGAACCCGGTTGCAGCCATACATCAACCCTAGCCACCACACGGACGGCGGAGATGGGCAATGTACGAAGTATTGTAGAGGAAGTAATATGCAACTAACCAGTAACCAGTCTAGTTTAGTTTGATCTTTATCTATTGTTACTTATCTGTTGATTTTTTTACCTTCTCACTGTGCGTACGGTATAGTACTACCGTCTCTCACTCTGCGTGTAATCACCTCGTACTTGCCCGACCCTTCCGTCATCCCTTCTTTCTATGATTTAATATGATTTAATTATTGCCTCTTTCTCCACCATTTAGTTCTCCTCTTCCCTCCTCTCCTGTTCTCCTCTCCTCTCCTCTCCTCTCATATACTTACGGTACGGTACGGTACAGCCTCCTCTCTACCGTCGAGCATGGGCCCTTGTTCATCATCAGCCTTGGCATCATTAGCATCCTTGGCATCCTTTGGCCGGCCATGCCATGCAATGCCATGCAATGCTATGCCGTGTTGGGTGAGAGCTTCTTCGTTTGGATGACTGACTATCTTAAAAACTTGGTGTGGAAACGGCATTGGCCTCTTGGAGATCCGAAGGGACATGGATTAAACGCCCAGGATCAGCCACACTTGCTGCACCACCCCCCGGTGAACCCACCATGACACAAGGGGTTGCGCAAGAGTTGAACGGTCTAAATCAAGGCTGCGATACCGCTATGGATGAGTCGGCATCGTGAATCTAAAATCCATTTCAAGATGCATAGAGACGCGGCTACTGGTTGACAGAGACTCACTTATGCATGCATCAGATTTCACACTTCGACCCCTCCATTTCTATGGCTATGAAAACACACCCTTTACCCTTTTGTCTGGGTATCAAGCACGGCGTATATACTTTTACTCCCACAACATGTACCAGCGTATATCTATCTGTACCTCGTTCCTATCTGAGTATCAAGGTGTTCCGCATTTGGAAATCTTCTCGATTGAGATACACTGTTGAGGCCGATCCTTTTCAGTTGAGGGTGGCGAAGATAAGACGAGGACCTGCCCTGCCCTGCCCTGCCCTGCCCTGCCCTCGTATGTCGCATCGCGAATATTAATAATCTCGCCATCGCCTCTCCAAACCTTCTCTAGCACCAAGTCAAGTATTGGAAGCTGTGGTGCGACTCCTTATTACTTCTAACGCCAAGCACTGCATCAAATGGATACAGCAGGGTAAGCAGGAGCTAGAGCTCCTGTACTGTACACCCGGCAAATCGACAGAAACTGAAGCTATCCAAACTCCCATCTCCTCCCATGGAGTTTCTGCTCCGATACAGAGGGATCGTCAGGTCACCCACTTCGCGAAAAGATGGTACCATCACATCTGCGAGAAAACCTACGATTGGCTTACTCTGTACTCTGTACGGTAGATAGATGAGGGGGATCGACCTCTCAACGAGGTGGCATGTTGTACACAAAACTGGTATGGTTGCAGGAAGGCGGCTGCAGGTGCGGTGCCATGTCCCTACATGCTTTACCTGACCGCCCTGCCCTCGTACAAGCTATTGTGGTTATGCTTTCGAACAACTGGTACTAATAATGAGAGGCGCGCGGCACCACACGGCAAGTCTGTTTCTTACCATATTGTAAGATGCGATTACTTTAATCGTGCATCGCAGCATCGAAGCTATAGAGATGAAGGCATTAATTGATCCATGGATATTCCAGTTATATCTATATAAAAAACGGTCGCCATTGATGGGAAATCATTTTAATATTACAGAATACGATAGAAGCCGCACCACTTTTTTCAATTTCCCATGTCTCACCTCTCGCCTACACGCTTACAGTACCAAGGATCGTCGTCATAGTCACTATTCCCACAGCGCATACGGAGTAGCATGTCCCACCCCCACCTATGCAAAACACCCCACCCCACTCTCCACCTCCACTCTCCACTTCTCTCCAACTACCCAAAGTACGGAGCGCACAGTAGAAAACCAGAAAGACAATAAAACAGCATCGTAAAGTCACGCAGAAGTCTACTTTGCCATTCTACCCACCAATTTAACTAGATCGATCACGTCTTGATCCACCCCACTCTCCACGCGGAGTACTCCACTCCACTCCACTTATCGAAATGAAAGCCGAAGCCGCAAATCCCGCGATATTAATTATAGCCCGTACGCGTACAGTACGGAGGACCAAGTAATCAGAAAGAAAAAAAAACCAAAACCAAGGCATAGGGTTCCAACTAAATTACCTTCAGCCTCATTTATTAATTTCATGAAAGTAGTAGTGAATAAGAGACAGCCGTAATGATCTCATAGCATCGCGTACTCAAGTATTGGTTTCGTAATTTTCATTCAAGTTAAATTATAAAGCACCAGAAGCACGCAAGCCTATGCTATGCGGCTTATCCTATCACCGGAATGGGAAAGATAAACTGCTGTTTTCGATCTCGATGCACGCATGCACGCTTATTCAGCTTCTCTAGGAGCAGATGTTTATTTTCATTATTTTCACTTCTTGTGCATATGTATATGAAGTATATGTATATGTATGAAAGATAAGGTACCTACTGTATGTAATACAAACAAAAGTAGTACTCATCTACCGTATTACCTTCCATCCTAATCCTAATCAATACTACCTACCTATATAAACTATACCTCCATCTCTAAAATATCCTTCATCTCGCAATCCCTTTTTCTATACCTCCGTAAAGTAACAAAGGCGGTGAACCAACCAAACCAAACCTAACAAGGATCGATCCCATAAACCGAAAACGAACAAATCACCGCTTAGCTCGCGCTCACTTGTTTACAGTACTTGCAGCTTACCTCCGTAAAGGTACTCACTCCAGCCAGCCCGCAGTCCGTGCACGTAACTAAAATATCCTTCCTTCCCTCCTTCCTTCCTTAATCCGGACCTAGTTTCCACTCCTAGATACCATGCATGGATATATACGCGAGGTTTCGAATGCCACACCTCTCGATTCTGATTCTGATTCGTCCGAGATACTGTGTTATACTGTACAGTACTATAGTACTGTACCAGCCACAGCAAGTAATCAGTAATCATGTTTCGCGCGACATGCATGACATGTTTCGTCGATATGAAAAATGGGAATCTGAGTAGGGCTGTGGCTGTGGCTGTGGCTGTGGCTGTGGCTGTTTTTGAAAGGATTCGAGGACGGAGTACTATATATTCTGTAAATTCCTTAGGGTCGTGACGGACGCGACGCGAAAGAATGGCTTTTGAAAGGTGAGTTTAGCAATGCTGTAGGTATGGACGGCGCGCGCGTATTTCAAAGTTGGTATATAGGAAGGAAGAAATTTCATTCGTAGTACGGTAGCTAGCTAGCTATAGTAGCAGATGGATGGTTCTAAGGTAGTGCCGGCAAGTGTTATTTTTGTCAGAGGTGAGGCGGAGGTGGAGGTGGAGAGATGTGGAGTCCGGCGGCCGCGAGGAGAAGTTTTCTTCTCCATGAACTGAACTGGAGAAAGCTCTGATGAATAACATTGATTGATATCAACTCCAGCGAGGCAGAGAGGTGGGGTGGGTTATAGAAGAAGAGAAGGGATAGAGTAAGTAAAAAAGAAAAAGAAAAAAGACATTCTCACATCCTATCCTAT